AAATCCAGAAAATCACATTGTCTGATTTTTAAAGAATTTATTTGCAAAATATGGTGGAAAATAAGTATTTGGTCAGTTACAAACAAGCAAGATTTCTGGCTCTCACAGACCTGTAACTTCTTCTGTAAGAGGCTCCTCTGTCCTCCACTCGTTACCTTCATTAATGGCACCTGTTTGAACCCGTTATCAGTATAAAAGACACCTGTCCACAACCTCAAACAGTCACACTCTAAACTCCACCATGGCCAAAACTAGAGAGCTGTCAAAGGACACCCGAAACAAAAGACCTGCACCAGGCTGGGAAGTCTGAATCTGCAATAGGTAAACATCTTGGTGTGAAGAAATCAACTGTGGGATCAATTATTAGAAAATGGAAAACATACAAGAGCACTGATAATCTTCCTCGATCTGGGGCTCCACGCAAGATCTCACCCCGAGGGGTCAAAATGATCACAAGAACGGTGAGTAAAAATCCCAGAACCACACGGGGGGACCTAGTGAATGACCTGCAGAGAGCTGGGACCAAAGTAACAAAGGCTACCATCAGTAACATACTACGCCGCCAGGGACTCAAATCCTGCAGTGCCAGACGTGTCCCCCTGCTTAAGCCAGTACATGTCAAGGCCCGTCTCAAGTTTGCTAGAGAGCATTTGGATGATCCAGACAATGACTGGGAGAATATCATATGGTCAGATGAAACCAAAATAAAACTTTTTGGTAAAAACTCTACTCGTCATGTTTGGAGGAGAGAGAATGCTGAGTTGCATCCAAAGAACACCATACCTACAGTGAAGCATGGGGGTGGAAACATCATGCTTTGGGGCTGTTTTTTCTGCTAAGGGACCAGGACGACTGATCCGTGTGAAGGAAAGAATGAATAGGGCCATGTATCGTCATATTTTGAGTGAAAACCTCCTTCCATCAGCAAGGGCATTGAAGATGAAACGTGGCTGGGTCTTTCAGCATGAAAATTATCCCAAACACAACGCCCGGGTAACGAAGGAGTGGCTTCGTAAGAAGCATTTCAAGGTCCTGGAGTGGCCTAGCCAGTCTCCAGATCTCAACCCCATAGAAAATCTTTGGAGGGAGTTGAAAGTCCGTGTTGCCCAGCGACAGCCCCAGAACATCACTGCTCTAGAGGAGATCTGCATGGAGGAATGGGCCAAAATACCAGCAACAGTGTGTGAAAACCTTGTGAAGACTTACAGAAAACGTTTGATCTCTGTCATTGCCAACAAAGGGTATATAACAAAGTATTGAAATGAACTTTTGTTATTGACCAAATACTTATTTTCCACCATATTTTGCAAATAAATTCTTTAAAAATCAGACAATGTGATTTTCTGGATTTTTTTTTTTCTCATTTTGTCTCTCAGAGTTGAGGTATATCTATGATGAAAATTACCGGCCTCTCTCATCTTTTTGAGTGGGAGAACTTGCACTATTGGTGGCTGACTAAATACTTTTTTGCCCCACTGTATAAAGCCTGTAACTCAACGCTACTCCATAGATTTTAATTGAGAAAACTTTCTGGATGGGAAGTGAAATGTCTTCAAACTTGGAAAAACAAAGTTCAGTGGTTTGTTTTTAAACTTTTTTTGGGGGAAATTCTTAAAGAGTCTTAAGTTTAGCTAAATAACAAACAGTTCAGCACAATGGGTCAAAGAAGTCAGCTAGGATTATTTCTAAGGTGAACAAGCTGTAATGAATAACACAGATGCATAAACAGCTATGTAAAGATGAGCGTCATTTTGCAAGAATGGAGAGAACAATTCTTTTGTGATCTCAATTGTTTTAAACATTAACTGTCGCCTAGTTACTTCACATTGTGTGTGTGTTTGTGTGTGTGGTGATGATCCAAATTGAAGTATTGTGGTATATTTACTTGAATTACAATGATGTAGTGCAGATAACAATAGTGCAACTATACAATCATAGACAACAAACAATGTAAAACAAGAATGCCAGTGGAATTGTTATTTTCGGTCACTTTATCTAATGTGTCGCTGATGTTACTCAATATGTTTTTGATTGGCTGCGTTGTACCATAAGCCATTATAAACACAATTTGATGTGTCAGTTCGCTCAAAACAAGTCTTGAATCTCTAGAATGACTTTCTAATTGTTACAGGTGGTATGGTGGGCGTTGTCCAGGCAGTATAAAAGCGGAAGCTGTGAGCATTTCTTGGAGGGTATTCGTTTCCGTGGGACGCCAGGATGCCCTTTGGTTCCACGCATGTTATATGAATGTGGGAGGCTCTGCAGGTTTTTTCAGACCAGGCTGTGTACGTATGCAGGCAGATGAGGGTGATGCACTCAATACAAAGGTATTTTTAGAGATTTTAAGGTAGTTATTAAAACTATACATTGATTGCATTTTTTGTAATTTGGTGTTTTCTGTTTATTTTAGAGAGATGGTTTCTGTTGTTCTTGCTGTCCTTAGGTTTATGTATTGTTTTTTTTTTTAATTAGTCCAACCCTATCTAAGGAAAACCAGTTGATTGCATCAACTCATTGACTCGGATGCAATCCCTCACACTAAGCATGCTTGTAGCGACAGTGGAGAGGAAAAACTCCATTTTAACAGGAAGAAACCTCCAGCAGAACCAGGCTCAGTGTGAGCGGCCATCTGCCGAGGCTGACTTGGGTTCAATAAGTGTGCGACTTTCTTGTTCTGGTAATGCGGGTTTGTCCACCATCCATCAATATCAGAGTGTAAATATTATAGTGTCTACCTTAAGCCATCAGTGTTGTAGAAAGAGAGGAAAAGGATTTTCTTTTTTTTTTTTTACATAAAGAACATATATTTTTTTAAGGCCGAGATTGTTTCATCTTTATTCGGGTTGTTACATTATGCACTGACACTGGGTTTTTCTCAATGAGCTTGATGCATGTGTCAATGCATTACTGTTGCTGGACCCATCACTAGTGCAAACCCTGTTCAAAACAATCCCACAGAAAAACATACCACAGCGGCATGTGATGACCTCCCCCATGGTGCTTAGTATAAAAGCTTTTAGACTGCTACCTTCTGTCTCTTTGCCCGTGGGATCCGAGGGACCACATTGGGGAGGAATGGTTGAATGAGATTCTCTGCAAACCAGGAAATCTTGCTTTTGGGTTGCTCAAAAGCTTGGCCATCTGAACACAGCTACCCAACACAGCCTTGGCTAAGCTTTGTTGAACTTTGGAGACCCTTCAGCTTTCCAAAACAGAGATCAACAGAGGTTACAGCTCTGGAAAGGGGAAGAGTTTCTGCCTAAACAGCTTGGATTTTTGTCTATTTTATGTGTTTTACTTAGTAAAACACATTAAAAATAAAGCAAGTCACTGGCTTAATTAATGGTAACATGTTGAAAGGTTAAATTGATATGTTTCCTGATATGTTCATTACATTTAATTACTAAATGACAAAAGAGTCCTAAAAAGAGCCCCCTTGCGTCTGCTAACTACCAGCTCTGTTATATTAATAAACCACACCTTGCTAAAGAAGCTAGGTGTTTCTTAAATATGAACGCTTCCCTCAGGAACAGTCACAGCACGTTAAAATTGAATAATCTAAAAGGTTGATGATTTCTGTTATAAGCAAAAAATCCAATAAGTTATTTGATCAAATAATGTTTACCTCTTGGAGCTGCATTTTGAATTGGTTTGAACAAATTTTAATTGCTCCAAATTAGTTAAAACCTAATTTGACCTCATTCCAGATTTTAACAAAAACTTTGGCTTTCACACATTTCAAAATGTGATATTGTTACATCATTTTGTCTATTATGGTATTCAACCATCTTCAATCTTTATGTGTTCTTAGGAGGTAATTAGTTCTGTAGAGTTTCAGTAGTTTAGGAAAGAGTTTTAACTGAAATATGTTGGACTTGAAGTCAAATAATTTTTCTTAAAACATTCTTATATCTGGAATGGAGGTGCGTGTGAATGTATTTCTTTAATTGTTGTCCTAACACACAGTTACTGTAGGTTCATATTCACAGAAAACCTTGACAGTCCGAGCATTATTTCATTAAATAACCTAAGTCACAAAAGCATTAAACTTCATAACAGCAGACAAGTCTCGCTGTGATCCCAGCAGCACCAATGCCATGATTATTATAACATATGCTACTGTACTGTAGTTACCTTCAGGGCAATTATACAGATTTTCACATGTATTCAGGGACAGAATGGGCGAAAAACCAACCTGCAGCTCCAGTCTGACAGGATGTATGAAGGTATCGTATGTGGTGACTGTTTTGCACATCGGAATTTTTTTGTGTCCCACAAATTAAAAATTCTCCCAGCTGCAAACTTTCTGTAAAAAAAGCTTTGCTTTCTTACATATAGTCCGTGTATCTTATTATATGCATGTATTGTAATTCAACCCATTAGAAGCTTACAAAGCTTTTGCCTCATTGTAAAAGACAAAAATATTTCCAAATTTCCCAAGCCTGCTGCAAATTCCTGTATATAGCCATGCTTAGCAATACTCTGCCCTGTAGCTCACCACTATCTGTTGTTTTACTAAAAACACTGTGTTAGAAGTTGCACAAACGTTTGACTGATTGTACATAATGTGGTTGTTCTCATATTTTCGAGCTGTCATGTCTGAAGGGAGTGCCATATGATTGAAATACACAACTGATGACTCTGAGCTGCCTTTGGGCCAGCTTATTAGTAAAAGAATGTATAATATTGGGTAAATATGGCTTTCTTTGAATATCCTACATGTCTAGAAAAGTTTGATATACGTAAAGTCAATTAAATTTTAGGATTTTACCAGATTTTATTAGAAAATATCAGATTTGGGGAGCTAAATGTGCCATATTTTTTATTAAAAACCATCAAGTCTTTTCATTAACTGCATACAGTACATCTATACAACTTTGTGTTGTCTACCACATTCCAATCAAATATAAAAGCAAGGTTTATGGCTGTATCGAGGCAACCATTTCTGACTCACCTCTCTAATCTTTATCTGAATGACAGCACAGCATTAAGACAGTCTGTTTGCCTTGAAGTCACTTGGTGTTTATTAAATAGATTTTTATTTCAGGTTGGATCAGCAGACTTTATGTTAAACCTTTAAAGACATTGATTACTCTTGGATCATTCTCATCCAAGCTGCAGTTTTCTGTAACCATAAACATCAGAGGAAACTGATGCTCTGAAGCAGTTTAAAAAGTGCCAGGTGTAGTCTCTCTGCAAGCACGCCCCGACCTGCCTCCTCAGCACCTCTCTGCACTTTTCAAATATTATTACCAACATAGGAATAGCTGCCAGGGAGCGTGTGTTTACCGTCCTGTCAAAGCTGTGTTAACAGGTAAAACAACCAACTGCTTACTACCATTCTCCATGGTCCCGTGGAAACAAACATCAGTCTTTTTTTTTTTTTTTAAACCTCTGTAACTTGGCGAGAGGCTGATGTGTTTCTGCTTTTGGCAAGAACAGAAAGTAAGGACTTGATGCACCCCTGCAGCAGAGTGTCTATAGTCCTGATCAGAAGAATATTTATGCTAAGGTAGAAGGGCAGTGTTAAAAAGAAAAGCACACTAAAAAACCCCATCAGTGTTTTCTCCTCCAGGTTTGAAAAAACCCATAGTTGCCACCGGCTGAGGCTTGTTTCATTGGAATCTAAATGTTGCTCCATGATGAAAGGCAGGGGGATTTGCTTCTGTGTCCTCTTGGTGTCCTGTCTCTCCCCCTTTTCAGACAAACATTCATGGGAAGTGAGGACAAAGTCTCTGTCAGCACACTTTGTCATCAACCCCTCTGGATGCACAGGCTTGAAAGATGCAGGCATGGCTTTGTTCAAGGCCTGCCACCAGCTGTCCCAATACGCCTGGGTTCTGTTTGGTTCTGCAGAAGTCCGTTTACTTCTCTGCAGGCCTGTGCTGATGGTCAGCATGAGCCCAAGCAGGATGAGGAAGGCGGAGCTCCAGTGGGGATTTATCACACTGTGCATGGGACTGAAGAGGTTAGGCAGACATCTGACAAGAGAGTGATCTGTGTCCAAACAAGCAGCAGTCCATCCTTCCTCCAGTGCCCAATGCCACCTGACACTGAAGGCTACGGCGATCCACACAGACAGGCAGCAGAAGAATCCGACCACCTGTGGAAGGCTCTCTCCTTTATCCAGCTGGCTGCTGTCCTCTTCCTCCTCCCCATCATCGTCCACAGTACTGGGAACTGCTGCAACATCAGGCCACAGCACTCTGATCAGGGTCTCCATAGAGATCAGAAACGTGGTTAGAAGCAGCACCGCTCCATAGGTGTGGCTGAGGAAAAGCAGGAACCGCAAGGCGATGACGTCACCAGGTGGGTTCAGCTCGGTCAGCCAGAACTTCAAGGCCCAAAGGAAACCCAGGAAACCTGTAAGAATAAAACGCAGAGATTACGCTGAAACCCAACTACTTGGTACAAAACTTGGTTGGACTTTTGAAAAAAAATTGGGCACTAGTGGATTTTTTTTGACAGTATTCTGTCAGGAAATTGGGTTGATAGAAAAGGGAATGACATGAGGCAAGGTCCTTGGGCCGAAAACAGATTCCAAACAATGCGACCTCAGAACCAGATACAGCCTGGACTGTTTTAAAGTGCAGTTCAGTGAACTTTACCAGCAATGACTGCCTTAACGGTAGAAGAAATGTTTAATATCACTAAATTTGATGAAAAGTAAAGAAATCCTCAGAGCAATAGAAGCTACTCGTTTAGTTGATTAGAATAATCTAAAACAGTCGATTATCCTTCAGATACGAAACCATACTGTCAGATACGAACTGTCCATACTTTAATCAAATATGGTGACAGGTTTATTTTTGTGCTCAGAGGCCCAAACATTTGAAATTAGCATATTGAGAGGCTCGACGTGTGATTTTTCGGCTTAATATTTAAGAAATACTGACTTTTTACTGAGCACAGTAAAAAACTGGAGGGGATAGGAACTCAAATATTATCCACAATTTATTTAATAAACGGAGGACAGTCTATTAATGTCCAAATGCAGATTCATCTAGGATTGTGAAAAATCTGTGCCCGGCTGTATTCAAAAGATAGTTGGCCAGTATCATAACTGATATCAGTTGTTATTCCCTAGATGTCCAGTATTTGTTCTCCCTGTACACACTTTGACTTACCCTATACACATAAAGGTGTGTACTGCTGTACTGTACAAATGTATTTTCAGCCATATGCATAAATGAACAAAACTCAGAGGTTAAGTTTGTCTGTTTTCTCGTATGATTTTATTGTCGTCAGTCTTTAGCTTGCGACTATCCAGTGCACTGTTATGGGCCCCACTGAATGTGAGACAAGAACCCTGATAGTTGTCTTCCACTCTTCAGGCCCTTTGCTTGTGTTAGATCTATTTTCCCTAGATGTGTCTTGTAGCACTTTAGTGGGCGCACTTTTTCATTTAGGGCTGTATTTACTTGCGTGGCCAGGGTTTAGATAAGGTGTTGAGTTATTGTGAGTAGAGAGCAAATTATCTTTGTTATACAAGCTGTAATCTTACTATTTACATTGTAAATAATAAGTTATGTACTATTGCAATGTAAGTTTACATTGTATAGACATGTCACATCTTCCTCTGTGTCATCCCATGAAGAGCTATCGTTAAGTATTAACATAAATGAGATGGTTTTACTCACTTTTAAGATACTTTAGGTGTCTGGCTCCTTTAAAATATTCCAGAATCAATTACTGAGATACTGAAACTCCAATCCTTGTTCAGAAAGAAAACAATCAAGATAAGCAGTGGAGGTTAAGCTGTTTGTTTAGAGAATGCCTACTCATCTAGTATGTTGTTTAATCTGTAAGCCTGAGAGGAGAAGACAATATTATATTATATCAGTACCTTGGCATCAATATCTGCTCAAAATGAAGGTGTTTGATGCTTGGTGTCAAATATTTTGTAAAAATTTAGTCTTTTAACCGTCTCAAGGAGGATGACGTCCATTGAAGAAGGGGGAGGAGACTGTATCCCTGTCAGACACAGACCCTTCAGAAAGCAGAGGCAGACCAGAACAAGACGGATTAATCCCCGATAGGTTGACTGCAGAAGCTACATGATCTGTTTCTTGATTTAGTCTGATGCAGAATATTTATTGAAAACCTTAAATCCATTGATAAAGAGTGAAACACGTGTTATATTTTAAAGAGAAGTAAAAGTAAAAAGCCAAGCTTGGTTTTTAGGGAGATATTAAACCCTTTCCACATTCACGCCCAGTGGGACATGGACCCCAACACTTCAGATTCAATATTGCAATAAAACCTTATTGATAAATCTTCTTCTAAGCTACAAGTGAACTCAGATATTTATGCTACTGTACCACACCTGTTTAATCTGAGAGGTATTGAGATGAACATTAGCCAGCAAACCATCTGTATAGGAATACTTTACTCTTATTCACAATGGTTCATGTCACATCTAACATCTGTTAGGCCTTTGAATGCCTTTTACAGGATAGCACAGGCTGAAAAGGAGTAGGGTAACCAAATCTCTTAGAAAGGTTATGTCTGATCAATCTGATTGGTTGAATCTCTTTAGGCAATTACAGGTAAGGGAGGAATAAACCCCTGTTTTAGCTAATTGGAACGCTAAATTGCCGTTACATCTTAAGAGGCAGGAAGAAGTAAAAGCACGCAGAGAAACAGTGATTATCAGTGAAAAGTCAGGCTGACTGTGTGGCAGCAGCACAACGCCTATCAGGCAGGGACATTCAGATAAGACGCTGCTGTTTTTCGAGCCAACAATCTAATCAGTGCAGGCGCTGTAGACAGACAGATTACATATTCAAATTCAAGACGTGCATTTAGATATCACCGCAAGGTTAGATGTTCAGAATCTAAAAAACATGCCTTTGTTCTTAAGTTTGAGTTCTTCCGAAAAATCCCTTCGATGTGACAGAGCAATATAAAGTACTGCCGACTTGTGAAGAGGAAGAGAGATAATCCGCTCTTTTTAATGTTTTACAGTTGAGTTTGGGAGGAATCTGTATTCAGCTCGAACGAAGTGAACAACCTTTTGGATCTTCAGGAAACTGAAGAAGTTAAGTCTCCTAATTAACCTCTTAGGATCGTCCTGTCCTGGATGACTGAGATCTACACCGACTCAACAAAGACCTAATTTTTTCATTCTGGTCTTTATCAACATTTAGTTAGCATTTCATTTACACCGCATTTAAAAAATAACAAAAGATTGCACAAATAAACATGTAAATGTGTGAATTAAGACTCTGCTAATCTTCTCAAATTGTTTTTTTAATTCATGGACTGTAATGTTTCTAGACCAAAAATTCAAAGAATGAACTTAAACTGTTCACAGGCTTAAAATATATATATAAAAAACTTTAAAAAAAGACACACATTATCTAACTTTTTGTATTACACATCCACTTTATAACGCTAAAATGTTGCCAAGATTCATGTTATATCAAAATATCTAAAGTAACATTCATTTGACCAATACTGACTTAATATGACTCAGTTTAGAAGTATATTTAGATTTTTATGGTAATGCTTTAATTTAAAAAACATATTACTATGAGTAATTTTATCTCAGAAATAAATTAGAACTTCAGTCAAATAAGTAGACAGCCTGAACAGATTCAGATTCAGGCTGCTTTTAAAAATGATTTATAAGCAGCATTATTTACTGCGTCTAACTGGTTAAAAGGATAGATTAATTTTATTTTATGTTGAGTGGAACTGGATGATACAAAGCTGAATATGATATGAATTGATTTGCCTTGTAAAGTGCTTCTGGATTATGGCTGTGGTGATGTGGTGCTATATAAACAAAGTAAGAAGCGTTGTCTTAAATCTGCAGAAAGCCTTGAGTCATCGGATCAAACGCAAATTAAAGAACCGTTTCAAAGCTTTGTGCAGGTTTAATGTCTGATCATGCCATGCAGCATATTTGGGTAAAAAAAAAATTGCTCTGCTGCACCTGCAACCACATGAGAGCAAATGAGAGCTGGACCAACTGGAAGCCAGAAGACCCCAGACCTAAAGGGAAGAAGTACTGAAAATCTAGAAAAGAATGAAAATATGAAGAAGCACTTCACTAATAGTAAAGAATTTAAATTGAAGGTGCGAGAGATGGCTTAATGGGCCTTTAGAGGGGCGAAAAATCAAATAAGACAAAACTACAAAAGCATTGAATAGGAGATTTACGATGAGTGGTGCACCTGATCTTGTTCTTACCTGTGATCAGGAAGTCTGTGAAGATCAAGAGGGAACTGCAACAAAAGCTGACAGGACTGTGGGTTGCAGCCAGAGAGGGCAGGAAGAAGAGACTGCAGGCCAGCTTACAGGCAGATAACACCAACGCTCCTTCCAACACGCCATCCATGGCTGAAAGGACATAACAAACACAGACCAACAGGTTTTTCCTTTGGCCCGAGGGAGGAGGAGCTCAGGCATGTCAGGAACTCGACCAGAAATAAACCTTCTACTGACAAGAAATGTTTATTCAGATATATATATATATATATTTTTTAAAAGCTATCAGTCACTGATTACCATTTGATTTGATACACTGGTAAAGAACCCTGGAGCAGGCAGTGTTTGGAAAAAAACAAAAAGAAGCTCAGGGACAAGCTCAGCTGCATCCCTGAGTCAGGAAGAATTATGAAAATAATCCACCTATGCAGAGACTGAAGGGTGTCTGAAAACCTCAACAGACCACAACAATTTACAATCGGACTGCTTCAAACCGGAAAGAAAGTATTTCTGTGGTCTTTAAGAAAGAAATGTCTCACACATACAAATAAATCTTTAAAAGAGAAGACAGCAAATGCCCTGGACTTACCTGTTCTCAAAAGACACTGCAGAGCAGCATGTCAATATAAGCTTTAAATGCTTCATCCGCCTTTCTCACCTCCCCCTTTTGCTCCACCCTCAAATGGACAACCTGTCATCCCTCCTCCCCCCAGGCTTCGTCCCTGCCCTTCCTGCACCTGGTGAATGCAGGTGACAGTGTGTTCCTGGAGGGTGTGGCTGTGTTTAGGCAGGAAACAAAACCAGTGGAACGAATTCTGCAAACAGATGCTCTTTTAATGTGTCCGTTTTGTTTTTTAAAGTGAAACCTGCTGACCTGGGCAAAGAGCAGGCTGGATGGAGGACATACAAACAACTCTGTTTGTTCAGAGTGAAATGATGAATACACTCTGTGCAGCAGGTTATGCAAAGATAGGTCAAATTGTGCATTTTAATACTGTGTTGCAGTCTGCTCTTATTCATGAATAATAAATGACTTTATGAGGCAAAGGTATCTTGTAGCACGGTTACAAGCAGAATTAACCCTTTTCTGACATAGCATGCCCTTTACATGTTCAAAGACAAGCTGAATCTAATTTAAATTCACAAATGAGTCAAAAACAGGCAGTGATAATTTCAGTCCTTGCATCACATCGTTAGAAATATATACAAGATTTTCGGAAGGGTCTAGGCTTAGTGATATCAACAGGTTTTCCACCACAATTTTTCTTTGAGTTGAACATTGAATTCCAGAATTACATCAAAGACGTAATATTTCTCGTCTTTTAAACCTCCAATTCATGAACGAGCATGTAGATTTTTATAAACTATGATTTCTTCAATGTCTAATGAATGTGAAGAATAAATTAAACCGCAGCTTGTGCAACTTCATCTGCTGAGAAAATCAAGTAGACACTAGTTGGTGAAGTTTTTATGCAAGCTGATGACTTACTCGGATATATTCCTATTTTAATAACTACAGTGCTTAAAAAAAAAAAAAAGAAAGAAAAAGCACATGAACTTGTTCCACATATTTGAATTTTTATTATTACTTGTTATCTGAAGCTTCTCTATATTTGAAGTGACATTGCTCTTCATCCAATGCTGTCTTTAGCCACTGCTGCCTTGGCTGGATTCTGCCACGATGCACATTTCTGTGCCCCAAACATTTTCTCTTAATCCAAGCTTTGTTAAATTTAACAGAGCTCTATGCAACCTGCACTGTTGCAAGAGTATTGCACAGCTGTAAATCAACACATGCCACCTCCACCTAAACTCACAGATTAAGCAAGGAGAATAGCAGCCTAGAAGCAACTGGTTTACTCTGGTTAAGTCAATAAATATTTATTTCAAACAGAAAAATGGTCCATAGTTAAATAAAACCAAAGGAAAAGAATAAGTGTAGGTGACACGCTACACATCTGGAAGGATAACAATTGTCATCCTATTTGAATGTTATGCATAAAATAAATAAATAAAATCTCTGAACACATCATCCTAACCATCAAATATGCTGGGGTCACCCTCAGTTGTGTTGATAATTCACAACTGTTGAATAAAATTATGGATCTTTTGCTAAGAACTGTTCATCTATGCAGAAAGAGTTGATACTGGCAGAAAGTAACAAAAATAAAAATCAAGCAAGAGCTTTAAATGAACAATACAGGTCACAGCCTGTTTATGTGCAAACATGTTGACAGCATTTATGCAAAAGGCTCTCCATCCATTCTATTTTGCAAAAAGTAGAGGGCAAACATGTCAGTTTCTATGTGATCAAAGCTGGTAGAGACTAAAAAACCAGCAGCTTTAAACTGCTGCATTTACATTTGAAACAGATAATTTCCAGTGCTTTGTGTCAGGAAAAAATCCAGAAAACAAGACTTGAAGTAAAAAAAAAAAAAAAACTTGTAAAAAAAAAAAAAAAAAAAAAAAAGGATATAATCATAATTTAGACTAAATCATTTGTCTAAATCTGACTAAAAATAGGCTAAACTGAAATTAATCAAATTAAAATAGGCTCAGTGCAACAGGATTTAAATTGAACTTTTTAAACAATTTCTGTAAAAAGGGAGATCAATTCTGACCTCATTGTATGTAAATAAAACTGAATTGATGTCATATTGTAATCTTATCAGGCTTTGATTTTACATTTTCACTCTAGGCAAATTAGTTGGGTCTCACTGACTTTTAAATGTAAAACTTATAAAAGGTCACACCAAGCAGCAGTGAGTTAATCAGGAACAAAACCATCACAGAAACTTTTCTGTGCTCCAGGGTAGCCATCCTTTATTGTTTCACCCCTGACCTTGCTCCTCCTAACAGCAACAACTAAAACCTGCTAGGTGGGATCAGGTTGGGGGGATTCTGGTATTTAGGAGGGCCTGAGATGCATGTGCTATATCAGAATAATCAGTTTCACCATACAATGTATTCAGATGTATATAACAGAAACTGCATCCAGAAAGATGCAAGCCTTTGCAGTGTGGTGTTCCCATACAATGGTTGCTAAATGGAGTTTATTAAGGTTACTATACATGTCCCAGTCGTCTCTGAATTAATTCAAATATATTAATTCCCCATTGATCCAAGATTTAATCTTGTTACTTTGCATTCTGCATATATATTAAATTAGAATCTAAATATGAACCTCAGTGCACCTGGCTGTTTTCTGACAATAAAATGTGATTGGTTAAGATCTTGTGAAAAGACCAAAAGATTTGACAACCTATTAAGGACAGATTTGTTTTTTTTATTTAAATTTTTTGCTTAAATATTTTCTAAGATTGAAAAAGGAAAATACAAATGCAACATTGGCGATTAAACAACAGGAGAGCAACCTGAAATTGATTTTTTTTTTTTTTTTTTTGGTAAAGCCAAAAACAAAGTGACATTTTAAAAAATGTATTTCACAAATGAAACATTTTTGATTGTCTTCTTTACATTTGTATTCAAACCCCTTTACTCTGACACTCGAAAATATAATCCAGTGGAACAGACTGCCATCCAAAGAAACATAATTAGTAAACAAAGTTAACCTGACAGAAATAAAATCATATAAGAAGTAGCCTAGAGCTGTTCTACAGGGAAAGTATATTAACCCATTATGGTAGAAATGTAAAGCAATATTAGTTTGAATATACAAAATTGTTTGACTCGTGTGAATTAAGCTACATTTAGGAGTAACATCAACATTTATAAATCATGTTTCCTAACATTGTACATTATTTTCTGAAGTGGGCAATTTTCTTATTTTCTAATTTTCTTATTTTTTCCTTAGTGATAAATATTTTTTTGTTTGTTTTATGGGTTTATATCAAGTGCAATACTTTTTATTGTCATTATGCAACCATATTGAATTGTCTGTTAAGACACGAGCTAAGAATACACATAATCTGCAAATTCAAATAACTTATGGAAAAACGTTTAAAAAAGCTTTCCTAGAAGAATCCCTCAAAGATGTAAAAACAACCTCTGAAGAAGTATTATATATCAAAAATGTTACATTTTTTATTCAATTCAGTTTATTTATATAGCGCCAATTCACAACACAAGTCATCTCAAGGCAATTTACAGTTCAACCAGATCATACAGTCACATTGATTCACAGTTTTCTATCTAAGGAAAACCAGTTGATTGCATCAGCTCAATGACTCAAAGGCCATTCCTCACACTAAGCATGCTTGTAGCGACAGTGGAGAGGAAACACTCCCTTTTAACAGGAAGAAACCTCCAGCAGAATCAGTCTCAGTGTGAGCAGCCATCTGCCGAGGCCGACTGGGGTTCAAGGAGACAGAAGCAGAGATACAAACAGCAACTGTAAAAGGTGTCCCCATCCAGGAAACACACAGCCAGGCAGACGAGCTCCGAGCCAACTCCCATGTCAGAGGATAGTTTGTTTCTTGTCACATTTTAAAAAAGGAAAGTCAACACAAATGCACAATTTATCAGCACATGTAGCTTTTCTAAAGCAGCTGAAGTGAAGCAGAAAGTATAACAGCCACATGTGTGAAAGAGATGAATGTCTCTAACTACAGTGAGGGGTCAAAGGGCCCCCCAGCTGAGGCTCAGTATGGCAGTAGTGCCCTCTCCTGATGAGCTCAGCACAGAGACTATTAGCAGCCTGTCATGCTGCTGCAGCTCAGAGGATTAAGACTTAAATTCAATCATTATCTTCCACAGGAAAAATACATAGATGCATCACTTTTTACTCCTCCACTATGTATCTGTCTGCAGTATGTTTGTGTGCTTGGTTTATATTTAATATTGGGTGAAAAAAAAATGAGTCACATTCATATTATAACCCATTATTCCCACAGTAGTGACCTACAGGAGGGTTTTATTATGAGAACCCCCTTTAATTCATGCGCTCACTTTTATTAGAGCTGCGGCGCACATCTGCAACATCTGCACAGAGACGGATGGGTTGAAATCATGAGCCAGAAAATGGGTTAAAATCAGCCTTAACTGGGATTTTTTTCTTTCTCTCTCTTTGCTCTAAAATGTGTTTCGGCTGTAGCACCCAGAAGTGAACAGCAGGCGACCCGGAAGGCTTGAAGTGTGGCTGAAAGCAGACAGAAAAAGCGGAGTCCTGTTCCGTTAGAAATTGTTCTGTTTCTTCTCCTCTCGCTGGCGCAGGTATGTTGGCCTCTCCGTGAAAATAATCCGCCTCTTTCCGCAGCTTTAATCCGCTGCTCTGCATCCTAAAAGTCCTGCGGGATTAGGAATAATAAAAATGACAATGTGCGTTGTTTAAATGTTAATAAATGTTGTCTTAAGCCTAAACTAAAAGCTTTCCTGATCGTCGGGTTTGTGGCACAGCTCGGCGCTGTGGAAAATCCACGCTCATTGCCGTGGGAAGTGTCACTGTGGTTTTTTTTTTCCTCTCTCCAAGCCGGGCTATTCAAACCTGCAAATCAAAGTAAACAATCATGCCTGCGCTTTATGCAAATATGCCGCATGCATTCGCGTCGCAGTGGCCTCTAATGACAGCCGGAGGGTTATCTGCTTCTTACAGTCCTTTCTGCAGAATATGGCGTCCGTTGGTTATAAAAATAAGACAGGGCTGCCATTTTTGTTTTCCTTTTGTCTGATTTTTTTAATAAACTGTCTGAGAATGTGGGAGAGGCGGCGGACAGACCGAGGCGCTGCAGGATTGCTCTCTGTAGGGAAAAAAAACCTCAGTTGGAGCTGGTTAAAGCTTTGCAAAAATCTAAATCTGATATATGCCATTTTTGATTTTTTTTTCTGAGGCAATAACTCGCATAAGTTGATCCTAACTTTATTTAATCTTTTTTTTTCTCCTGAAAGCAACCTTAATTTAGGCATGTAAAGATTTTATAGTTTTCTGTCTGTGAAACGTTAGAAGGGCTATAAGGAATAAATTCATAACTTTTAACCCCTGTGCAACAAATATATAGCCCAGTCCAACTAAAAGAATGTCTTGCAGGTAAAGGATACAATAAACCCTTCATAGAAGGATGCACACTCTTAAATTTATATTTTGATGAAGGATCCCTTTCATTTTCAGCCATCATCTTTGTTTTTAGCAGCCCACATCTTGAAATGGTAATAATTGCCCACTCAGCCTTGCAAAGGTCCTCCAGTTCCTCTGATTGTGAAGGTCCTATGGTGACATCTAATATCTGAGCTGATAAAGCCAATCATAAAAAATGTAACTTCCTTCTGGTGCAGTCATTCCTTTTGGTAATATTTCTCCTAAAAAAAAATATATAAAAAAATAAAAGATTAGCGGTAGATGAGCTTCCATTAACCATCAATTTTAGAAAATTGGAATTACGAAAATATATTTGCTGAATGCAAACTCATGTTCCATCCATCCATCCATCCATCCATCCATCCATCCATCCATCCATCCATCCATCCATCCATCCATCCATCCATCCATCCATCCATCCATCCATCCATCCATCCATCCACTTCTGCTTATCCGGGGTCGGGTCGTGGGGGTAGCAGCTTCAGTAGGGAGGCCCAGACTGGAACACCTCACCAGGGAGACGTCCAGGAGGCATCCTAATTAGATGCCCGAGCCACCTCATTCGGCTCCTCTCGATTTTATCCATAAACTCATGTTTATGAAAAAAAAGTTTGAATGAAGTTTTTTATGGTCGCCGAAATTCTTAGATTTCGCAAAATTGAACTGAAAATTGAGCGCTTTTTTTTCCGTATCACACGACTCATCTGCAACTGGAGCTTAGTGCCTTTCATGAAGACGAGAAGAAGACCCAGCATGTTTGGATTCTGGATGAGACTATATTTTTAACACAGATCTTGAGCACGATGAGCACTAGAGCGGTGACTGATATATAAATATATCTCATGTGTTAACACCCACAGCTGCCATGTTTTCCTTCAGAGTTATCACTAACAGATTCATTTTCACTATATTTCTTATCTAATGGAAATGCCAAAAAAAGTTTTTTTTAAAGTAAAAAAAAACAATCCGCTGGACTTGGTTTTTCATGTGAAGACATTTCGCTTCCCATCCAGAAAGGGTTTCAATTCAAAATACCTGGATTAGCTTTGAGTTCCAAGCTTTATGGAGTAGCCCAACAAAGCCTTTTTATGGCTTAGAAAACATGCAAATTGAACTGAAAGAACAGGTCCACCCTTTAGTAATGGGGAGTCATTGACTAGTTGACCAGGCAAGATGCTTTGAGATGATAGTGGGAAGGAATCAACTCTAATGCTGGCTGCAAACACCTTTCAAAGCCGTTTACTGTATGTTAAGAGAAAAAACAACTTTAAACAGAGGGGGTGATCTCAGGTTCCAGCTCTCAAAAACCTATAACGCAACAATAGTGTTGATTCCTTCCCGCTATAATTTCAACCCCCATCAACATGCAGGGGACCAAAACATTTCGCTTGGTCAGCCAGCAATGACTCTAAAGACTCCCTTTTCAGAGGCATAGGCCAGTATCAGGCATTGCAGACCACCAACGACCTCAATGACTACCAAGGGGTGGACATGTTCTTTCGGTTCAATTTGCATGTTTTCTAAGCCATATTAAGGCTTTGTTGGGCTACTCTGTAAAGCTTTGAACTCAAAGCTAATCCAGACATTTTTAATTCAAAAATCTTCCTGGATGGGAAATAAAACTGCTTAAAACGTGGAAGACAAAGTCCACTGGTTTGCTTTTTTACTTTTTAAACTTTCTTGTAATGACTACGACCTGGATGACTGAGAATCTTCACCAGCATGTTAAAGAAAAATACCACAATTGCATTTTCAAAATTAGCAGCATATCAACATAGTTTGCTACATCTTTAATGGGAACCCAGCTGTTAAAAATAAACTAAGTCAATCTTCTAATTTTATTTTGGAAGGTTTTTGATAAATATACTGTTCTATACTGCAACTTACAAAAACTGGCAATTATTTTATTTTTTTTAGGTAGCCCCACAGAATGATGCTGCCACTACCATGTTTCACATTGTGTTGTTCTTTTTTTTCATGTCAAACAAACCTTTATAACGTTGACCAAAATTTTTGTTTTGTTTCAGCAGTTTTGTGAAGATTTTACCCTGAGCCAGATGTTTTCTTTGAAGAAGGTGCTTTCTTTTACGTGTTAGTCCAGACATATGGAGAGGGAGATTGTTGTCACATAACACAGCGAGTTTAACCAGAAATTGCTAAATTTTCTTTAGTATAACTTTAGGCTTTTAGCATAGCCACTGAACAGTTTCTATGTTGTTGGGTTTTTTATCAGTTCTGGAGAAACATCCACTGTAGTATGTACGGTAATTTAGACCAAAATTAGGTGGATGTTTTTGTTCTCTTATCCTGACTGATACCTTTGCACAGAAATCATTTTATAGTCTCTGGTACTGGTGACATCAGGAAATCTATCCAAAAGACATATCAGTGAAATCCTACTGGAAAAGCTGAACTTGTGGTTTAATTCTGTATAATTCAAGGCATACTGACACCGGGAAGTCTAACTCTGGAACTGAATCACAAAAATGCTTCAACAAAGTAATAATTTAAGGGTGTGTAAATGAATGCAAACAAGCTATTAAAGCGTTCTGAAATCTTACAACTACATGTTGGTAGTCATACCCCTGAAGTTTTTTTTTTATTATTTTTTAAATATGTTACATTTGCAAACTTGAATTAATATAGATTTTGTATAACTGACGAAATGATTTATAACTGTAAAAAACAATAATGAGGCATAGTTTTCAGAAGTTTTTAATCAATCCAAATTCTAAAATGGCTGCAGGATTCTTACTCAGGCCTTTTCGGAGACGGGACATTATGATCCTTCTACAGAGAGAGTGTTGAGAGCTGATTTTCTTTTAATTTCATGCAACCGTTACCTACAGTTGATCTGTCATATCTGAGGAAAAACAACATGGTTTGTGGTTGCAATATGAGAGAAATGTAAATTAGGTAAAGTACCATCTCATGCAAAATATTAGAAATGCTCATTACTTTTAATGATAGGGAAGTAAAAGAATTGAGGTTTATTTGATCATTTATATTAAAAATGATTAAGAGATCAATCCTTGAATTAACAGGATTTAACATGTTAAAATAAACAAGCTACTCTCAATTCATCGCAAGATATGTATATACAGACAGACAGACAGACAGACAGACAGATAGATAGATAGATAGATAGATAGATAGATAGATAGATAGATAAATATTAAATACACAAAGTTACTCGGAACAGCCCTATAAGCTAGAGCAATAAACGGAAAAACCTCTCTTTTTTTTCTTGACTAAAAACCACTGCAATCAGATGCTGGTTTAAAAACCAACACAGCTTATAAAAAGCAGAAAAACTCCCCTGAGGCAGAAAGCCTCTATCGTTATAGAAAATTGCTTTGGAGGAACATTGTATGCTTGTACCTCTAGATGTATTGGTTTTGTTTCTCTTGGCTTGCACATGTGGACTTTGTTATCCTTTTGCTAAGCCAAACAGACTTAGGAATGGTGCTGTGTGCCAAAGCATGCAAGGCAAAATATTTCAAAAAGATTTTAGAGAGGGGTGGAAAGGAGAAGTTGTGAAAAGAAAGGCCTTCAAAGCACAAATTGGATGGTAAGGGTCTCATTCTGCTTGTCAGAGAGAAACATTTTCAGCCTTCCGGTTAAACTTGATTAGTCAGATCAATTGTTGTGCTTCTCAATTAGTCAGAGCTTTTATACTTACTAATAAATGTTTGATGTTATCAATTCAAACCTTGCTGAAAATATTCCTTGTCTACAAGTTTCCATGCAATGCAATTGTAGTTACTTTTAATTTGAGTATGCAAATAAGATGATCTTCTAATAAAATTAGTATTTTTACCCTAAAATAATATAATTAGGTATTACACAATTGATATAGAAGACTGCGGTTGTTTTTTTTTCCTATTTGAAATGTAAATTGTTTTATTCCATTGGTAAAATGTCTCACCTACACTTATTTAAGAAAAACTGACTTACTCAGAATAATTTTTTTTTTGCAGTGTAGCTTCTCACTCTGGAAACGTCTCTTCATTCTTAGAAAGTCGTCTAAATTTGCTCATTCTCTCCTTACATTTTACTAGTCTGGTCACCTTGTTTCAAGGAGGAAAGATAAAGAAAGCGAGCGATTAAAATCTAAGTCACTATGGGCTATGTTCTTTTCTGATAACTGGTTCTCAACTGTTAAAACCACGTGAGAGCATTGAGGCTCCTCCAGAAAATGTATGTTTGTGAATCCTAACAAAAAGCGGCAAATGTAATTTTGGAAATATAAATCCTATTGAGGTAATTCACCTTGCCGCCTCACAAACATCCTCCCTGCTTTATAACATTCCATAGTGACAGTATGAGGATGCAGAGTTTGGACAAACAGAAACTATATTTGTGGAAATACACTATCACAAGACTGATAAATACACCAGTCAGTTACTGCTCAGCTAGTGGGCGACTGTTGCGTTTTTTAACCACATTAATAAATCCACATAAAAGTTTACAGGTCACAGAGTTAAAGTAAAGGAAAGCACACATGCTTTAACAAATCACTAGCCCAAACAGTCAGAAATAACTGTGTGACAACTAGGGAGGCCCTGATGCAATATTGATATGGAAAATCGGTCTGATAACACAAATGTAGGAATATATCGGCTATCCACTTCTTTTTCAAGTCAGTGTTTATATTCCTTGGGTCAGTTCCCTTACCTATGGTTGCTGACTATTGCTCTGTGTTTGAGTATTTAATCAAGATGTTTATAAAATCCCACAATAAGAAATAAGTAATAAAAGCTTTTTAGGTTTGAGGTGATTTATTAGATCAATATTGGTAACAATCAATTCAAGCTGCAATATCTGTAAATAAAAAAGTTGTATTAAAAAAAAAACCCTGGTGACAACAGGGGCTGCAGAAGTTTAAATTTCTTCGATGGAGTATAAGAGATCTGGTCCCTTTCATAATCCTGTGTTTTTCTTTCAGGATGGCTGAACCCCGATTTAACAATCCTTACTTTTGGCCCCCTCCTCCTTCTATGCCTGGCCAGGTGAGACTCATGTTTTACTATGGAAAATATTGTTAGGAGAGTTTAACAAATAAATGTTAAAACATAGGATCCAGCTCCCTGTGTACTTCAGTTATCTGAAATAAAATCTATGATTATGATAAAAATATAAAACACATATTTTTTTAATCTATAAACAGCACATACAGAAGCATGACATCCTATTTTGCGGTTTTTACCAATTGTAGCTAACCTTAGCTTAGCTGAGTTCAGTTTAAAACAATTGGCTTATCTTAATCCAGAAGTTAGAAAAATCCCTTGATTAAATGCAAAACACGTTATCCTAAAAACATCAAATCATGCTAACTTGACCTGCAGAAATGCCTATTTATAAAAATTTTGCAAAACAAAAAACCCCCCCACCTTTACCCTCAGCCAGGGTATTACGTTGACACTGTCTCCTAAAACTCCGGAGTCATCTGGCTGTATTTTAACAAACATGTTAGTAGTAGCCATACATACGAATATTTAGATATAGTGGTTTGCAAAAGCATTCATAAGCCTTTCCACCTTTCCACATCTTGTCACAGTACAACCAAAAACATAAATGTATTTTATGGGAATTTTTTAAAGGCCGACATAAAGTGGTTTACAATTGTTAGGTTGAAAGAGAATGATTCAATTATATTTGTTGCTATTTAGCAACCCTGAGTTAATACTTTGTGGAACCACCTTTCCTGTGATTACAGCTGCAAGTCTTTTAGGGTATGTCTCCTCTGGCGTTGCACATGTTATGAATTACTGAATAAACAGCATGTATACACACTATATTAAAACAAACAAAAAAAACGTCCTCACCCACCGAGGGCGACCTCCCTTTTTTCTCTCCAAGCTTGATGGTTCTGCGCAGCACCTAGTAACACTAAAAAAAAAAATAAAAATTATATATTTATATATATATATATATATATATATATATATATATATATATATATATATATATATATATATATATATATATATATAATAGAGATAGAGAGAGAGAGAAAGATAAATGTGCATAAACATATGCTTTGCAACATGCAAAGATCCGATCAGAATATTCTATTACTCTTAACCCCACTAATAATAATGTTTGTTTTTAACAAAAAAAAACAAAACAAAACCATGAAATTCTGTTTAATATTCAGCGAGTTAAAGTTGATTAAAATTTATTCTGTGCCTGCACTTTATTACACTAAGCGGAGCTGTCGACCGCCCCAAGATGGCACAACCAAATCACATCAGTGCCAATAGGCGAAAGCTGTCGATGCGGGGTCTACTCCTGTTTATGTCTATGTTCATTAAAAGGAGTTTAAGGGGAAATTTTGTTTTCTCTTTCTGAGATTCACAGTTTTTCCTTACATTGAAGATGGAGGTTACTTATTGCATTGTGTTTCTGGAAAAACAGAGTGCTTAGTGCAGTAGAATCACTGATCTCTATTCACTGGATTGACCTTTGGTAGTACATGTTGCTGTGATGTCACCAGCCGCCATTTTGGTACTCTCTTGTTAAACCTGTCAAAATGTAAAAGATACGTGCGCTACAGCATCGAACAACGATGATTTTCTCATTTTCAGGGGGCTTAAGACTTTTAAAATAAATATAAATTCATCATTTTGACACACACTTGCTGTTTCATAGCATCACTAGATTACTGTATTTTATAGTAAAAGATTGGCACATCACATGGCATATTCAGTAAGAAGTCTATAGATCATGTAATATAATTATACAAATTCATCACAACAACATTAGTGTTTTAATGGAGCACTATAATACTGTACTTAGATATTAAGAATACACACATAGAGACAAACACAAACATATTGTTCTCTATCCTCATGGGGACTTTCAATTGACTTCCATTCATTTCTAACCCATTTCTGCAGCCTAAATTTGACCCTTACCCTAACCATTACGGTTCATACCTAACCTTAATCTTAACCTAAACTCAATTCACACCTTAGTCCTAAACCTAACCCTAAAAGAAGCATTTGTACCCATGGGAACCAGACATTGGTCCCCATTAGAGCACTCGGTCTCCACGATGTACTAAAATTTATGGAAAGTGGACCCCACCATGTAATAAATGCATGCCCACGCACACACCCAATCTGTCTAAAGTGCTAAATTGATGATGTACATGTAATATACATGTATACATTACATTGTTATGGTACTTACAAATTTCAAGCTTTTACATCAAGACTGAATTATAAGTATATGTCTGTTAATGCTATAGTATTTTTCCGTTTGCAAACTGTATATATAATAATATATACAAATGATAAGATTTTTTTTATTATTATTGGTTTCTTTACTTAATAGAGCTGCAATACTATCTAATGCAACCACATAATTTTGACCATTTTGTTTTTCAATCCAGTTTAAACTTATTAATATTGCTATTAATTTGACTGCATTAACTGATAAGTCGTCTGTAGTACTTTTCTTCATTCCTTTGTCTAGATGAGGAATATACACTGCTGCCCCAATGCGGCCTGATTCTGGTTCTTTTGATCCATCTGTAAACTTTATCTGAAAAACATTTGAATATATATATTGTTGTACAATGACACATTGTGGAACTCCTTTTTCTTTAGTCTTTATTAATTTATGCAAAACTCTACACATTGATTAATAAATATTCAGTATGGAATATCTGAGTAATGTACAGATAGACTTATCTATTTTATACAGCTCTGCATTTTGAGCTTTTGCATTAGAAATCCATCCAAAACTAAATATATTTACTTTGCTGTGTTCCCAACACTCCTGTAAGATGGTTTTGACCAGATGTGACTGCTCATGACCTTTAATATTAACACACTAAATTAACATTTATTTTAATCTACTAATTCGTAGAGGCATTTCTCCAGTTTCAACTTGTAATGAACTAATTGGTGATGTTTTAAACGCTTCACCACTTTATCAAAGGGCTTTTAATTGTTCAATATCAAGAAGCTTCAGATTGATATCTGCTGCTGCTATATAACTAATGCTAGCATAATCTAGAGTTAAAGGCATAAGAGATTGTAAAATATTCAACAATGACGTTCTATTTGTTCCCCATTCCCTTCCTGCTAAACAAAGTAAAATATTTATATTTTTACATTTTTTCTTGACTTTTTCAATACGTTTTTCATTAAACACAAATCGAATAACTTTAACATGTTCAAGATTTTGACCATACATTTTTAAAAATGTATGTTTTGGTCTCATTGAAAAACAGATAACGTGGGACTTTGTTATTGATAACTTAAAAATTTGTTGGACCATGTTTCAACTTTATTAATTGCATTCTGCATTTTATCCTGACATAATTCTAGGTTACGACCTCAAATCCAAAAGGCTCCATCATCTGGTAATAAAGATTTTCCAATTCCTGGATCTGCTTCACCAAATATGTGATTAATCATTATCATAAATAATATAAGGCTGCATACACTACCTTCAGGAGCAGAGAAAATTTAGTTGCCTTTAAGGGTTTAAATTCAGAGCTTTACCGGGTCATCAGGTGTTTCATATCAGCAATTACTGTAAGTGCTGCAAGAAAGGTAAATGCCTAACCTAACCACAAGGGGTCGCAAATCCTTTCCTATGGTGTCCTATTGCTAGATAGAGTCTGTCCTTAATGACAGCCTTACCAGCCACACTTGGACAGAAAAACATTTTAACTGTTTAAAGTATAAATACCTTAGAGGAAAAACAGATTAATGCTACGATTTTAACCCTTTATGTTCAAATGTTTTTATTTCCTGTGTTGTTTTTTTGAGTCTCAATAGAGATTTCAATAGTTTCCCAAATCAGTTGCTTTGTTTGTCTTTCATTTTTTTTTTTTTTTTACATTTCCAAGCTAAAATTATGACCTCTTTGGTCGATCAGCACAACATACTTATTCTTGTTGAAGAGTGTGTTAGCACTTAATTTTATCTGAAGACATAGGATGTGCACGACCATGATTATATGACTTATGGATTTACTGGATTAAATTTGCCACAATCAATAAACAGATAAAGGTTTTTCTTACAGAAACAACATATTCTTTCATGCATTTTCCATCAAGCTTATCCCAACAACATATGGTTAGAAAGGTTGAATATTAATATAAAAATCTATTTCAGAAACTGTCATTATTTCTAAACTTATTATTTATTATTTCAGAAGTCTTTAGAGATCATCAATAGATGATGATTAAAAGACCTTCTTGGAAAAGTAGAATAAAAGGCACTTTAGGACCTCTGTCTTGTAAGAAGTGTAAATATGTTATCTTTTTTGGACAAATTCTACTTTCAAAATATGTGACAGTGTTAGGATGTCATCCTAAATGGCATTCCTTAAATGTCTCTAAGCTTTGCTGCAGTGTCATGTACTGACCAGTAGAGGGTACCATTGCCCTGTAAAGTGTCACTGATTGAACTGATGCTGGTTGTTCTCTTGTCACTAATGTTGGTTTCTGGCTGTCAGCTGGATAACCTAGTCTTGATCAATAAAATCAAGGAGCAGCTGATGGCGGAGAAGATCCGGCCACCACATCTGCCCACTTCTTCGGCCGCCTCCCAACAGCCTCTTCTGTCTCCCTCCGGCCCGGCCGAAGGCAGCCAGCACGGCATGTCCAAACCTCAGCAGGGGTCAGGGCTGCACAGTCCAAGCCCCTCTCAGCCTGATATTGCCCTGCATGCCCGCCCTGCCTCCAGCTCTGTCACAGGTACTCCAGCTGCCTCCACAAGCCTGAGTTCAATTTTCAAATTAATTTAAAACAACACACACATGTTTAGGTAAAGATATTTAGAGGTGTGTTTTGTTTTTTACTAGGTCGTATTCTTGGAGACGTGAACTTGAATCTGGATGACAAAGCAGCTCTGAAAGCCCGTGGGCTGTGGGAGGACTGGCATCTGCGTCAGCTCATAGACCATCCCTCTAGAACGAACCATGTCTCAGGTAAGCAAACATTTCACTATGTCCTACCAGACAAACAGAGGTGGTGAAGATTCTCAGTCATCCAGGTCATAGAAAGAAAATTAAAAACAATCCACTAGACTTTGTTTCCAAGTTTGAAGACCTTTTGCTTACCATTCAGGAAGCTTTCTCAATTCAAAACTTTGGATCCACTCCTACACTTTAAGGCATGCCAGGTGTCTTTATCAAACATGTGTACATGAAAAAGAGAAAAAACATAATAGGAAAAGTACATTGCAGATGCATAAATGGAGTTAAATAATAATTGAACACAAATAATTATAAAGAATACATTTAATAATGAAATTGATAGATGATAAACAAAACAAAGTAATGATAAAATGATTGATAATAAAATGATAAGATACTCAAAGGAAAGTTGGATTGCAAAGCTTAACTAATATTTTTTAGATAGCACGGTCAAAGCCCTCTTTAAAAACAAATACGTTTTTAGTCCAGTTTTTAAATAATTTATAGTTTAGTGCTTTTACAAGTTTCCGGGAATTTATTCCAGATTAGTGGAGCATATGAACTAAATGTTGCTTCTCTGTTTGGTTCTGGTTTTGTGTATAAAGAGTAGATTAGAGCCAGAAGAAGAGACGTCTGAAGGCTGATACTGATAGCAGGTGCTGTGGTGATAAGCGATGAGGTCATTATTTTAAAGCTCAGAGATAGGCAGAGCCAATATAAGGACGGGGGTGATGTGCTCTACTTCCTTAGTTTAAGTAAGGACGAGGACAGCAGCATTCTGGATCAACTGCAGCTGTCCGATTAATTTTATTAGGCAGACCTGTGAAAACACTGTTGAAGTCAATTGTTATAAAATATGAACACATTGATTAGTTTATTAAGCTCCTGTGGAGACATTAGTCTTTTAATCCTAGGATTTTCATTTTGTTTATACAAGGCTTATATTCTTCCTCTATGGATTTACAGTATGTGTGTGGTTCTCTTTCTTATCAGAGTACTGCCCTTCATTTCTCTATACGTGTTCCTCTTAACTTGTTTTTATTAACAGCATCTATATTTTCCCAATGACACCTAATCTCGAGTAAACTTTTCTGTTCTGTTCTGTTCTGTTTTCTGTAAACTGTTCTGTTGGAGGCATTCATACTTACCCATAATAAATTATAATCAGTTTAAGCCACTCCTGTTTAGGTGAATTGGACTGAATTGTTAAAATCTCACAGGGTCCCTATGTAGTCTGAAAAATTACAAAAACAAATAAAATTTGATTCAAGTATTTTTCAAATAAGAAAATGGAAAAACCTGTTACTGTTTCAACAACGCCTATTTCAAACTGACCATTCCCAACTTATGCACAGATGTTTATCCAGTTAAGAAACTCTGCAAAGTTTCTGCAAGGTCACCTTACACCCTTGTGACCTTCAACAAATACACTGCTTGCTTAAAAAAGTTGAACACACAATTTTAACTTCACAGTATCAAATGAACTAGATGATTATGGGTAAATCCTTCATTTTGTTAATAGTTGCAAATACAGCATAAAAATGATCTTAAAACATTTATATAATGACTTTGGTCATCGCAGTGTGCCAGGAAGTAACTGCTCTGCTGAACCATTAAGAACAAGAGAAGCTTGCATCAAGAAAAAAGTTCAATGTCAAAAATGATTTTCTAAAATTAGCTCCTTAAATCTAATTGTAAATGTAACCATCATAATTATGTGTTTCTTATTTATTGGGTCAAATCAGTTAGTGATTTTGTTTTTGACAAATTGTGCAACACTCTTGCGTAAGCATTATGAGTGGCTTTCATAGAAATCAAAAAAGCAGCTTGGTTGGTGCTGTAGTTTTTAACTCAGCTGCCTTCCAACAGGGCGATCGTGGGTTCGATCCCAGCCTGAGTCATTTTTCTGTTGAAAACTGTTAAGTCTGAGTAGGTATTACCTAATTTCTCTAATAAATTGGAGTCCCTGTTCTTAGCCAAACTTAGTGTGAATTGTTACCTTTGATTTTTGGAGTAAATTCTTTTGGTCGCTACAACTGCAAAGAGTTAATGTGGAATGTACAATTTGAAAGTACAGGGAATATCATTAAAATCCTATTTCTTTATACTTTATTTCACAGATGCCAGTTTATTGTAAAATGTTATATTTAATTTTATCAACAGTATCTGACTTTCTGAAGTTCTCTTTCAGCTGTGCTTTTTACTAACTGTCTGAAGCAAGGACAGATGAGCTTAAAAAGCAGGAAAATGTTTCAGCATAACGCTTAATAATTATATTATTTAAACATCCTCTTATGTTTATTGTTGGGCCTGTCAGGTGTGGCACTGGCATCCAGAACTGGGAACCTCAGCACTTCAGAGATCATAACCCCCACAACTCCCACCTCAAGCAGCCACAGTCGGCTTGGTGGAGCCCCTACCCCTCAACTCATCTCAGGGTTAGCTGGAAGCCACGGCATGGAGCACGGGAAAACAAACGGAGGCTTTGTTGGACTCCTCGGCCCTCCTCCAAAGCAGGAACGAGGGCGCAAGAAGATCAAGGCAGAGAACGGGTCTTCACTTTTGGTGGTACCGTACCCGATCCTCGCCTCTGGCAACGATCAGTCCTGCGTCACCATTACTGCAAAAGAGGGGAAAACATACAGGTGAGATAAAAAAAAATGGTTTGCTAACAGTGCACCTCAGATTCATTGGATTTTTGAATAATGATGAGGTCAGAGTGAAGTTTAATCTGCTGTACCTCAAACCACACAGATACACAAAGCAAGAAACAAATAAAGATAATAAAAGATTTAAGATGTCATTAAGCTTTACTTAGCCGTTTAATTTACCATCAGAAAACTTTGTAGATCATGAGCAAAAAAAAATCTGCAGCCGTAATTAATCATCAGGTCATGATATAATAATACTGTAATAATAATTGAACTTTATTGATCCTACATTGGAGAAATGTACCTCTGCATTTAAACACTAGGCCACCACATGTTTTCCAATTCTTAAGAACTGATGAAAAATAAAGACAACTAGTAAAAACACAAGTAGTGACAGGTAAGTGGAGAAAAGAGAAAAAAAAAAAAAACAATAAATCATACCAGAGCAGGATTTAAAAGCAAAAATAAATCCAGCAGAAGTAACCTAGTTATGCGACGTATCAATTTAACAATTCCCATATCTACCCCTGTCTTGCAAAAAAAATGTTTTATTACTTCCTAGTATATATTCTAACCTGTAATAAGAATAGAGGAAAAACATCTACAGTTTTTCCGGTGGAAACAAACCACGACAGTGAGTAAAAATAGAAATTAATTACACGGATACTGATATGGTTTTATGGGTTTGTTTGTGTTAACATCAATCATTGTGGGTAATTGTGGAAACTTAAAATTCTGTTTCTGAGGTTATTTCTTAGAAAACGTTGTAAAAAAAATATAAAATTGTAAACTTGCTCAAAAGGAAGTAAATATACTTGCATGTAAAGTATATGAGGACGCCTCACTGCATCCATGCAGCGTGGCATGAGGGACCAAGCTGCAATTTTTGCTATTTAGGAATAAAACAGCAACCATTAAGTTTTCTACATTTTGTCTGTTTCATCTTGACATCATGATCATTTTTGTGATTTACCTTTGCTGCATCAAAACAAACAGAAAACATTGAAATGTTATCTTCATTTAAAAAAACAGCTTTTTTAAAAATCCAATTAGCATTAGTTTTACTCTCTGAATTGTTTACTTGATTATATATTTATTATTTGAGATGCATGTTTATATCTGTCTGGTTAAAGTAACAATGTATCATTTTGTCAACCAGGGGCAATTTCCCTGTAACTTTTCAGGTTTAGCCCCCTTTAGCACCCAGCACTGCACTGTCCCTAAATAAAATGGCCTCCCTCTGAATCAGACCACTTTGGACCAGCAGACTGAGAAGTGATTGAGTTACATGTAAACATAAGGCCACTCTATATTAAATCCTAATTCATTGATCATTTTATGAAAACAAAACTGCACTTTGGTGCTGTAACAAGCTGTTTTTTTAAGTTCTTTTTAAATAAAATTGCAATTGACATCAGAAAACTAAAAATATGTCTAATGAGGTAAGGGTCATATCTGTTTTATTCCCTAACAGCAATATGCTGGTGGAGATTTTCAGTCATGCAGGTCATAGTCATTCCAAAAAGGTTTAAAAACAATCCAAGTTTGAAGATGTTTTGCTTCCCATTTCATTATTATTTTTTTTGACTTTTTTGGAAACCCTAACAGCAATGTTTAGCTTAGTTAGCTCTCATGGTTAAGGAGAGCTCAGATATCCATAAAGCAGTGCTCCAGATCACATGACCCATTCAGACCTTCTAAGGTTACGTGGGTAAAATTTTAAGAACAGAGCTGAACAATAATTTAATATGTGAAATAGAGTTACTATTTGATGCAGTGTTGCTTTTATTCCTGTATTTCATACTAGTTTTCTCTTTTGCTGAAATGCCTCCAAGTACTAGTATATGCCTCTATGGTAAAAAAAAAAAAAAAAAAGAAACAATCATTCCTTAACCTTAAGCTAGTCCTTTCTCTTCATGAACAAAGCTTCATCTTCTTTAACAATTTTCTTATTTCTGTTCTGTGTGCTTCTCTGCTTACATATAACCACTGTTTTCTTTTCTCAGATGTAAAGTGTGTCCGCTGACCTTCTTCTCCAAGTCAGACATGCAAATTCACTCCAAAACACACACAGAGGCGAAGGCCCACAAGTGTCCTCACTGCACCAAGACCTTTGCAAACGCTTCATACCTGGCCCAGCATCTGCGCATACATCTGGGCCTCAAGCCGTACCGCTGCTCCTACTGTGAAAGATGCTTCCGTCAGCTCTCCCACCTTCAGCAGCACATAAGGTCAGTCCTCTCGCAGAGATCCAGTGAATCTATAGCAACTAGATCTAAAGCACAATGTTTCCAATTGTACTCATCCTCGCAATAATAATCTGCTCTGCTGCTTTACAGAGAATGCAGATTTATGTAATGTATTATGTTTTATGATACGGTGTATCTGACTTCTTGGGTCGACATTTACTCTCTTTATTGACCACATTTGTGTATCTTCAGAGTCACAGATACTAAAGCTCATCAATAGCGGTCCTGATATTACATCTTAAACTTAGACAAACTTAATTATCATTTTGTATACAAAACGAAATTTTGATACATACAGCTTTTCGACAGTGGATGAGCAGCAGCTTACAGGTGAAATGAACATTTCCATTTATAAAGTGCAGCAGTGATCTAAATGTAAACAGTGTAGGAGAGACATGGTGCAAAAGGCATTGATGTGGAAGGTTCAGAGCAGTGCAAAAATAAATAAGTAAACATGATGCAAAATGCAGTCGAAACACTGAGTTGAATTCTATTTTAAAGATTCACCATGTAGTGCAAGTATGATGTGTATGTGTGATGCAGAGTCTCGATTTGTGACTTGATTAGAGTTTTATGGCAACAGTCTTATGGCAGTGGGGAAAAAGCTGTTACAGAATCGGCTGGTCCTGCAGCGGATACTGCCATGCCTCTTTTCAGAGGGCAGCAGGGAGAGCAGTCCATGGTGGGGTGTGAGGGGTTGCTGATGTTGTTACGGACTTGGGACACGCAGCGCTGGGATGACTTTACGGAGAGGAGTGGAGCCTTGATTATCCTTTCTGCTGTTGTTCTCATGTTCTTCCAACCTGAGGTGCTGCAGCCTCCACACCACACACTGAGACAGCTGGTCAGAACTCTCTCTATGGTGCTTCTGTAGAAGGTCTCGGGGATGGGTGGGGGCAGTTACAGCAGCAGACTGCAGTCCTTTTTCTCTACTAAGTGTGAACAAACTGGAATCATTTTAAGTTTTAACCAAGGGGAGAAATGTCTGCAAATACTCAGAACAAGGTAGCAGTTCTCATTCAACATCCATCTATCCATCCATTCATCCATGCATCCTGTCATCCATCAGGTTCATGGTTGTAATGCAAAAGGCTGCTCCTTTAATTTTTAGAATAAAATGGATTATTTGCCAGATTAACTGCTTATATGTAAATTTGCCTCTGTTAAATCCCATGAGTTCAAGATCATTTGAATACATCATGGTTTTTATGGTTCAATTAAAAATTAATTTAAAACAGTGCAAAAAAAGTTTGGTTTAAGGAGAAATAGAAAGAAATGTATTTATATATTGAAGTTTTTTTATAACGTTGGTTATGTTTTATGAATTGTTTATGCTCTTTTTTTTCAAACTTTTGAGCTTTAGTTTTGGTTTTATAAAAATTTTAATATTTCATTTAAATCAAACACAACAAACATTTAAGGAAATACTAACACATTTTTTCCCCCAAAATGTCTCAGAAAGTATTAAAAGATGAACATTTTGTGCAAAAAACGTTTTTTAACTGCTAGATTTATTTATGATTCTAGTATAAAAAAAGTAAGCAAAAATCTGAATTTCCAAAAATGAACATATTTTACATTGATTTATATGTTGCTTTCTGCTCTTGGTTGACAAATTAGATTCTTGTTTTCTTTCAGCCTGTGAATCATTTCGATTTTGTAATCATGCTCACTCATTCAATAACCTACAAAGCATCAATTAATTTCTTTTTCCAGCTCTGAAACCTGTTAGTCGTGGTTCTAAAGCTAAGTCTTATTAAAGTTAATGAAATAAGGTATGATTGTTGTTGATAGTCCAGATCCTCTAGGTTCAACTGATCTAAGTTTGTCCAGATCTTTAAGAGATCGAAAAGACTTTATTGGAAATTGTAATAACACCCAATTTAGATAAGTCTAACAGTTTAAGTCAGATTGGTGAACAGAGGGGTACCTGAATGTTCATTTGTAGAAAAGGGAAAAAGTCTAGAATATTTAGTCAGGAAATCTAGGGAAGTTTTACTTGTAAGATTTCTTTAACAATCCCAGAAGAAATTTTATTAATGGGAACTAATTTTGGATGAGATGGAAATCCCAACAAAAAAGCTGTGAAAACAATAAGTCATAAGATTTATTTTAAAAATATATTCTACTCAGGCATTTTTGTATCCCTCTATTTTATGTGATTGCAGCATTTCCTTTAGCAGTGCTTTTGTGTTTCTCTGCTTGTTTCCATGTTTGGAGCACATTGGGCCATGAGCACCTGTCAGCCACCATACAAATCTCCTCTGAATTAAAAGCACATTCCCTGTAACTCTTGTAATCTTTCTGTGAAAAGTATAATCACTGTAATTACTGTAAATATTACATGATTCAACATTAGAGAGGAAAGAAAATAATTTGAAACAAATTCTTCAATGGATTTGACAGCATTTAGTTTGTTTTTTTAGGAGTAAAAACATTAGCCTAATTATCTTTGTTGTTTTTTCTGTGGCTTTGTATTTTCTTTTCCTGTGTCGGTTTATCTCTTAGTATTTTATTCCAGTTCTTTTTTGCTTTCCTGTCCGACTTGCTTTTTGTGTTTCAGGATCCACACAGGTGACCGCCCCTATAAATGCCTCCATCCAGGATGTGAGAAAGCCTTTACCCAACTCTCTAATTTGCAGGTAAACATGAGCTGTTTTCTCCACCTATGCTTTTAAACCCTCACCTAAAAATAGCTCTTGTTTTACATAACATTATCCTTATGATCACCATAACTTGACCTCTTCTTTTTGAATTCTTGCTTGGAAAAATTTAACTTCACAAATTCATTACCGAAATGTTTTTATACATGTTTTTGTACACCATGGGTTTAGCTACAAAAAGACAAAAATATTGTAGTACACTGTTTTACAGTGCATTTGTTGTTGTTTTTTTCTATTGTTTTTAATCTTGCTTAAACATTTCCTAACTAAATAGGCACAATTCTTAAATATAAATATACCAATTTTTACATTTTTTGGGTGGAAATCGGGGAATATGTGTAAAAAAAAACTGCATTAGGGAAGAAAAAAAAAGGAAAAAACGATTCAGCCAATCTAAAGTTGTTGAACTTTAGCTTTGGGAGATGCTTTATAGCAGGCTGCAAAAGATTTTGTGCCACAATTTACTAGTGTTTACAGCTATTTTGAGCAAAAACCTCTTTTCCATTTAAATAAAATAAACCCCAGATCATGATGCTTCCATCCCCTTTTAAGTTATAATGTAAAATATAAATAAAGTATCAACAAAGGCTGAGGATGGAAATTACAAATCAGGCTAAAAGCTTTGGGGCCACATATATAGCTTAGTGACAAAGTGAAAAAAAATGTTTTGGTTGCATTTATCTAAATCTCAGTTATTTATGAAGAAAAATCCCCCAAATTCTGACTAAGCCCTCAGGACAGGTTATTCTTTGTTGAAATGTTTTGTCTAATTCTTTGTAAGCAGAAACCAAAAATTTCTTACAAAAAAAATGTATAAAGAAATATTGTTTTAAAAATTTTGGCTGGTCCAAAAAATATACCTTTTTTACTTGAGGTTATGAAAGCTTTCTATATTAGAAAGTTAAAAACGACGTGAGATGGAGATCAGGCGTTGCCAGATCCTAGTAGCTCCGTAATAAAGCTGAAAAACGTCTTCCTTTGCATTACATTTCTCAGACTAGAGCCAAAACCGATAGAAGGTAAAAACTAGTCAAGATTTTTAGCACTGGTGCTGAGTTAAGGAAGCTGAGGGGTTTGGATGCTACATAGAGGTGGCTGCTTTCCTACTTTCCTTCTAGACAGGTGGGTCATGCTGACCAAATGTTTGTATTAGCTTTGGTTGACCTTGCAACTGACTGGCTAACAGTACAGATGAGGGGTGGAATGGGAGCAGGCGAGCGCAAGTATGCCACGTTCCCACTGGGACGGGTTAAACTTGTACCTTTAAACATCCGGGTTTTAAAAAAAGAGTTTATTTTTAGGCAATATCTGTATCACATTTATACCACAGACATGCTACTAGGAATATGTGTTTTTGTTCACTCAAGTTTATATTTATAGGATTAGATAAACTACATTCTTTAGGGTCTTGCAGTTTTTGCAGCTTTAGATCAGTTTCCTTTACCTTGAAAGTGGACAAAACGCCTCTCCAGGTTTTAAAGGTTTCTGACTTCTGGCCAAACTCATAAGCAAACATGTTCAGTAGATCATATGACTTTGCTGTAGGTTTCTTAACAAACACATCTGTCTTTAGCTTTCCCTGAAGCACATAACGGCTGATCTATTTGCTTTGTTCTTCAAAGTCTCACCAGAGGCAGCACAACAAAGACAAGCCCTTCAAATGCTCCAACTGTTTCCGTGCCTACTCAGACTCTGCCTCGCTGCAGATTCACCTCTCTGCGCACGCTATCAAGAACGCCAAGGCCTACTGCTGCAGCATGTGCGGCCGGGCGTACACCTCAGTGAGTTGAAATGAGATTACCTGTGGAAGCTAAGTGAAGCTGTAATGTTTAAAGGTTTTGTCCTGCTGTTTTCTATAGGAGACTTACCTCATGAAGCACATGCCGAAACATGCTATGGTTGAGCATGTTGTGTCCCATCATTCGCCACCCAACAGGACAGATTCTCCCTCTATTCCCATTCGGATCTCCCTCATCTGAGGTTCACAGCGGCTTCCAGCCCTCTGAGCACAGACTCTTACTACCAAGATGGACCATTTAGCTCAGAAATAGAATTCAGAAATTTGAAAAAGGGAAGCTCATCTGATGAGCGGATCCTTCTTCTATAAGTTGTTAATGAGAAAGTATTAACGGGATCATGCAAAGATAATTTCAGCACTTTCAGGCCTGACTCTGACAGACCGAAAATTCTTATTTTTATGTGACCTAAACAAGTATTGCTCCAGGCAGCTACATGGAAAACCTTTTTAAGCTTTGTGTTATACATATAACTTTCTTTTTTATACACTGCTTTAATTATCTCCTGTTAGGTTATATTATAATCTTAAGCAGTCTTCCATTATCGGCAGACCCAGGAAACCCAACCCTGCTAACACCCCTGTTTTGTACAATCCCTTTAATCACATGCATGTTTTATTACAGCTGCGTAATGTCACACAGAAAATGTCAGAAAAAAATCCAACAACTAATTTGAATCCAAAAAATTTCCCAATTTATAAAATAATTCACAGGTGCATAAATGATATCCTTTAAATCAGTGTTTTTCAACCCTAGTCCTCTAGGCACTCCGCTCTGCATGTTTTTGATGTTTCTCAGCTTCAACACACCAGATTCAGATGGTGGAGTGCAGCAAAGCCTGATAATATGTTATCAATTGATAGCAGATGTGTGTAAACTAGCTCCATCCGCCAGAATCTTTTCTGCCTGCGAGTGGTCTAGCCTTGATCAATGCCCCAGGCCCTAGAACTGGCGGGCCAATCACAATACAGAGATGTGTTTTGATATTTCTGGATGCACAGTGGGTGGGGTTTTGAGGGCGGGACGACAAAGCTGCGTGACGCTTGAGAAAGCAAAAGGAAGATGGCAACAACTATTTAACAGTTCACGTTTGACTCAGATTTGGAATCAGTTTTGGAAGGATTAGACTTAAGGTTTTCATTGAATCGTGAGCAGGAAGAGGCTCTACGCTCATTCATTTTTAAGAAGGATGTATTCGCCGTTTTACCAACAGGCTGTTTGTTCACACTCCCCCACCAGCTTTCTGTCAGTTGCGCTCATTGGTCAGAGCTTTGGCCAATAGGCACAGACATGGTTGGAAAAACAAGGGGTTGTTCTCATCAACAATCTTCCGATGTCTTATTCATCGGGGCAGGACTAAATTACACGATTCATCTTACATTTAGTCTGGTGTATCAGGCTATGAAAGCTGAGAAACACCTAATGCCCTGAGGACCAGCGAATACTTTTAAGCTGACAAATCCATTAGTAATCCATGATTTTCTTGGTTTCTTTGGATATAATTATGGTGTTTTGCCAAGAGATAGCTTCATCTGAGCAACTATCGCAAACGCTAACATGCAGAGTTGCTAAACACCACTCGTTACCATCGTTACCACTGTAACTGCTTTGGGCAGATTGGAATAGAAGTCAACCTCTTAAAAAACAAACACACCAGTTGGGTTTAACTTGAAATAATGAATGAATACTCTCAAATTCACCTCATGCCCATTTTAAAGCACAGCAGATGATCTGTGATGCTCTGGGTTTGTTTAACTTGGAGCCAACATCATAAATAACGTAAATGTAATTGAACATCTGTTTGGTATTTGTTCATTCTAAATACTTTTCCCTGAGAAGGTTAATAAACTACTGGCCCCTGTACAATGTAGCTGTATTTCAAAAATATTTCACATTATTGGACAGGACTACACTCTTGTACAGAATAGATAGAATACACAAAAAGAAATGGCGTGACAAAGACACAAAACCTAGATTACAAGTAAAATGAGTTACAGCAGTTTTTCAACTAAAAGCTAGAAAACGAATATACAAGCTAAAAACTCTGATCAATTTGGAGAAGGGATTTAAAAACAGTAAGGGAGCCTGTCTGATGAGCATTCGTTCTATATTTAGGAGTCCTGAAAAAAGCACAGTCCCCTCCAAGCCAAAGTAATTCAGAAAAAAGAAGAATCAATAGAAATAGTTCACTGGATACCAAATCAACCTTTTTTCATCGATCCTTCTTGTCGTCAGACCGAAGTGCTGTGGAAAACCTGTGGAATGAGCTGCAGACAAGGGAGCACAGAAGTAGAAGCAGGAGTCCAGAGCTCTGGGCTCTTTCTGCGTTGTAGTGTATGTGGTCTCCTGGTACATGTATGGCTTCCCTCTGGGTACTCTGTTAGGTTAATCAGTTTCTCTAAATTGCCCTTACATTGTTGGTAATAGCCCAGCAAAGACAGGTGATCAAAAAAACAATAGGAGGAGGCAATTTGTCTTTCCTCCGCTGACAGATCTCCTAAAATTAAAGGCGGGATTTCTTTCTCATGTTTTCTGTTAATTATTTTACTGCACAAAAAGTAGATATATTTTAAGGTTTGTTTTTACACATATTTATGACTGATTGTCAACATATTTCTTAATATGTCTTAGTTAACGTAAAATGTTAGTTTGAGTCCATGTGTGTTTTAACACTAATGCATTAAAAGTGACGTTCCCTTTTTGCCGTACTCATAATCAGATAGATAGGTTTGATTAAACTCTGAATCCGAACATCACAGTTTAAAAAAAAAAAAGGTGATGAAATTTGAGTTTTTCACATCAACGTAATTGCAAAATAGATCAAGACAAGCTTGGTACTTCTGCTAATCTTGAGCTGTTGTTCAATATGATGTTGCACTAATGTGAAGAGAGAAGAGATGAGAGAGAGTAGTAGAAGTACTAAGTGTTAAAATCCTGTATACTTCTTTATCATTTCCCTTTTTATTCAGTTATGCTTTATTGGGATTTTGCTAGAAAGACATTTAATTGAAAAAAAATATATTTTAGCGTTAAATGGTTTGATGTTCTAAGTATATCTGTGATCTCTGGATGAAGAAGTTGCATACATTTGCATAATGCATTCCCAGATTATTCCAAACAACAGCTGTGAGGTTTATCTTACAAGATGCCTTTTTTTTTTTACTTGTCGTGACCTACAAACTGAAAGGCACGTGCACATTTCACAGGTGCTCATCCTCAGCGCATTTTAGGATCATTTCTGGAAGTCTGCTTACAGCTGGTTCAGAATTCAATATTTAAAAATGGGAAAAAGGGAACAGTGAACACTTTTAACAAGACACTTGCCATGCTAGAGGAAGGCATCAGGTTTGGTTCTCTGAAATCATAATGGAGCCAATATTTTAGGTTGAGTACAGATTTAGTTTGTCTCTGCAGCTGTGATCTGATCATTGCATACAAAATGCAAAGTGTAGAGTGTATAAATACATTTGTTGCTTTATGCTTTGCATAGCATTGCTTGCATAATCTGTTTTGTCATCTTACTTTTATAAGACTTTGGTCAAAATGCATCACCTAAGCTCAAGCTTCTAAGAGATTACCTGTTTTACCTGTAATGCAAAGTGATTGGTGTGGTGTCCTTTTTTTCTATTGAGCATAGGTACCTCACAATGCAAACATTTGAAAAAAAAATGCAAATGCTAAAGGTCTGCAGTTTCCAGGAGGTGGACTTCTTTTCAGTGATTTGTTTTTCAGGATTATTTCTTAAACAACATTGTGATCACTCTTTAAGGGTTTCAACTAAATTCTGAATAATCCCTCTCTAGAACCTTCATTCTGACAAAGAATCTGGACCACAATCCATCTTCATTTTAACTGGGATCTATCCACAGTCATTACACTTTTGACATGCACATATTTTTATGTGCCAGTCAAGCATCATTACCATGTTTTTTTTGTCAAGGTTAATTAGACTTTACTGTTTGCAGCTGTAATAAAAGGTGGAGACATCACACATGGAGCTTTCTACTGATCTACAAATACATATTTTGTTATTTTATAAGCATTTATGGCCTTAACTTTGTGTACAACTCTTGAGTTTGTTTTTAATCTGCTTAACATTTGCTTTTTATGTCAGAGCATGAAGAATACTGAAAATAAACTACTAACTATCAAAGCATTTCACAATAAAAATGCGTCAGTTTATTTTACTGGTTGTAAGAGAAACAAAACAAACCAAATTTAGATAATGTACTAGTCATGGGGTTATGGGCACACTAGTATTTCTACGGTAAGTATATTTTTATACTTTTTCCATCATATTTTTGGCAGGTTATTGTACAGCAAAAAACTTTAGGTTCAGTTTTAGGTAAAATTATTTACATTTTATGTGGGTTTCATTATACATATTATAATTGCATTAGCTATGAACAAATGGATGTCAAAACAATTCAATTCAATTCAGTTTATTTATATAGCGCCAAATTCACAACACATGTCATCTCAAGGCACCACAGTAACTCACAGGAAGTGAGTTCCTACGATCCTCAGCTAAAGCACTATTGTAATTCTTCCTAAAGAATGTTGATACCAAATTAACCTTAAACCAAGGAGAGAGTTTCACCTTGATCTTCATGCAGACATCTCCTCAAAAAAACAGAAAGGTTAGATACAATGGGCCTAAACATGTATTACTTTTAGTAGATTTAACAAAATGATAAACAGAAGCTATTTTAAAATGTTTCCACAAAAGTTTCCATCTTAAAGATATTCTGATTGGATATTAGATCATTGTTCTTAACAGAATTTGGCAGGGCTCATTGACATTTGTTTCCTATGTTGTACAGACTTGATAGGTCCATAAATGTTCAACAGGGTCAAGGTCAGAACAATTCCAAAAGCTTAGTCTTAATATATTCATCACAAAACCATCTCTGTGGGTTTAAACCATTATTTCCCATTAATTCTCCAACTGTGTAATTTTTAACATTCTGACCCAAACCCTTGATACAAGGATATTGATTTGGATAGCAGTTTGCTAGTTTTGGTGTAGTGTTAAGGGGTAACAGGCTACAGTTTGTCCAAAGAAAAGCAACTGAAGCAGAAAAATACTGAGCTGCTTGTAAAAAAGCAATATCTCAAGAATAACTGAGAAACAATGATTCAGTTATTGTTTCTTTGCAAGTTACTTTATAGGTTCCTCGTTTTTTTCCCCACTCCAAATGTTTTCCTTCAGCTCTAACAAACTGTAGTTTCATCAGACACCATAGTTTCCTGCAAAAGCTTTGACTAATCTTGGACTTTTTACACTTTTTTCTCATAATCACAAATAATGTATTTTATTTACATTTTATGAAATGCAAGTATCCTGTGAAGGCCATGAAAGTAATCATATATTTCCAGCACCACCCCCATGCTTCACAGTAGGGATGGTGTTCTTGAGATGGTGCTCATCAATCTTGTTCCTTCAAACACGGTTAGTGGAATTATGCCCAAAAAGTTCTATTTTGGTCTCAACTGACCACCTGACTTTCTCCCATGAGTCCTCTGGACGGGCCTTGATACGTACCGGTTTCAGGAGGGGAACCATGATGTCTTAGTGCGGAGGTCTTCAACAGGGGGTCTACAGAGGTATTGCATGGGGGTCGCGAAAGTTTTGGTTGTTTAGGCTTTTTTTATATTCCCTGTAGTGACTATCAACCACCTTTTTGTCGCTTGTGGGTGCGGGGAATCTAGAATTTAACACGCTTAAAAGAGGATGTCGAAACCAGGATATAAGGTATGGGCGTTCCCATTTATTGAAGTGCGTTTGTATATGAACAAACTTTCCAAACAATCCGAGTGGCGGTCTTTACAACAAGTGAGATGGAAAGGTAACTATGGAGAATGTGAAAATAACAGAATTTAACCAGAGGAAGCAGGCTATTGTGTGCCAAAGAAAGCGGTAAAAACTGTATGACCTCCCGTCACCCAAAACCCTTTCTGCCCTCTCACATCTTACCTATAAAGCCTTCCCCTCCACACCGCCACCAGTGGTAGAGCAGAATATAGGTCACCACCACCCAAAACAAATAACCCAGAAACAAACAATACCTAAACACCAACAACTATAAATGGCTCCTACACACCGGCCCCAATTGTGTAGACAGCACAATTCAACAAACATCAAAACAGGAGCCCCAGAAATGTGCAGGCCCAAGCATTTTTTTTTTATACTGGTTCAAATGGCTTCTTGAAGAAGAAATATTTTGGAGATGGGTCTTTCCAGTTGTCCTGTTTGTGTCTTCAACTGTACAGCATGCACAAGTCCATGTTTATCTGGGTAAGTATTTGTAACTCTTCCGAGGATCCAAGAACCACGAGGAGCAGAACGATCCACAACCACCACGATATTGTCAACAGCAAAACTTCGCCGAGGTCTGGACCATTTCTGTCTTTCTTGCAGCAAAGGTAGAAATTCCTTTGTCCACCTTTTCCAGAACAGGTCAGAGAGGTAGGCTACTGCACTTGTCTCCAACGTTTCCTGAGGTAAACATCACTTTCTTGAAAAACACCACGAGCAACAGTAGGCTTTCCTTTGAGCAGCAGAATATGATTTGGAGTTAGAGCTTCCAAATCATTTACATCATCCGAAACCTTTGTAATGGGGCGATCATTAAGGATAGCTTCCACTTCACATAGAATGGTTTGAAGACTTTCGTCATCCAAGGTCTGCTGGTGAAGAACAGAAAGTAACACCCTTTTGACCATTCTGATGAGCCGTTCCCACACTCCTCAATGATGGGATGCAGCAGGTGTGTTAAAAATCCAGTCAATCTCTTTCAACAACAGGGCTTGGTGGATTTTGGTATGATCTACAGCTGCCAAAGCCTCCCTTAATTCACGCTCTGCACCAATAAAATTGGTGCCATTATCCGATCTCATTTGGCATACTGGACCTCTGCGACATACAAAACGCCTGATGGCTTTGATGCAGGAGTCAGTTGTTAACGAATGAGCCACCTCCAGATGTATGGCTCGACTGGCCATGCATGTAAAGATAACACCGTATCTTTTAACCATAACACGCCCTTTCTTAACCTCAATGGGCCCAAATTAGTTCACACCTACATTAGTAAACGGTGGGAATTCTGGGCAGACTCGCTCCTGTGGCATAACAGCCATTTTCTGCTCTGCTGGTTGTCCTCTGTGGCATCTACATACAACACATTCAGATAATATCTTTCTGCAAGCTGAGTTGGCGCAAGTAATCCAGTATCTTTCTCTGAGAGCTGACAGCATATAAATTCTACCTGCATGACCAAGCTGCTTGTGCAGGTCTCTCAGAATTAGTTTGGATCCTTTTTCTTCCTTATCTTGTCAGCTTCCAGTCTGTGTCTCTGCTCTAATCGGTCTTTGACTGTGTACGTCACTTCCGCAAAAGCGCAATGCATTTAGGGTAGTTAGCGCCATTTCCGTGGTGGAGAGACAGCAGCAACAAACAAAAGAAAACTAACAGAGAGTAGAAGTGTTCTAGTTGCTTCCTTTGGAAATAATGGGACACTGGTGCTGCGTCAAAGGATGCAATAGTAATTCTAAACAGAAAACAGCAGATGATGCCTTACGGTTTTTCGTATTCCCCACTTGGAAAAGAAAATACGGAACGCAGACAGAGGACTTAACAAAGAGGCGTCGGGCTGCATGGGTTGCTGCTGTAAGAAGGAAAGACATCACGTTTCATAAAATATCAACACGCTGAAATGGTTTGCTTATAAAGTTGCAGGAGTTCATGTAAACCTACTGAAACATGCTGTGGAAGAGAAGCGGAGAGTGATGTTTGTTTTGTTTATTTCTTTTTTAGACCGCTAAAATTTAATAAATAATGCATTCTCTGTATATAATCATTTACACAATCTGCAATACAAATATTTTTTTTTAAATGAATAAATATATATAAATACGCTGTACATATAAAAACACTGTACATACCCACTCGCCAGCCAACTATCTACTTAAGTTTATTTATTATAATCCTTTGTTCGTCTGTAAGCTTTTCAGTTTATTTATTTACCTCTGGCCTGACTAGTCGGATGTACTTGTGCTGTTTCGGTATAGCAAATTTCCCCACTGTGGGACACATAAGGTTATCTTATTTTATTACACATCTAATCTAATGGGCTCTGTTATTAAGGTGCTTTATATAGTGTTTTGAATAGATGTGTAAAACACTCAACCTTTCATCTACTTTGCAGGTCAACCCGCATATGAGATGATGGAGACTGACCCAGACTGGGCTCCATCCCTGCATCTGGGCCACACTGACATCAGACCAACAGACACAGACCGCTCTTTAAGACGTGGTTATCGGGAACAGCTGAAAAAGAATGCCCTGCAAGCAACTGAAACGGGGCTCCATCAGGCTGATGAAATCCTTCAGCGACAGGATGAAGTTACACATGAGGCGACAGAGAACCCTAACCAGCAACAGACTGACACGCAGAAGGCTGCTGAAAACGTTGGCCGGCCAAACACCAAGGATGACACAGAAGGTGGTCGTCAGGAAGGACAGACAGAATGTAACCTGTGTGTGCTCAGGTGTGCAGAGATGAACCGTCTTTTGGAAGAAAACAGAGAGCTGCGGCGTGAACTTGATGAGCTGCGGTTCTCTGATGGCTTCTTTGGAGACAGTAATGAAAAAGTCCAGTACTATACGGGTCTACCAAACTTGGCAACCTTTATGGCTTTGTTTAATTTTCTGCTGCCTCTCATGTCTGCTCAAAACAAAATTCTCAGTCCATTTCAAATGCTTCTGTTAACCTTCATGCGTCTGAGATTGGATCTGCCCTCACAACACCTTGCTTATCTCTTCCGTGTTTCAACAAAGACAGTGTGACTATAGTGTAAAAATGAATGCCAGATCAAGTACTGTTTCAACTTTATTCTTCTTTTCACACAAATAGAATTTTGCTTTTTTTAAAGTTACTTTTGAAAAATAACAGCAAAACAAATATAAGTTTCACCATCATTCAAATATTAACAATGTTTCTGAAGTTGTAAAAATGTGTGTACAATAGAGTGGGGTTTGAAAATCGAAACAAGCGTTGTTATTATCTTCTCAGTCAAGCAGAGAATTTATGAAAATGCAATACAAAATCTCAAATACATAAATAATGCAGAACAGTGCAAAGCTTCAAATGTTTTACTTTGTCTTCCTCCCTTGTATATAGCAGATTGCTCTTTAGATTAAATTAGAAGATTTTCATTTTCCCTGGACTTGTTTTCACTGTGGTCTGTGGTCTTCCGTAGAGATATGACCTAACAGGTGATATCTGTGAAGAAGACTGCAGATCCCAGTGAAAACAGGCCTGGGTAAAGTGAACAGCAAATACAGTGTGCAACTTATCAGTGTGCAAAAATTATGACAAGTGTTTTCGTTCAGTCTAATGAGCAGCACAAACTACTCTAATAACTGCAGCTATCTGTGCAACTGCCCACAACATCTGCCTTGTCACTGACTTATGACATTCTTAGACTTTTTTTATTTTTTCTACTGTTTGTTGTTGTATCTGTGGTTTGACATGTTTTCACCTGAGTTCCTCCAGGTGCAGTAATCTCTTGAAGAATCACCTGTCTTCTAACCAGAGTGAAATACTTACTCACAAGTTCTGGAAGGCACACGCAGTTAAAAAATTGCTGCGCCTTTTTAAGGAGAGCACTCCAGAGCTGTAACCTGAGTTACCAGAGCTGTGCATCTGGCAAAATACGCACCACAGCACATTCCTTTTGTGTCCACAAAACAAAGTCACAGTATTTTAAGTGTGTAACAAATATTTGGGTCTGAGCTTGTGTGTAATATGGACGATGCTTTTTAAGCTGCAGCTTTCCATCCAGTTTTTCCAAACAGAAGTACCCAATGATGGCCCAGGGTTTCAGTGGGGTATCATTAAGACATTGGGAATGAAGGACCTGTAAGATGAGATTTAAGAAAAAAAATATAGTAATCTGAATAAATTGGTAGGCTTGAGACATTTACTGTAATCGTCTTCTTCTCATATTTAATTAATAACGTGTAAATGCTTTTAAACTCTTGACTGTTCTGCTCTGATTCACAGTTCATGCAACTTAACTCATTTACAGCTTTCTTACCTTGGTTGTGACAATCGTGTTTGTACATTCATCTGGTTGAAATGACAAGAGATCCTGCACCCAGCCATTGGAAAAGTGCCCATGGGCTTCAAGGGATTTGTAGTTCCGAAATTCTGAAAAAGTGTAAGCGCTTATCCCATACACAAGGTAGTTGGTAATATCCAGAGAGGTAGTTGGAGGTAGGAGTTCTGCGTCAGACTGCCAACTATTAGCTCTCACTTGGTATGGATCAATGTTGTTTATGGAGGCTAAATTGGCATAATATCGTTCCCTAGCAGCTTTAGAAAGTTTGTCCGGGTAGGGTATCCGTTCAGTTTTCTTGTTCTTTTCCATTTAACTGATAATCCTCGCTGCTGGCTTGCAGCGCTCTCCTCTCGTATTCTGCTGTTTTGTTTTTCTTCCGCTCACCACAAAAATGGCGCTAGGGGGCGTGTCAGTCCCGTGACTGACAAAGACCGATTCCTCCAATTCATGTTTCCTTTTCAAAGCATCTGCCTTTGCCAGTAAAGCTGCTTGATCAGCCAGGGGAGCTGGTCAGGAGCTGCATGCACATGTCATCACAGCAGGGCTACCAGCGAGCAAAGGAACTTATAATGGAGCATTTTGGAAATGAACATCACATTGCTTCTGCGCTCCCACATTCCCCCCTGCACTTTTTTGCAGTAATTGAAATGTCTTTAAATAAACATTAACATGAATTCAACACGCTGTAGTAAACAGATAAATGGAGGCAGAAGATGTCTTTCTGTCATCAATGCACACATTCAGCAACACACAGGAGCTCTTTCAAGCTGGGCACTGTTTCATTCACAACACCTGTCCCATCAACCAGGAATCTGAATGAGAAATACTGTTAATAATCCCAGGGAGAAATGACTTTCGTTACAATACTCCATCTGTAATAGAGGGACTATAGGACCAGTTTGTTATAACACAATTTCATACAATATATATAATTAGGGGGTCCCCGCTCCATCTCGCAATCAGTTGGGGGGTCCTTGGCCTGGAAAACGTTGTTGACCCCTGTCTTAGTGTAGTGTATTGACAACAGTAACCTTGGAAACGGTGGTCCTAGCTCTTTTCAGGTCATCGAGCAGCTGCTCCCGTCTAGTTCTTTCTGATTTCTTAGGATCATTGAGACCCCAACAGCTGAGATCTTACATGGAGCCCCACGACATTGGAGACTGACAAGCTTCTTCTATTTTCTAATGATTGCTCACACAGTGGAACTTTTTTCACCTAGCTGTTTGGCAATTTCCCGGAGCCCTTTCCTGCCTTGTGGAGGGGTACAACTTTGTCTATATTGACTTTGAACATCTCTTTGGTCTTGGCCATGTTACTGGTTGAATTGTAACTGATTGTATGGGATGGACAGGTGTCTTTCTGCAGCTAACGACCTCAAACAGCTGCATCTAATTTAGGATAATAAATGGCGCGGAGGTTGACATTTTGAAAGCAGAATAACAGATCTTTCAGGTATTCAAATACTTATTTGCAGCTCTATCATACAAATAAATGGTTTTAAAAAATCATATATTGTAATTTCTAGATTTTTTAGAGTATGTCTCTCACAGTGGACATGCACCTATGATGATAAATTCAGAGCCCTCTATGATTTCGAAGTGTAGGAGAACTTGCAATACAGCAGGATGTTTACTTATTTCCCTTAATATATATATGTATATAGCATCCAATCTGCCCAAACTTTGAGCAACCTTGTGAATGTTCTCTAGATGAGCAAAACTGGGACAGACATAACTCGGAGTGAATAAATGCATATGTTTGCCACATCTTATTCATAGTATATATATAAATAAACAGCAGCATTACATTACTTCAACAAATACTCAACACATTGAAATGGCTCAGTCAGAGCAAAGCCCTGGCTGGATAACAGGCAGATGGGCTTATTAGGGCTGTAAATTGGCTTGTGAATAAAGGTGTGCAACTATGAGCCATAAGTTGTAACTACCAGAACTGACTAGAAAAGACAGACATTTTTCTGTGCTTTAGAAACAGCAGAAGGAAGGCTAAACCGGAGAACATCATCAGCAAAAGAAGGAGGCAGATGTGAGCATCCACTTTAGAAGATTTTTAAGCAACAGACTGTCAGTAAGTGGCTTCTCCAGAATTGGTGCAATATTAACACCTACAATAGCTTTTTAAAAATTAAGGTATGAGTTACGGCAACATTTAATTTCCCTTTGGGATGTTTAGCAGAAGATTATGAACTGGCATATGGAAAGTGAGTAAGTGCTGAATCTGTTGATAAAGAACTTCGTCATTTGCTTCCAGGCAGGCATGCAAATAGTTATAACACCTTATATTAATTTGGAAAGGTTCTTTGCAGAGATGGGTACCATTTCTTACATTTACTCAGTTACATCTACTTCAGTAACTTTTTGGAAAAAGAAATTACTTTAAAAGTAATTTTATTGTTTTGTTTTTATTTTTTCTTGTGTAAAAATATGATCTGATGCTGATATGATATATATAGTATATGGTGATGAAGTAGGAAAAAATAAAGATATATAGAAAATAAAATGTAGAAATCTAATCTTGCCCATTTACTCCAGGAGTGAAATAGTTCTGCAAACTGTGGCAATTCTGGAGATGTCCACCCTAATTCTCATAACATGATGTTTTTCTCATATTACCACTTTTGTTTTTTAAATTTAACTTTATTGTCCTAGGACTTTTTTTTCATCATATTTTAAACTTTATGTCCTTAATCGTCCCCCAAAAAGTCTGTTCCTAATATGTGTGTATACTGGATCTTAAAAGGATGTCATGTGACACTGTTTTATGAAATAATGAAGACCACAATGTTTAGATTTAACTAAAATAAATATAAAAAAATATATATAAAGGAAAAACAAATAAAATACTGACTTTGCTGTACAGTGTTTTTACAAACATAAATAATGTGTATCTGAAGAAAAGATAAAATATCTATAGCTGGGGAGATTTTTTACAGTATGCTGAAGAAAATAATGCAACTGTTTTCGGTATTTGATTAATCATATTTTGTTACTTTAATTCAATTCTTTCATGTTAGCAGGGTGGGACATAAAACAATTGTGTTAAAATAACTAAATATGATTAAGTAAATGCCAAAAGCGGTTGCATTATATCATTATTATAGGGAATCTTTTAAAGTACACACTAAAATACTTTTTCTAAACAAGGAAGGTGTTGTTTTCATGCCCCTCCCTTTTCTAAGTACGTTACAGAGTACCTATAGGGTTGGTCCACAGACACACTGAAACATGCAGTTGCTCTCTGCCCGTTGATGTGTGAAGGTTTTAAACAAGTGAATAACACCTCCAGGTAGGATAGCTCCTTATTTTATTTCAATCTCAGGTTCAGATTCAGTTTTTTATGAGCTATTGTCTGTAATCTAATATTGACATATTTAGATAATTTTGTTAACTAGTTTTAGTCAATAATGAAAAAAAGATGACAAAGCAGACTTCTAAAGATCTTTTGTGTGGGTTGCTAAACGGTCGATTTGATCACAAAAAAAAAAATTTAAAGGCACCTTGAAGAAGGACTCATGCCACTTAAATTTGTCAAGATATTTTGATTATTAGGATTATATGACAGATTATCACAAGTACTTCATAGGCATGAAGCAATTTTTTAAGTGGTTTGAAACCTTTTTCTCCCACTTAGTCCTTCTCTGGGTCATAGTGGGGTTGGTGCCAATCTCCAGCATTCTATGGACGAGAGGCGGGGTACGCCCTGGACAGGTTTCCAGTGACTAGAAAATCATCTTAATGAAACACTTAGACCAGATCTGATGGCCTGTAATCTGTTAGGATTTACACAGTGCATAAATCAGAAACAATCAGATTAAATCAGTTTTTTATATAGTGCCCATTAACAACACACATCATATTACTTTACAGAGCTAGCTTAATCATATTAAGTCCTAAATATGGATAACTTTAAAATGTTCTATCTAAAGGAAACCCAGTAGATAGCATTGCATCATTTTTGTGAAATTACAGTAACTTCTGCTGAATAATCATGTACTTGTAAGCTCATCTTAGTCACAGACACTCAAATCCTTTTTGCATTGCAGTGTATATTAGGCAAGCCTGTTGAGACATAGTAGTGGAAAACTCCCTTAGGACCGCAAGTTCCTCCAGGAAAAACAAGCTTAGTTTGAAAAGCTTTTGCCTTGCACTTAGCAAACATAGCAGACAAACAAAAGCAACACAGAGGCACTGATCTAATAGCAATAGGTTAGAGCAATGGCTCCTGAAGTGGAGGCTGAAAACTAAAAGATCTCCATGGAATTCTACTTTTAAACATTCTACAAACCACAAATAAGACTGAAATAATTCATCTTTTTTATTTTCTTTCGACTATTGAGCTGATGCTCAAATGAAGTGAATTTCTCTCCACTGTGAGATCAATAATGTTTAACTTATCTTAAACATGTAGGAAGCTTGGTCATTTGCAGCTTTACAGTATACACAGAAGGGAGAATTTTTAAATTATGTTGTAGATTTTACATGGAGCCAGTAAAGGGGAGTTAAACTTAGACAAACTTTGTCTTTTTGTACACACAGGGTGTATACAAAATGTTATTTCGTTTAGTACAGCTCTCACAACATCTCCGTTGAGAGCAGGAGAACTATTGAAAGCAGGAGAAATGTAATCTTTCTATGTAACTTTAATCAAAAGTGATGATGCAGCAATTTGCATCGACTGAAGGCTTTTTATTGCATTTTGCAAACTATCTAATTGTAAAGAGAAACAGTATTCCAGGCTTGAAGTAAAAAAAAAAAAAATCACAGGATTTTTTTTTAAATCTTGTTTTTTGGTAGTGTTGCGCTGAGAGGTGTGGTGTGGAAGGAAAAATCCAGCAAAGTTGGTTGGAGGAAAAACAAAAGGTCATTTATTAAGTCTCTTCCATCAGAGCATGGTTATACTGAGAACAAAATGGCAGCTTTCCCATCAGACTCTTACTACAGCCATCAGTCTACCTATATACTGTTATCCCTGCCTTCTCAATTTACCCTCAGCAAATCAAAGTTCAGCCATCATGGCCCCCTCTATAAGAGAGCTGGGTTTGAGGTGGGCCTCCTCCTTAGCAAGGTTCCCCTCCAGCCATCCAGTTCTCCTTCAGCATGTCCAAAGGGCCTCTAACGTGTCTCCCATAAAGCAACTCAAAAGGAGAAAAACCAGTTGAGGCTTGTGGTACTTCTCTGTATGCAAACAAAAGAAAAGGCAACCATTTATCCCAGTCTTTCCCAGTTTCATCAATAAACTTTCTCAACATTTGTTTTAATGTACCATTAAATCATTCTACCAAACCATCAGTTTCTGGATGGTATGGAGTAGTACGAATACCTTTTACTCCCAGTTGATCATAAAGAATTTTCATCACTTGTGACATGAAATTGGTACCTTGATCAGTTAGAATCTCCTTAGGGATACCAACTCTGGAGAAAAGGTCTACCAAACACCGGACAATGTGTTTGACCTGGAGAGAACGTAATGGAAAAACATCTGGATATCTGGTTGCATAGTCACAGATAACTAATGCATATTTATGACCATTACTGCTCTTAGGTAAAGGACCTATAATATCCATGGCGATTCTCTCATAAAGAACAGTCATTATTGGTAAAGTCTGCAACTGGGCACGGTCTGAAACTTTAGTGGGGGCTACTAACTGACAATCATGACATGATTTGCAGTACTCAATCACATCATCAATGTCTGCTAGATACAAAAGTTCGTCCTTTATAATAAAAGGCTCTCCTGCTAAACTTTTGAACTCCACAGTAGTCTCTTTTTCACCATCTTTGTTTGCTTTATCAAAGAGAGGTTTCAGAGATGGATCATTTTCTTGTCTTTCTTTAAAGTTATCAGGAATTTGCCACTGGAGATCAACACATGGAATTAATGGTAATGTAGGTTCAGGAAGTTTTGACCTGCTTTTGTTTTTGTTTTTCCCCTGTCTACGTTGTCGTTTTGATTTCCTGATTTTACTTCCTCCTTCATACAAATCATCATCTGCATCTGGCAGAGGTTCTAAGCCCTTTTTCATGGATCGTGTCATGACAGCACAGGAATATACCACAGAATTTTCTTAAACCAAACTGTCTAAGATTGGTAAATCTTCCCCTAGGATAACATCATATGCTAACTGATCCACAACTCCAACAGTCAACATAAAAGCTTGGCTTTCAACTTCAATAGTGACATCTGCAGTTGGATACTGTTGGATCCATGAACACAAGTAATGTTTACCAGCTTGTTAAAGTTAGGCATTATATTGTTCAACAAAGAAGATTTCACCAAAGTTTGTGAACTACCCGTATCTGCAAGAGCTTTTACAGCTTTGCCGTTTATCATCACATCTACCACATTTTTATGTGGAATCAAACCATCAGAAAGTTCATAATTATGTTCTTTGGAGGGTACCACACATAACTCAACTGACTTAGGTTTTCTTAAAGGACATAAAGAAGCTTTGTGACCAGGCTGCTGACAATAGTAACAAGTGAGGTTATACTTTAGTCTGGATTGTTCAGACCCTTACTTCTTCTTCTTCTTCTGTTGTTTTATGGCGGATTGACAGGCCAACGTAAAAGGTGCATTTCCGCCACCTACTGATCTGGAGTGCGGAGTGCACAATTTTGGAAGACTGCGCTATACCCAAAAGGAAAAAAAAAAAAAAGAATCCTATAACTAAATCCTATTAATTGTTCCTGTATCTTTTAGATATTTGAATAATATTTCATTAACTCTTGTTTGTCTTATCTCGTTTCCTAACAATGCTTTTATTGAATTCCCATTAATCCCTATTTTTCTCAACTCTTGTATGAACTTCATTCTCTCCCTTACATACGCAGTACACTCAAAAATAATATGTTGTACTGTTTCTGGATCTCCACATTTATCACAATTTCCTGTTTCCCTATTTTAAAAAGACTGTAGTTTAATGCTGTGTGACCTATTCTTAGCCTTGAAATAGTTATATCTTTTTTCCTATTTCCATATCTTTTCCTCTCCTTTCCAATAAACTTTTGAATCTGATATAAATGTCTTCCTTTTGACTCATTATTCCATATCGTTTGCCATTTCTTTCGAGTTTCAATTGTTATCAATGTTTTAATTTCTGATTTACTTAAAAATACATTCATTTCTATTTGCTGATGATTTAATGCTTTCTTTGCTAGCTTGTCCGCTTTCTCATTTCCATCTACACCCACATGTGCTGGCACCCAGAGAAAGTGTACTAGAATTCTTAATTGCCTTATTCTAAATAGACTTTGCAATACTTCAAATATTAAATCTCGCCTAGTTTCAGATTTTCCATTTAGAAGACTATTTAGCGTAGCCATTGAGTCGGTACATATTATAGTTCTTAGTGGTTGAACTTCTTCGATCCACTGTAGTCTTAATATGATAGCTAATACTTCAGTTGTAAATACTGACACATGATTAGATATTCTTTTTGCAATTTTTATTTTGAATGTCGGAATGTATACTGCTGCTGCTGTTCTTCCAGACTCTGGCTCCTTAGACCAATCTGTATATACCTGTAGAACAGACCCTTACTACAGCAATCAGTCCACCTATATACTGTTATCCCCGCCTTCTCAATTTACCCTCAGCAAATCAAAGTTCAGCCATCATGGCTCCCTCTATAAGAGAGCTGGGTTTGAGGCGGGCCTCCTCCTTAGCAAGGTTCCAAGATGGCTTCTAAAAAGGAAACACCCACAAAGGTAACAAACAATTCAAAAACAAAGGATCACCTACACACACATTCTAGAGCCTGAACATTACAGGAAATCCTATTGCTTCTTAACAGGTAGTTTAATTTCTATCTAAGTTATTTTTTCCCCCCAACAGAATGGCATCACAACTGACTGTGACATAGAATAGAATAGAAAATCCTTTTTAGGTCCCTATTGGGGAAATTCTGGTGTTTACAGCAACAAAAACATTATAGAAAAAAACTATCACACAAATGTGGACCTTAGAAATATGTATAAGAATTACATAATAGTGAAGAGTTAAAAGATAAACAATAAAATACTGTACTGTAAAGTGTTTTAACAATATAAAAACTGTGCACCTGGAGAATAAATAACCAATATACAGCTATGGACATGTTTACAGTAATCAATATTTGAAAATAGCAGCAACATCAGAGATGTGAAAAATGACAGCAGCATGTTATTTAACTGACTAAGATAGAAAACTTGCAAAAATCAGCATGAATCTATCAATTGATTGAGGCTGTTTGGATTCATGGTTATAAAGTCTTAGATCTGCTGGGAGGAAAGAAATGTGAACGGTTCAAGGTTCATTTACAGTCTGTCACTAAAAGAGCTCTCCAGTTCTGCAACTGCTTCATGCATGGGGTGGGAAACATTATCCAACAGAGATGTTAATTTAGTTACGATCCTTTTGTTTCCCACCTCTTGCACTGAGCCCAGGGGGCATTCGATGGATGTTTTATAAGTTTTATAGCTGCTGTCTTTCTGTTGAAGATGACTTAAAGGACCTTCAGGTACAGCATCATATTTGCATTTTTAGTGTTTGTCAATTGTTACCGACTTTGAAAACCACTCGAGTCATTTAGTCTCTTGGATTGAGTCTAATTACTGCAGGTAGTCCCACCTGACCGAAATGATAGAGGCTAATATACTAAAGATCACACACTAGCATTAGAAACATTAATGACATGTCCTTAAATTCCTAAAAGTGCTAAGATTTAATATAGTGTCTGTGCGTAGAGCAAATATTGTTATAAGGAACTCCAATAACTGTTCACATGATCCATTAGAAAACCCCTATAAAATTTATTTTATTTAGAGCCATTTTTAGAATAATTTAGGTCAGCCTTTTATGTTCAACAATAATTGAATCTCCAGAAATCCTCTGTATGTTGGCAGATTTTTTAAAAATAGCCTTTTTCAACTTACACCAGCTGTGGTTGTCTGTTTATAAAGCCTGACTTTTTTATATTTAGTTCTTCCTGAAGCCGTTATTGTTTAGGAATACAACCAGAAAAAAAACTTTATGTGACATTGTCATCAGCATTTCAGCAAAAGGTTTTGCTCTGAGTCACCATCACATAAACTAGTAACAGCCCACAGTGACATGTTGCTCAAACTAACATTTCATTTTTGACATTTTAGCTCAGGGTGTTCCAACGTCTTCAAAAAAAAGCTTTAAGAAAGATAAGGAATCGGGTGCTTTGTTGGCGCAGTGGTTAGCGCACACGACCCATATATGGAGGCCTTAGTCCTTGACATGGCCACTAGTGCTGTCAAAAAAAAAATAGAAAAGAAAAACAAGGAAAAGTTGTTTATCTGGCTTTTAGAAATATACTGTTTAAACACCTGCAGGTGTTATTGCATAATTGCTTCAAGTAAAGTTAATGCTTTCTAGGCGGTAATTGGTAGATATTTTAATATTTTTGTTTACTTTATGATTTGAATCTACTTTCTTACTGCCCTATCACATATGTGAAATCTACCAGGACACAACATCAAAAGCAACATCTTTAACATAAAGGACCATGTGATTTATGAGTTCTTTAAATAAGGAGACAACCTTTGCCTCTTTCTGTTTTTGCAGCCTTACCCAAGGTTTTCATTTAAAGAAAAAGAGAAAATGAACACAGTTTCATTCACACAGTTGCAATAATATATGGGTAAGTAAATCTACTTTCAATGACTGGTTTGTCGTTGAAATGAGCAACTATCCAGAGATAAACTCGAAGTAAAGAAAACTCTGTGGATCTTTTTTATGTGTTTCTGCTGATACTCTACAATATCCATGATACTATATTCTGTTTATTTCCTAAACAGATTTCTTAGAGAAACTAACTCATCTCTGTCTTGTTGCGCTGTTGCTAATCAAGTTTTCCTTCTTGTCGTTAACCTCTGAGAGTTTACATTGTAAAGCTGCAGCCTGAAACCAAACAAACCAGGCCACTCTTAAAGCCATTTAGATGTATATAAAGATTTCTAAACTTCTAACTTCTGCTAATGTGCCTTTTTGTTGTGCTGCAATCTACTAACTCAGTAACAGTGCTTTGACCTTCCAGGATTGGATCTTTTTTGTATTTTATTTCAAAGATGTTAATTTCAGATGACATGAAACTGTTTCCTTTCTTGTCTTACAGCAATTATAAATCTATGACCGCTGTCACTCTCTGCCCACAGTTTTCTTCCTGTATACAGAGTTCAACAAAAACAATCGACAATGTAAGTGAATATTATTGTGTTTCTATGAGCATAAAAAAAGGCTACTCAGGCCTGAAAAAAACTTTTTATATTCATCCTTTGATGAATCATATGAGAGCTTTTTTCCACCTTTGATGTGACATATTTAGCACAATCCACAAAAAAGGGGAAATAGTAGATAAAAAATCTGAGAATGGGGTAATTATGTACATCGTTAAACTACGGTAATATGTTGCGGAAGCATCTTTTTAATTAGTTCCCAGTTCTTATAGACATCTGCTATCAACTGCAGTGATGATGGAAAACATGGAAGACATTTCAACAGTTCTAGAACTTTGCAGAGATTTAACCCACAATTAAAATAGTCTCATTGTACAGTATAAAGATAACAGTCAGGAGGAGAGTGTAAGTGTTTTTCTTGACGGGAAGACAGGGAAAGTGCTGCCAAGAGGTGGACATCAACAATAAAATGAGGTATCTAGTTAGGATTAGTTGTGTTTTAAATGCAATACCAGTTTTATCAGTTTGTCTAGACTGAAAGAAGCTTCGGAAGAATGGAGCAAACTCTGCCCCATGCGCAGACACACACAAGGGTAAAGCCTGATGTAGATAGTGAGGTTAAGAATTGAAGACAGATTGATATTCTACACTTTTATTTTTAATATAATATATGAATTATATTTTATAGTATTTAATGTATTTAATTAATCTTTTTTAATTACCGTTAATTATTACCGTTATCTCCCACAAATTAAAAACATCATAAACATTTAATAAATTGTCAGCCTGAAGCCAAGTTTGGGAACAAAATAATTCAGGAAAATACTACCTGCGACCTCGGACGGCTTTATACATATGATCAGTCTACATCTGACACTCATGTTTTCATTTAGAATTACGAAAGAGGATTAGGGCCAGTTTAACATGGGAGAAAAATTCTGACCTTTTTTCTCAAAATTCTGACTTTAATCTCAGAATTCTGACTTTTTTTCCCCAGAAATCTGACTTTAATCTCAGAATTCTGACTTTTTTCTCAGAATTCTGACTTTAATCTCAGAATTTTGGATCTTAATGTAGATGGGCACCATCAAGGAAGAGATGTGGGAGCACTCAGCTTCAATGACAAAGATGTGAGTTGTTTGAGGTGGCCAGTGACACATTGGTGGAAAATGACGAAATTAAGCAACTTTTTACTTGCCCGAGGGGTCCCCTCATTAATGGAGGAGCAGAAGGTCATTAAAACAAGAAAACTAGTCTCTAAAACAGACATGGCTATGGCTTGATGCTAACATGTTTATTAGCTGTCAGAATTCTGAGAAAAAAGTCAGAATTCTGAGATTAAAGTTAGAATTCTGGGCACCATCCCATATTAAACTGAAATAAAATGTAAAAATCAGTTAACTTTTTTTTTTATCCTCTTCCGTATATAATAGTATAATAGTTCTTTTTTATTTCTTACGCAACTGCTTTGGCTATCAGACAAATCTATATGACTCTTAAGCTCACAAACCTGTTTCTGCCTCGGTTAAACTGAGGTTTTTTTTGCCCTCTTCCTTCTGGTTTGCATCTGTAACAATAACATTGATCAGCTGGCTCGCTTCAATATACAACGGTATTTATGCGCTGCTTTGCATGGACCATGCAGGGTGGTCCATCATAAGGTGGAACCTTTTATGCACAGGTGTAATAAATCATAGAAATTTTCTGTTTTTTTTGTGTGTATAGTGTGATAGATCTAAAATGTATTCTATCTGAGCCACTCTCGGCCTTTGGGCATGTTCAAACTTGTAGTATAGGTTCCATGCATTCTTTGATAAATGAGACTGCTGCACCTTAAATCAACACTGAGCTATTTTTAAACTCCATAAAGTTGGGAAAACATGGGAGGGGTAGCATCTTGCTGTGGGGCGACTTTTCTCCAAAGATGTTGGCAAACAGGATGAAATAATTAGAAGCTCTAAATATCAGTCAGCTCTGACCCAAAATCTTTGGGTAAATGCTAGAAACCTTGAATATAAGAACTTTTTTTTTCAACATTACATTTAAAGACAAGGTGAAGGGATGTAAAGTTTTGATGGGGTGGACAAGAGAGGTCCTCACTTCGTTAGATGTTTTGTATGAGATAGGTTGTGAAAATTCTTCTGCCTTTAGACAAATTCTGCAAAGGTAAAAACGTAAAAAGGTGCAAAAAAGTTACTGAAGCATTTTCCATTTCATTTAAAATCCTGGCATCTAGACTTTTTTATATCCACCAAACATATATTTTTTCTCTTTACCCTCTAATGTTGATATTAAAAAATACTTTTCTTGACAGGATCATTCAGAGGATAAGGAGCATTTTAAAACTTTTGCTGTTCTTTCCAATTGCATGGTGCATCATGTTCTACACAGCTCCATCTGTCCGGTAAGTTGCTGTAAGTTGATGTCTGTATTTAAAATAGTTAGAAGAGGCCTAACTACTCTGCTAAATTACATTATAATGGAGTCTAAAAGTATTATTCTTCTGAAGGTATAGAATAAATTAAAGATGAATTAATATTGCATTCTTTGTATGCATCAAATTAGAAAGTTTAAAAGGTGATAGACGTGTACCTTTCAAGCTGCAGAGATGAGATTTAAACAGTTTCTCCTGTCTTTTTTTACTCATGCACAGATCTGCTAACTGCATGTAATTCGATGTACCTTTTTACAGTTTAGAAGAGTAAATGCATCTTTTTAATTGCCTTAGTTCAGAACTTACAATATTCCCCTTAGAATAAGACAGAAAAAAGAAATACAATAATTAACTGACTTTTTCACATTTCAGATTTTTGATAGGACTCATACCGATGGACGAGTGTCCTTTGGAAAATGTAAAGATGCTGGCCCTGGGTAATAGTGCCGACACAGACCTTAATCTTTGGTAAGAGTCCAAACTAGCTTTTCTTGCAGATTCGTTTATTAACAATCTCTCAAGAAGTGTTCTCTCCAGCTGCACCGTATTTCTCAACCACAAACACCCTCACCAATAGATAGCAAGGAAGCTGTAAAGCTGTAAAAGTCAATGTTTCTCAGACTTCAACGTTGAAACACTTCTGCTACTTAAAGGACTTTTATTGTTATTTAGGAGGATATGTGAGAGTTTCATACGTTGTCTGTTGGACTCAAGGATAAGAAGATCACACTGTTCTATGATTTCACTATACTGTTTTTTTTTCTTCTTTCATATTAGTGTTTCAATTGACCATCTGAATGTTAAATTACTCTGAGTTCCCAAAGTAATAATTAATTTTAGTCAAATAATTTGAGATTGGGCTGTAGGTGTTGTCAGCTCCAGAATCCGCATAATCTGCATTTCCACAGTGATTACCTCATAAGGCTCGGTGAAGATGCTGAGGGATTCCAAAAAAGTTTAAAAAGTAAAAAAAAAAAACCCGAAACACTGGACTTTGTTTTCCAAATTTAAACAAGTTTCACTTCCCATTCAGGAAGCTTTCCCAATTCAAAATGTCTGGAGTAGAGCGGCCAAAAAAAAGCCTTTTTAAGGCTTAGAAAACATGCAAATTGAACAAAAAAAACAAAAAAAAAACAGGCCCACCCCTTAGTAATGGGGAGTCGTTGAGGTTGTTGTTGCCCTGGCAACCTTAAACAAAGGGGGTGGATTCAGGTTCAAGCTTTCTAAAACCTACAATGCAGCGATAGAGTTGATTCCTTCCCACTATCATCTCAACCCCGTCACTATGCAGGGGACCAAAACATCTTGCCAGGTCAGCCAGGCCAACAATGACCCTAACGACTCCCTTTTAAGAGACATGGCCCAGCATCAGGTACTGCAGACCAACAATGACCTCAGCGACTCTACTTTCTGAGGGGATGGACCTTTTTTTCCTGTTCAATTTGCATATTTTCTAAGCCATAAGAAAACACTCTATAACTCTGGAACTCAAACGTCACTGCAGCCATTATTAATTGAGAAAGCTTCCTGGATGGGAAGCGGAAAGTCTTCAAACTTGGAAAAAAAAGTCCATTGGTTTGTGGTTTGATCGATGGAGGAGAATTTACTTTTTAAGTTGCTTTAAAGTTTTACAGCACTTTAAACACAGAAGATCTCAGTTGTATCAAACATTGCAGAATCTTCTGGAAAAAGGCTTTGGGAGATCATACTCCTGCCTCTCATTGCTGATTTCCCTGGAAACAACATATGGCTGAACCCGTCCAGACACAGTCAATGCTGTACAGCATAGATTGTGACAAAGGCGCTGTCATAATGAGTCCCACAATGCATATCAACACTGATGTTTGACCAGACTGCTTTTTATGAGCTGAAAAACGAACGTCACATCTGCACCTGGTGGACTGTTTACAAAAACCTTTGTTCAGAAAATATGCTTCTGATCCGCTGTCATAATCCTTGTTTGATGCTGTTATTGTAAAATTGTTGATATGTAAGGTGTCTTCCAGGGGTAAGTTTCATGAAGCAGGTTTACCGAAAACTCTTAATTTCTCTAAACCTGAAAAAAAGGGAAACTCTGACTTTTTTGGTTCACAAAGAGAGTTTATTCAACCTCTGTTTCAGTCACTGCAGTAATATTTTCCCCAGAGCTAACCTGGTCAGGAGAAGGTTTTCTTCAGTAAACTCGGGGTGTCCTCTGTCTCCATTATCCTTACAGCCAATCACGCTGTTTTATTTCCTGATTTAGTCTGACTTTTGTCGTAGTTTTGTGCATAAAAAATATATATACAGTATGTATCATTCACTGCCATAGCCTACTTCATATAAACTTACGCATTAACTGGAGCAACAACCTTCTCGTTTGCCACCTTCCTCTCCTTTGTAGTTGTAGCACTGTTTCTCTGTCTTTAAAACACATTCTCCTTTTTTATTTTATTTTTTGGCATTTCTGCATTAAAATCTCTAGTTCCAGTGGGTTGAAATAGGCACTTCCTGTTGCCGCATGTCATGGGGACTCGTCAAATCAGTGCTCCCATGATAATGGCTTTTCATACTTGCACACATGCTTAACTCTGAGTGGACCTAGTTAAAATTGATTAAACTAATTGATAGCCGCCGTTGTGAAACCGAAAAACTCAGAGTTCCCAACTTCTGGCTAGATCAATTTAGAGTTGTGGATTTGAATCGGAATTTGTTAAACCCGCATTATGAAACGGATCCTTGGTTTCCAAAAAAGGATTTTCATGGTGTTTATACCTTCAGGACAAGCTAAATAAAAAAATGTATCTTTTCGGTTCGGCTTGAAAAGCATTATTTTAATTCTACTTTTTCACTGGTACCAAAAGATTTTATTTAGACCTGGCACTCATGGAGCTATTAATACTTTATTTCAGTTGTGATATCAAGTGTAATATGATTTGGCATCATGACTTCCAAAGCCATTATAATACAATGTACGTATTCAATAGTTTTGAAAGTGTAGAATAAAAAACATGGCATCTCATAATTCCTCACTTTTTCTTATATGAAGAGGATGGGAAGGGCTGAGTCGAGGGAAAGATATTTGGATGGAAGTTCAAAAAAAAACTCAGACTTTCACGCTGACCTTTTTATATCTGTACTTTATGTTCATCTTGGAATTTACCAAAGTGTTTCCTCAGATGGTGACTATAGTTACAACTCTGAGAAGGGCCGTTTCAGAGTATTCTGTCTTAACACAATAACTCTAGATCAGGCATCCCCAAACTCAGTCCTCAAGGCCCCCTGTCCTGCAGGTTTTAGAGGTTTCTCTGCTTCAGCACAGCTGGTTATAATGATTGCAGTAGACCAAAAGCCTGTTAATCAGCTTTCAATTTAAATCAGCTGTGCTGGAGCAAGGAAACCTCTAAAACCTGCAGGACAGGGGGCCTTGAGGACAGAGTTTGGGGATGCCTGCTCTAGATGTTTCAATAATGTAGCATAAATAATGCTAACTTAAAGAGTAATAAAATTAAGAACAAGAAGAAAAGTCTGTTTTCATAAATAGATGCCTGACAGGAATCATAGTTTTTTTTTTTGTGTCTGTTTCTGTGTTTCAGTTGGAAATTAGCCAACCAACAGGTTGATAAAGAGGAAGTGTGTTTATAAGGAGATCTGTATCTAAAAAGCTGAATTAAATGTACAGTGTATACTACAACCCTTCATAAAACTTAAAGCATGCGTCTTCCTCTGTTTCAGGTCTCGAAGTGACGTGCAGACATGCACAACCTGGAATGCTCCCATCATCTGGGAGGGAATGTTTAACCCCAGTCATTACGATCAGATACACAGAAGCCGCGGGTCGTCTGTCGCCTTAACTGTATTTGCAGTTGGCAGGTTGGTTTTTAAATCAATGTGAGGACACATCCTGGTGCAACTTGATAAGGAAAACAAGTACTACATCCTTGTCTCTGTTTTAAAGGTACCTGGATGCCTACCTTGAGGCTTTCCTTAAGTCATCAGAGCGTTATTTCATGCTGAGTTTGCCTGTGATTTACTATGTGTTTACGGACACACCTGAGAAAGTACCAAACATCAAGCTCGCCCCTAATCGGAAGATGAAAGTAATCAGAGTGGAAAAGCACACGCGGTGGCAGGACATCTCCATGTTGAGGATGAAGTCCATATCAGACATTATAGAGTCGGACATCCGGCACCACTCCACGCATGTCTTCTGCTTTGATGTCGATCAGGTTTTCACAGGAAGATTTGGCCCAGAAGCTTTGGGAGATACTGTGGCTCTGCTTCATGCCTTCTACTATCACCTCCCAAAGAGGCTGTTCACCTATGACCGCAACCCAAAATCCAAGGCATTCATGAAAACTGGAGATTTTTACTACCATGCCGCTGTGTTTGGAGGCTCCTGGAAGAACGTCAAGGCCCTCACAGAGGCTTGCTATAAAAGCATCATGGAGGATAAGGAGAACAATGTGGAGGCGTTGTGGCATGATGAGAGCCATTTAAACAAGTACTTTTGGCTTCACAAGCCCAGCAGGATTCTTTCTCCAGAGTACTGCTGGGACACCAACATTGGTTACAGGGCTGACATACGTGTGCAGCGGCTGTTGTGGGCACCCAAAAATTATGATGAGCTGAGGACATTATAAATTGAAGCATTTGAGCTTTTTTAGCTTCTAAATGGACAAAATGTTACTTAAAAGCCTAACCTCACCTGCTGTGGAATAAAGGGGACTCTTTGTTGATAATGAAATCCCATCAAACACTTATTTCATCTCAGGTGAACCTACTCTATTATTTGGATTAATGCAACAAAGAGTGATCGATTTCAAGTGTTAATTTTCAGTTCAGCGATTATGCTTGTAGGCATTGGTGGGTAAATCTGTTTGAAGTAAATAGCAACCCTGCATAGTTTTCCTTCACCCACTTCACTTAACCAGGGGGTTTTCAACATTGGTCCCTGCCGTTGCTGTGAGAGGCACATGGTTTGAACCGATCTAGAGTACAGGTTTCATAATTACTGATCCTGGAGTACCCACCTCTGCTTGCGGCTAATGAAAACCTAAATGCGTTTCTCTGAATTTCAATATTGACTAGAAAAAATGACTTTTGATGCACGATCGTTAGCTTACTGGACTGATTCATCAGCAAAGCATGTTATTACCGTAAATCACATTTCTCTAGAATGTTTTTTATGTTTTAAAACCATTCCCAGTTCTCACATCTCCTGAATGCAACAGTTGGGAACCTTGGAGAGTCCCTGGTTCCATCCAAAATGGGCGAATCAGTAAGGACACTTAAGCCAAAGTACAAGTGTGTCAGCATACACTATGATAAGTGCTGTCCAAATAGTGCCGGCAGTAAGGAAGGAAGAGAAAGTAGAATGCCATCTATTGATAGTTAATTTAGCATAGGGACCTCCCAATGTTCCCAACCGACATATAGGATCTATAGTCGGCAACAAACCTTTGCATGACAGGACATATAGGCACAGCTCATCTCATAGAGTTAAACAAAAAAATACTTTTTCAATTTTATGTGTACCCTGTGTACCCTATGCTAATGTACACCTCCATACTGTACACTGCAAAAAAATGTAAATCTAAATAAGTCATTTTTGCTCAAATTGCATTTTTTCTTGAATTGAGGAGGGAAGTGAGACACTTTGCCAATGGAACAAGACAATTTACATATAAAATAAGAAAAAAATAACAATTGCTTTTTCTTATTTCCAGTATATTATCTAATTATCTTATTTTAGGAGTAATAATACTAATTCCATTGGCAGATCATCTTATTTATGTGCTCAAATTAAGGGTAAATACACTTAATTTAAGACATTTTTTACTCATTTCTAGATGTTTTTTTGCAGTGTATGTTTTGGGTTTTATAAGAGAGAGCTTAAGATGTACATTTGTTTAACTTTTGGTTTTTGTAGCTCCTTTTCGTTTTCAAATATTTCATTAGGTTTTTGTTTCAGTTCTTATTTTTTAACAAACTTTATGGCCTTTAACCTTAAAGGTTAGAAAACTGGACACATTTAATTTGGTATGGCAAACCACCGAACCCTGTGATTGGATCTATAAAAGTTTTTTTTTTTCTTAAAAATGCTGAATATTTCGTATTTTGCTAAGCAGAGAAGCATAAAATAATTCATAGAATAATTTAGCTTTTTTGATTGAAAACATAATTTTTGCCCTGAGAGGTTTGTGAATTTTGAAAGAGGTTCAGAAAGTTTGGACTCTACTGTCCTGTGCAGTGACTGCATATTGAGACCTTAATCCTGCACTAGATGCTTAAGCTGAAATATTTCTCTGTGAAATTCTAATTGATCGCATTGCTAACAATATTAAATACTCTAAACATTAGCTACCAGGAATGTGATAACTGGGAATTTTCTTTCAGGATTTCCTGTTGATTGGTAACCAGTTCTTAAGGTATCTCAGGATTATAAATAAATAATTGTAGCAAGCTAGGAAAAAACTGTTAGCTATATATTGTGTGGACCATTTATGGTTGAAATCTTGCTGTCCAATAATAGGACATAAGTGATAAGTTTGTTTTTAGAAATATCAATCCAAACTTTGATCTCTTAGTCAATGCTTAGAATGGTACTGGAGATAATAAAGAGAACTCTCCAATAATGGAAGCAAATGCTTAAAGCTTGCACTCTAACATGAACAGAACTCAACATTTTATATGAAGCATTGTGGAAAAGATTTAGAAGAGAAGAACTCCCACAACGCTTATATGGATATAATTATGTTTAATAGACTAACCAGCTCTCACATGTCTGTTTATCAAGTTTCCATCATTCCCAGTAAAAAGATGTGAAATTCACACAGACTAATTATGCAAATTAAGACTTTCTTAGTTTGAGAAGCTGGTTTGTATCGACTGAATTTAAGAAGCGCAGAAAGATGTCTTGATCAAAGATAAAAATTTTTTTGCAATGGAGATTAAGGGTTTGTCAAATTGCTGGTAAATGATCTCATCATTGTGAGAACATATTTATTCTTAGTTAACTTTTTCTGTTTGTACACTTCTGGCCAATGAAGCCACATCTCTAACAGAAAATGTAAGGCAAGCACTGCTTCACATTTTGGTTAGTCATACATGTAGGCCTTTGCGGGTTTACCATTGTTCCATTGCATTTTTCTAAGGTTGATCTAGTTTCACTCTGTGTGGTTAGACTTGAAACCTGAGAGTTTAACTATTTGCAGTCTGATAGGGATTGTTTCTCAACTGTTCTTGAATGTTTTTACCTCTGGGCATGGTGTGCTGCTTTTTGAAATAATTTAGCTCTCTTCATACTCTCAGATAGGATCTACTTAAGGGATATTAAAAAAACTTCTTTTGGTAAATCTGATAATTAAACAAGGAGGACAATTAGTTCATTTGCAGTTTTTCTTATTGTATATTGTATTTACTGTGTTATTTATGTATATTTTTTATTTGATAATATGAAATGTAGACGTGACAATTAGCCAGATGTAGACAAAGAAAATAATCGAAAACTAATTTTAATAATAGGGGATTGAGTAAGATGGAACATGTAACAATGTAATATTCTGCCAATTAAATGTATAAAAATCAATCAATTTTAGGATATTTTCAAACTGTTATTTTTATCATTAGAAAGTGAAACAACCCTGGAACTATTATTTAGGCAGCTGTATCTTCTTGAATATTGTTTCTTTTTGTTTGCAGTCACTAAACATCTGATTTTGATATGCTGGGACTAAAAATGACTAACTCTGTATTTTCATAAATAGCAGGGAATTGGATGTTTGTTTTTTTAAAGACACTGGTTGGCTAAGTTAACTTTTTTAAGAACATTTTTCATTGCAAGCATAAGGATTTTTTTTTTGTAAAGTTTTGTTGTGCGTTATGTCTTTAGAGATCCCTTTCAGGTATACCCATGTTTTTTTAAAGAATGTGAGACTTTGTTCTACTTTTATATCAATGCAGGATAATCTTTTTGTTTATATGTGACAATAATTTGAACTGAAACTTCACAAACAATGCATACTGGCTGCATTGTTAAATGAATAATGTTTCTGGCAGCTTTAATGTGTTTTCTATCTACAAGACGGTATAAAAGTTACATGTGTAAAACAAATAAACAACAAATAAAATACAACAAAACCAAATCTTTCAATTGTACTTGTTTGAGAAAGCATGAATGTAGTTACGATAGAGGTTCTCATCATAGCTCATACTACATACAGAGAAAAAACAGGCAGAGAGAGATAGCAACCACAATGCTGCCAGAGGTAAAGCCTTTCCAGTCTCTTCTTGCTTGTGACTTTAACCAATCCAAAGCAGAGTGGAAATGTTTCAGTTTAGCTATTCTTGTAAAGTCACACGATTTTCCTGTAATAACTGGCGTGGGGAAAAATACAGGATATACAATACATGTTGCACAAACCTCTAAACGGAATGGTATTAACAGGTTAATCATATTTAAGTTAGAAAATCTTAGGAAGTTTCATTCTCTGAAGTCCTGAAAGCAGACTGTAGCTTTGACTTCTCTGAGGCCCTCTGTGTTGAGCTGAGGTTGAGGTAGCCAACCTCTGCTGTTCGGCTCAAGGTGGCGGAAGCAATACAGCCAGGGGAGGTAGTCAGATCTGCTTGCTTGGTGTCACTATAATATGGACGGTCCAATGAGTCCTGAGCTTCATGCAACAACCTTAAAAACAATATACACAAACATACTACTTATTTTATCCAACTGATATGCTTTAAACTAGTTTGCAACCAGAATCCAGACTCACCTTGTAGTCAAGGGGGGTGTAAATGTATGATGTTGAGTTGACATTTTCTGTAGTTCCTAAAGAAGCCAAACCAAAATATGACATTTGTTATTCATTATTAGGCTTTCAGTTAATTTTTCTGTCTTTTTTTTGTCTATTTTGCACTGTTGATCTAACCTAACTCTTTTAAGCACTAGTAGTTATTTTCAATATATATATGAAAAACCATAGCACATAACTAATTAGGGTAAGCAAAGAGTTTGATCCAACCATGATTAATGCTGTCCAAAACTGTACTGCATCTTTTAAAGTCAATGATAAAATGTATCTTTCAAGTGAAGATGATAATGTTGGTTCATCTCTTATTCATTATTAGGTTTATCCTGCATATCACAGCAGAGTTTCTGAGTTCTCATTATGTCAGATGAAATCACTTGATTATCATATGAATCTAAAACATCTGCAAAAATTTTTTTGAAGGTTTTGGTTGGTTTAAATATGTTTAATCTAATTAAAAAAACAACTTAACTTGCATGTTTCAGCCTGTTGTCCCTTAAAGGAAAATAATCATTGGCAGTCTTATCTGGCCTTTTCTTATATAAAAAAAATGCCATGAAAAGCATACATTTTTTTAACAAACTGCTGGAAAACCAAGCAGCTGCTTTGAAGTGATTGATCTAATTTATATAAGGTCCCTCTATTTATACTAGCAAATCACTGTAGAAGCTGGCCTCAATTGAATTTATCATCAAGACACTGAAGGAGAATAAATATTGTCTTAACCTGCCAAACTGGGCAACAGGGCAAAAAGGAGGCCAACAGACACTCATGTTTGCTCTGAAGATTATTCATTTATTGTTACCTAGGTTCCTTAGGTAAAGGAGAACTGCAAAAAAGGAGCTGAGAAACCAATTTATATTTTTCTTGAAATTCACCAAAAGCCATATACAGTAGAAGTAGTAGTAGTAGTGGTTGATAAGATGCATACCATTAGCGTTCCACCACAAGTCCAGAGCTTTCAAGACCTGCCATTAAGGTGATTGTCTACTAAGTTATCCTATGTCCTTGCATTTATTAATCACGTACCCATTTGATCATGTTTTTCTTTTATATCTACAATCATTTAAATACAGTGAAGTATGAAATACTTGCTGCTGGCTAAACAATCTTTGACTTTTTTTTTTTTATGAAGCGATCATGTGAACAAGCCTGACAACAAAACTGAACCATGGTATCAACAGTGTTCTGTAAGAACTGCCAGCAGGTTAGAAAAGGATCAGTAACAACAGGCTTTATTAATAATGTCTATGACTTAATAGAGAATGACCCAATGCACATAATAACACTCTCTGGCATAAAAAAGTAGAAGACATCAAAACACAGTATCGCATACTTCTTCATCTAGGAGTTGCCTGCTTTTATACCATTGCCTGTGAGTGATCCATCGCCTTTGTTATTCACTTGTTATTTTTATTTATCTATAATCTAAAGTGTTGACAGCTGCTGTCATAGAGTTATGTCTGTTGTCATTGCTTAGTCCTGTTTCAATCATAAAAAAAGCTATGGGCTCAGCTTTTACTATGAATAACTCTATGGGCTTTCTTTCTTCCCTTTGACATTAAAACTGCCTTAGAACTAGCCTGCTTAACTGTTTCATTCCTAGACAAATCCCCTCGTGGAGCTAGTTGTAGAGGAGTGGTGGCCTAGTGGTTAGGGCATTGCACTTGGAAGTCTGAGGTTCTGAGTTCTAGCCCCACTCCCACACACTGCCGCTCTGGGTCACCAAGCAAGACTCTTAACTAGGGATGCACGATATAATCCGCCCTCTATCGGTATCGGCCTGTATCAGCCTTAAAACTGAATATCGGACATCGGCCACCCCACCGATATTTGATCAGCTTCTGAGTTTCTAAAGTCTAAAAAAAAAAAAAATACTACTTCTTTTTCCTCAAAACCTCTTTTTTACAGACTTAAAAAATTCTAAAGATGAGGGAAAAAATATTGATACATTAAAATATCACAATATCTTCATATGCTGATATATTGCCATTTAAAAACACCATATCAATCTCTTTTACTAATGAAATATTGCTATATGTCATCGTTATGCTACGAAATCCTAGCCTGGGTGCCATTCCGAACTTAGTCCCGCCCACAAGGTTTGAGGTCGGGAAGTTCGGTCTGGCATTGCTCCATAGTAGCGCGAGTATTATCGCCCACTGTCAGGCGATCCAATCAAATTGTCAGGGCGGGCTTTATACGATGATAGACAGATGATCAACAGTAACGTAATCAACCACGTGACCAAAGCGCGCTTGGGTGACAACAACAATGGCTGCCGCCGGAGAGTTGAGTCGAGTAGATTCTGCTATTAGGTCTGTTCTAGAAGATATCGACAGCAAATTAATTTTAAAAGAGGAACAGAGAAACGCGATAAAGGCTCATCTTCTTATTCTAGGCGTGAAACTGCACGCTTTGATTTTTGTTGACAACAACTATGCGTTGCTTAACATACGTCACGCACTCCGTTGCTCTTATTGGTTGTACGTCTGTCCAACTGAGTGCAGAGGCATTTTTTTTCCTGGTTCGTTCAAAACACGCCCCATAATTACAGCTCTATGGAGCAGTATCAGACTCATATTCTGACTAGAATTGAGTAGGACCATGTCAGGCTAACGAAATCCCCCGAAAATTCACGAAATGTTGCCATATTTTTATATGTTGATATATTGACGCGGTATCGATCTATTTTACTAACAAAATCTCACAAGAATTTGCAAAATATCACGAGAGTTTGTAACAGAACAATGAAATTTCACAAGATTTTAAAAGTAAAATAGATCGATACCGCGTTTTTAATAATCAATTTGATATCAGCATATGAAAATATATTTGAGTATATTATTTTTTAAAGTGTCAGAAATGGATAACAAAACTGCTATTTTCAATAACTACTTATTTTTGTCCAGCTTTAACATTGGTATCGATATCGATTATCGGCTACATGAGTTTTAAAATATTGGCATATCGGATATCGGCCAAAATCCAAATATCGTGTATCCCTACTCTTAACCTCACACTGCTCCCCGGGTGCCGCACAAAGGCAGCACAGTGCTCCCCAAGGGATAGTTTAAAGGCAGAGAGTTCATTTGGTTGCTCTTTACTTGTGACAGTGAAATGGCAATTTAAAAAAAAAGCTGGAAAAAAAGTTTATTAATGCCTTTTCTAACAATTATTTAAAATATAATATTTATAGATCAGTGATTCTATGTTCATTTTCTATCTCCGTTTCTTTTTCTATGTCTGCTTCTGCCTCCTTGAAACCCAGTCGGCCTTGGCAGATGGCCCCTCACACTAAGCCTGTTTCTGCTGGAGGTTTCTTCATATTAAAAGGGACTTTTCCTCTCCACTGTCGCTACAAGCATGCTTAGTGTGAGGGATTGATGCAATCAGCTGGTTTTCCTTTGACAAAAAAATTTGAACCAATCTGACATGATCATGTGACTAAATTGTTTCTGCTAAGGGCTTCTGCAAAAATGACATGTGTTCTGAATTGGTGTTATATAAATAAAATGAATATTTTTACTACGATTTTGCTACTAATATATTTACTACTATTTCTGCTAATTTTATTTTTAAATGTAACTAGCATTTCTTGTCTTAATATTTGATAGCTGATTACCTTAGTAGGATTCAGCCTAAGTGCAAACAGCTACAATCTATCTTCAATAATTTTTTTTTCTTTGTTACTTTGCACTTAGATAAAATGTTATGTCTCAAGGTTATCTCCAGATAATGTCTTTACTGCTCTATAGTGGGGTGGCAATGAGCTTTAGGCCCCGTCCACACGAAGACGAACCCTGGCCTAAACGCACAAATTTTTCACCAAACCAGCCTCTCATCCACACAAAGCCGGCGTTTCGGGGGTCTGTAAACGATCTTTTTTTTATTCAGCCTTCAGAGTGGGAAGATTTCGAAACGCCGTTTTCGCGTTTCCATCTTTACGCTCTAACCGCCTATTTTTTTTTTACATGCATGCGTCATAACGTCGCCTCTAAACACGCATGCGCAACCAGTATCACAACAACAATGGCGCCGTTGCTGCTAATGCTACTCACCCTGCTGTCGGGCTTACAACAGAATCTTCTTCTTCTGGAATATCTCCAGGAAGAACAGAGCAATATCGACCACATAGTTCAGCACCTGAATTTGACTTAACCACGAAAATGGACCCGCAGGGCAACCATGTATAAATATTAGTGCGCATGCCCAACATTTCGTCGCTTATTTTTGCTTTGGCACCACAGCGCCACTTACAGGCCTGGCATACATTTTGCAGCGTTTTCATGCATTCGTGTGGACGCTCACATTTATTTTACGTCTCTGTCTTTACGGCAAACGTTTTGGAAAATATCAGCGTTTCGTGTTCGTTTTGACTTTGTGTGGACGGGGCCTTAGATCACTATGTTGATCCTGATCCTCAGGGCCCACTCCGCATTACATTACTTCTGTACCCCAGACTGTCAGTATTTTCAGACAGGTTTCTGACAGTAGAAAAAAAAGGACATAGACCTGGGGCCATAGAGGTAATTGGAACATCTTAATTCAATAATTTGGACGGTTGGGTAAATACTATTGACAATATGGTGTACATTGTTATGCATTTTGACTAAAAAAAAGATTTTCTTTTTAAATAAAATATGGGGAAATAGTCTGTAATGTTTTTTGTTGTATAAAATAGAACTAAATTGTAATCTTAAACCTTAAAATGTGTTTAAAAAAAAAAAAAAAAACATCACTAGCAACAGTGACTATTACCTCAGTAAAGTGCAAACACTGCATGTTCTGCAACCTGCGTTCCAGGGTGGCAATCAGGTTGGACATTTGCAGCATTTTGTTTCCCAGATTCTTGTTCTCCGTCTCTAAATACTCCACCCTTAACATAAAAACAATATTAACCACTCATGAGGTCAAGGCAATTCATAGTTCAAATACAGCTCAAAATAGCCCCTAAAACATGAGTCAGTCATTTCATTTGTGCTCATCAACACTCTGCAATTTTTCCAGATGTTTCTTGAATGCTAAAATTTTTCTCAATTAATAAAATGTTGTCTTTCACCATTATTTCTTCATATTCTCAGCCCCATCAGCTTTATCTACTTTATTTAGTAATTAATTTCACATATTAATAGTCATATCAAAAATTTGGCTATTACACATATCCTGTAGATTGTAAACCTAAATGCTTAAATTTCCATAGATTGTTATGCTTAGATAACCCAAGGTCGTCATATCACTGAGCCAAGAAATCCTGAGACCTCCCTGAGTGGGCCTTGCTTCTGATGAAAATTTAGTCTATAACTATAGACTTTTATAGACTGGTCTTCCTCATGAAAACAAAACCTTTCATTTTTATTTGAATCAGTTTCCTCTGTAAATCCTGACCTTTTTCATGTTTTTGGTGTTTAACATCAAACTAAAACAACATGCAAATATTATTGCAGCTCTTTATAGGCTTCTTAGTTCTATATTACTCTCATTACTGTTGCATTCCTTCACTGTACTTCATTTTATTCCACATTAAAACTCTTTTAAAATATAGTGTCTGCTAATTTTTCACCTTGATGGCAAAACACAGAAATCTTGTGTGGAAGCTATACAGAAGAGGATGTGACTTTTATAGACTTTTCTGTTGATTATTCTTGTCCTGTTTGGTGTTGCTGCAGTCATAATAGTAAATATAGCTTAGCATTAGAGATGCACCGATCCAGTTTTTTTCCCAATCTGATACTGATACCTGGAATGAATGTACCAGCCGATATCTAACACTTATCCGATTCAACTGTTGAATAAATGAACCATATATCTTGACGCGCGAGTGAAGGCTTCAGCAGTGACATAAACATTGCTTAAAAAGATAACAACATAGCACAGATATACATGTACTTTTTATAATTAATTAACAAATAGGAAGGAAAAAAAGAAAAAACTGTTCCATGTAAAGTGCACTTGATTGGATCTCCATTATCAAATCATAGATATCCGATCCAGGTATCGGATCTGTGCATGTCTAATTTGCATAGAAGGTTATTTGTCCATCACAATGCTAAAACAAATATTTAAAACGCTAAATAGAAGATATTTATAAAAATCTGGGATTTATTTGTAATAAATTTCGACTCAACTGCGGACATCTATGCAACTGATTGCTAGCCTCGTGAGACCATCCTGATCTAGCGAGCTTTCAAGGTTTCACTCGCAGATCAGTTTGGAGGCTCTCCGTTAAAGAAAATTTGGAGCCGTTCACCAAACGAACGTCCAATCAGCGTTGGCTTTGAGGCGGGTTGAGGTGTGACGCAACGAAAAGCGCGACAGTTCAGTCTAAAGAACATGGCGGCTTCAGCCGATGAAGCTAGCGTTAGCGTGGCTATCGAGCAAGTTTTATCGGAATTACAGAGTATTTCTTCACTGAAAGAAGAGCAAAACACTGCTCTGGAGGCTTTTCTCAGAGGAAAAGATGTTTTTGCTTTTCTCCCGACTGGTTTCAGCAAGAGTAGCCTGGCTTGTGGTTGTGTTTTTGTCGTCGTTCTGTTAGTACGTCATGTGCTTCGTTGATCTGATTGGTTTATTTGGCCCGTCTATCACCAACATACACTCACCTGCCACTTTATTAGGTACACCTGTCCAACTGCTCGTTAACACTTAATTTCTAAGCAGCCAATCACATGGCGGCAACTCAGTGCATTTAGGCATGTAGACATGGTAAAGACAATCTCCTGCAGTTCAAACCGAGCATCAGTATGGGGAAGAGAGGTGATTTGAGTGACTTTGAACGTGGCATGATTGTTGGTGCCAGAAGGGCTGGTCTGAGTATTTCAGAAACTGCTGATCTACTGGGATTTTCACGCACAACCATCTCTAGGGTTTACAGAGAATGGTCCGAAAAAGAAAAAACATCCAGAGACTGGCAGTTCTGTGGGCGGAAATGCCTTGTTGATGCCAGAGGTCAGAGGAGAATGGCCAGACTGGTTCGAGCTGATAGAAGGGCAACAGTGACTCAAATAACCACCCGTTACAACCAAGGTGGGCAGATGAGCATCTCTGAACGCACAGTATGTCGAACTTTGAGGCAGATGATGAGTTCACTGTACTCAAATGGCCTCCACACTCACCAGATCTCAATCCAATAGAGCATCTTTGGGATGTGGTGGAACCGGAGATTCGCATCATGGATGTGCAGCCGACAAATCTGCGGCAACTGTGTGATGCCATCATGTCAAAATGGACCAAACTCCCTGAGGAATGCTTCCAGCACCTTGTTGAATCTATGCCACGAAGAATTGAGGCAGTTCTGAAGGCAAAAGGGGGTCCAACCCGTTACTAGCATGGGGTACCTAATAAAGTGGCCGGTGAGTGTAGGCCAATCAGCTAACCAGTATTTTCGCCCCTTCCCAAAATTACTTCAACGGAAGGTTTCCAGATGGATATGCGGAGCAAATCCATCTGGCGGAGTCAGGTTAACTGATTGCATCTCAATGCTTTAATTGATTGAAAGTACTACTTGCAACTGAACATAAGGTGATATGCCAAAGTAGTACCCTTTCTGAGTATATGTGTTCGGATGAGGCATATTTGAGATCAGTTGCAGATGTTAAAATAAAAACTTTGGGTAGATATCATGCATTTTTTAACACCAAAATTATGTCAGAATTCACAGGGCTTTGTCTTCTCATTAATTCTTTGCGGTTGACTATGTTCTTTAGATCTTGCCTTTTAAAATTTTTAGTTCCGAAACTTACTTTCTTTTTTCCTGCAAATTGTTCTTCCCACCTCAGGTTCTCTGCTTTCACATTGCAAGAACTATTATCTCTTATCAGCACATTTGATTCCATATCTGCGTTAGTGTTGAAATGTGTCTGTAATTTTCATATATATAGCCCTTGACTGTGCAATATCTGATCTGTGCTTTAGGCACTCCCTCTAAATATGAAAAAAAAAAAACAATTCCATGAAGTTGGGTGAGTTAAGTACCTGGTTTTAGTCAAAGAAGCTGTTAGTTTGAGGTTTTTCATGTTGTCCTCCTCCTCACTGAGCTGTTGTAACAGTTTCCGCCTCTCAGAAAGTAGCTTTTCATTTTCCGTTGTTACGCACTTTACAACTTCTTTCTCCTAAACAAAAAAAATAATATATGTTTTTTTTAATTCATTATCCTGAATCGGACACCTGCTTGCATAAACATTTATCTCCTTAATGGGAATCATTTGACCTATGAGTAATTTCTTTACACTTGAGCACTCAAAAGAGCCAAATACTGGATAAAACACAGAATATACAGTACTCAAAAAACTTAAAGGAACACTTTGTAATTCGAGTATAGCATCAAGTTAATTACACTTCTGGGATATTGATTTGGTCAGGTAAGTAGCAGAGGGGGTTGTTAATCAGCTTCAGCTGCTTTGGTGTTAATGAAATCAATAACAGGTGCACTAGAGGGGCAACAACGAGACGACCATCAAAACAGGAATGGCTTTACAGGTGGAGGCCACTGACATTTTTCCCCTCCTCATCTTTTCTGACTCTTTTTCACCAGTTTTGCATTTGGCTAGGCTCACTGTCACTACTGTTAGCATGATGTGCTACCTGGACCCTACAGAGGTTGCGCAGGCAGTCCAACTCCTCCAGGAGGACACAAGGTCTACAAGCCATCAGCAGTACCGGTATCTGCTCCTTTGTGCAAGGAGGAGCAGGAGGAGCACTGTCAGAGCCCTACAAAATGACCTCCAGCAGGTCACTGGTGTGAATGTCTCTGACCAAACAATCAGAAACAGACTTCACGAGGGCAGCCTGAGGGCCCGACGTCCTCTAGTGGGCCCTGTGCTCACTGCTCGGCATCAAAGAGCTCGATTGGCATTTGCCACAGAACACCGGATTTGGCAAGTCCGCCACTGGCGCCCTGTGCTTTTCACAGATGAGAGCAGGTTCACCCTGAGCTCATGTGACAGACGTGAAAGGGTCTGGAGAAGCCGTGGAGAACGTTATGCTGCCTGTAACATCGTTCAGCATGACCGGGTTTGATGGTGGGTCAGCGATTGTCTGGGGAGGCATATCCATGGAGGGATGCACAGACCTATACAGGCTAGACAACAGCACCCTGACTGCCATGAGGTATTGGGATGAAATCCTTGCACCCATTGTCAGACCCTATGCTGGTGCAGTGGGTGCACGACAATGCCCGGCCTCATGTGCCGAGAGTATGCAGGCAGTTCCTGGAGGATGAAGGAACTTATACCATTGATTGGCCCCCACACTCGCCTGACCTAAATCAAATAGAACACCTCTGGGACATTGTGTTTCGATCGGATGCCGCCAGGTTGCACCTCAGACTGTCCAGGAGCTCAGTGATGCCCTGGTCCAGATCTGGGAGGAGATGCCCCAGGACGCAATCCGTCGTCTCATTAGGAGCATGCTCCGACGTTGTCAGGCACGCATACATGCACGTGTATAATTTTCACTGTGATTTTTGGGGTGTCTTTGAATTCATCCCTCTGTAGGTTGATAATTTTCATTTCCATCAAATGATGTGGCATCCTGTTATTCCTAACACATCACCCAGTCCATATCAGTAAAAATAAACAGCATGATGTTTTGCTCCATTGAGATCTGATGTGTTTTAAAAGTGTTCCCTTAATTTTTTTGAGCAGTGAACATTATAATGGAAACTGTTTTAGAAAGGAAACTGCATTCCAAAAAAATAATATTACAACATCCTAGGGCTGGGCGATATAGAAAAAAAGCTTATCGATAAAAAAAAATGCATATTGATCGATATCGATAATTATTGAAAAAATTTGAAACCATATTTTATGTGCAGCTCTGCCTGGACATTTTATGATATTGCTAAATGATTTAATTATAATAAAGAACACAAACACAGACTTCTAATTAAATCTTTATTTAACCAACTTTTTTAACCATAGCAGAATTGTTTTAAAGAAAAATAACTTAAGAGACCTGAGTTGTTAAATACTGACAAAGAATAAACTAAAGTGACCAGAAATGTAACAAATAAATAAATGGACCCACCAACCCCCCCCGGCCGCCACCCGCATTCCTGCTTTAACCTGAGTTATTAATTTGAAGTTGCTGGCCCCTCAGCATTTTTCTCTCAATTGTTAGAACTACGTGGGAAACTGCCCAGAACTGAAAATATATATATATTTTCCCGAAGATTCCTTGGAGGAGAGCAGCGCCGGGGCCTACACAGCTTGTACTCCTGCGGCTGTGAGCGGCTGAGATGATTAAAAAAAAAGTTGGTTGCGTTATCAGACTTAGTTTTCCCTGGTTCCCTACACATTTTACAGATGACTGTGGTTTGTTTTTTGTCCGACTTGCCATGACCGAAATACTGCCAAACTGGCGACCTACAAAAACCTTTCTTTGGAACAATTTCCACCGCCTCTCCTTGCTGTGACATCTTCATGTGCTCTGTGTTGTGGTTTGAGAGGTCGGCGCTTTGTGACGGCGTGCCTGGGTCTGCGATTGTGATTGGTTGGGAGGAAGTAGTGATTAGCATAAACCTACATGCTAGGCTACAATGAGAAAGAAGGAAAACTGCGTTTTTTTATCGAACTTTTATCGACTCTCTTTTTTTCTATTGCGCCACACGTCTATCGTCGATATATATCGTTATTGAATTATCGCCCAGCCCTACAACATCCCTCACAAAGTTTCGGATTACCAGCTTCAGAGTTAACTCTTTAAAGGAGAAGTTCGGTTTTTTACACTTTAAGCCCATTTTCTGTAGTGTCCAGGATGAAATCGAATGATCGACACCAAAAGTTTGACAATTGCTCCTGTCTCTGCTTTTTGGCTCATTTAGAATCCCCCCCTGGCTGCTTTAGAATGGCTAGCATAGAGCATGTCCGATAATGTCCTGAAAACAACCTTAAACGTTCTTTTTTTTAAATATGCTACTCACCGTGTCGTCAGCGCTGTTCAATGACGTTCCAAAAAAAGTTTTGTGAAGAAAAAACGTTCCTGTAGTGTTTTATTTAGCATTTTGTAAATCCCATTGAGTTCTGTAGGAATAGTCAATATTCCGCTGCCACCGGAAACGGAAATGGGGCCTGTTTACACAGTTGTAGTCTTTTTGCTTCACTCTGTGTACTCCGACGTCGAGAATCAAGAATCCACCTTTCGTATTCCATTTTCAGAGTTTTTTAAAGTGTTTAACAGAGACGTTAGCACCTCGACATCGGAGTACACAGAGTGAAGCGAAAAGACTACAACTGTGTAAACAGGCCCCATTTCCGTTTCCGGTGGCAGCGGAATATTGACTATTCCTACAGAACTCAATGGGATTTACAAAATGCTAAATAAAACACTACAGGAACGTTTTTTCGTCACGAAACTTTTTTTGGAACGTCATTGAACAGCGCTGACGACACGGTGAGTAGCATATTTTAAAAACAGAACGTTTAAGGTTGTTTTAAGGACATTATCGGACATGCTCTATGCTAGCCATTCTAAAGCAGCCAGGGGGTGATTCTAAATGAGCCAAAAAGCAGAGACAGGAGCAATTGTCAAACTTTTGGTGTCGATCATTCGATTTCATCCTGGACACTACAGAAAATGGGCTTAAAGTGTAAAAAACCGAACTTCTCCTTTAACGGCCTGGTCAAGAAAAATGGTTGACCAAAATGCAGGTTGGAGGTTGAGAAGACAGTTAAAGGGTTAACAAATGATGTGGAAACAATAGGATTAAATACAATAATCAGTTAACTAAAAACTTAAATGCAATAACTTCTAAATTCCAGCTGCTGCACAGAAAATAGAGAGAAACCTGCAGACTGACCTTTTTCATGGAGTGGTAGCACAGAGACAACTCTCTCTCCAGGTTGCTTATTCTCTTATCACGCCATACTGTTTCCTCGTCCAGTTTCTGTTTGGCTCGGCACAGTTTTTCCATAAATTTGTCTTTCATATTGTGGTACTTACTGAATAAAGAACATGGACAAAGTTTTGTATTAAAATGATGAAAATGCCTTTTTATCATACAATTATATACATTTCACAAAATAGCTGGGAAGTTTGATTAAATTGCATCAAACATTTAATTTGTTTCTTTGAGACTCTTGAAAATATGTTTTAGTTAATTCTTCAGTAAATAGGTTTGATGCTTTTCTGTTTAGTCTGTCTCCTCTTATTCTATTTTTCTCCAAGTCATAGAAGAGTTTACTCCAGTGCTTTATATAATTTGGGTAATATACAGTTTGTATTAATAGTACAGTTAAAAGAGCAATTAGGGGAATTTCACCAATGAGTGAGCTGTTGAGCACTGTTTCATCTCTCCTAGCTACTAGGACCATTGTCTTAATAAAGCAGCTAGCTAACAAAGCCAAATCATTACTATCCAACTTTCGCTCCCTTCTCCCCCAAGAAACTTGAACCAGCAGCTCTCTTCAAACCTGAAGGGGACAAGGCACACTTTTCTGGTCGGTAACCATAGCTAAGGACTTGGGGGAACTTATTCTCCTCCTGCCAGCTTTACACTTGTTTGCGAACCGCTTCACTGCATGTTGTAGTTCTTGGCAGGATCGAGCCAGCAGAACAACGTCATAAAAGCACGTATCAAATCTGCTGGTCCCCAAACCGGACCCCTTTTGGCCCTTGGCTGCAACTAGAAATACTCTTCAAAAAGGTTATGAACCAGAGCGGTTACAGTGGGAAGCACTGTTGCAGTTGGACAAGCACCGCAAACAAGTACAACTCGATGGTAGCAATGTAGACCAAACTCCTGCTTTGTTTGTACAGGGACTGGATAGTCGCTTGTAAAGGGCCCCCAACTTTGTTTTCATGCCTGTCCTACCCCAAGCTCAACATCTCTTCCTCCACCATGGAGGAGATCTCTGAAGTTTTTCTTACTGTACAATGTCCGACAAAGTCCCACTCCCACTAAAAACACTGTTAACAAAGCACTGCTTCCCACTGCTTTCCCAGGCCAGAGTTTTTGCCTCTTTGACCACCTGGGCTTGCTGCCTCAAGAGTTCCACAATCCAGCCAGAATAAATAGAACTCCTTTTTCAGCTTGACAGCATCACTTAGTACAATTGTCCAACACTGGTTCTGGGATTGTTTTCACGACAAGCACCGCAGACCTCACTGCCAGAGCAACGGGGAGTCACAGACATAATATAGATAGACAACATAATCCACTCAGAATCCATGTCCCCCCGTCTTCCTCGGAATCTGAGAGAAGGTTTCCTGGGGGTAGAATCTGATTAGCACAGGCTAATCCAAGCTTTAGGGCATCTTGAATTGCTCTTTGTATGACCTGTGACCAAGAGACATTTTGCCTTGGGAGACCCTTCCAGGGCCATTCAACCCCTTGAAAACATAGGCTCTGGCATCACCAGGAGAGATTCACACGGAAAAAAGCTGCAATTAGAAAAGTTATTGACAAGAATACAATTATTTCTTTGGCACTCGTTTAATTAAGTATTCAAAAGTACATGCATTTAAAAGTACTTAAGTATTCAAAAATACATATAAAATATTGTAATATCAGTCCATTTCTGTATAATTTTCAGAGTATGCTGGTGAAGATCTGCATTTCCACAGTGATTGCCTCATAAGGCTTGGTGAAGATGCTGAGGGATTCCAACAAAGTTGAAAAAGTAAAAAAAAAAAAAAAACACTTGACTTTGTTTACCATTGTCTTGATTCTCCTCACTTTCACTATGGAATAGGTTGAATCTATTACCACAGAGAAACAGAAACTCTGATGTAAGAACTCATCTTACTGAACAAATTGGCCACAAGGCGACAACTAACGCCTTAATAAAATGTATAAACTACCAATAATATCTTCCCTCAGTTCCTTACATTTGTGGAATGTCATGAAAATCTCTAAGACACTGGTGTCCAGATTCAGTCCTGAGGGCTGCTAGCCGCATGTTGAAATTGGATTTCAAGAAAGAAGAACGGCAACTGGAGATTACAAAGCTAAGATGAGCTAAAACGAACAGGTAACTAACAGCTTCCTCAAAATGTAGTGGAGTAAAAAGTACACTATTTGACTTTGAAATGTAGTAAAGTGAAAATTATCGGTATATCCAAGTAAAAATACTGAAAAAAGGTATTTAAATACAACAAGCAAGTAAATTTAGTTTGTTACTTCCCACCACTGAAAGCCGTGTTTAAAAATAGCCCTTAAAAGGTGGTGGCATGCTTGTTTTTGATCCACCTGAAGCAAAGGAGGTTTATTACCGGGTTTTTGAAGAACTTAGGTAATATAAACCTTTAAAACAGCTGTGTTGGACACCAGCTGCTGGGGGCTGGAGTTTTGATTTTAGGTTTTGTGGCATAATAAAAAACAACTTCCCAACATTTCCCAAAATGCATGTTTTGAATGCTGTGTTTTAAAAAACTGTAAGGGACTGTTACCTTCGCTCTTCATCAACACAATTAAGGGCTTCACAGATCTCCCTCTGTAAATTCTCATGCTCATCTTGATCACACAGCAAAGCATTCCTTGCTTTCAAACAGCCAGGACATTCCTGTGAAACCACATAAACAAAACATCAACAGAAAGATAGACTTAGTAGTTTTCCAGAATGGTCCATAAGATTATTGAAGGGTGCATGGATCATATAACCGCTCATCTGAAATTCATTAAAGTGTCAGTTTGACAAGTTTAACAAAAGGATGACAGCATGAATTGGATAGTCATGAGAAGAAAGCTTGTCTGAAAGGGTTAGGTCTGCAACCCCTTGTTCTGCAAGAAAATCCAGTTGTAACTAGATATCTCTATAAGGTTTACCCCTGTGGTTTTGCTTTGGTAATTTTCCTAAGCTGAAGCATTGCTTTTATAAGGGTAATAGACTATAATTAGGTTTCTTATATGCCTGTTGACTCATCTCTGGCACCTTTTGCATAAGGTGAATTATGTGAAAAGATTATTTTTACGTCTTGGCAGATTTCATCAACCCAAATAATATAGGTTCTCCTGGGCTAAAAAAGACAAGAGATTGGGAAATTCAATAATACCAGTTGTGTTTATTGTAAATGATAAAGGGTTTTGATGATGGACAAGACAATTTAAGAACCTGGAGGCCTGAATCCTTTAACATCTAGAAAAAACACATTTATTGTCAAATATGATGGTAGTGTTATGGTCTGTGGCTGTTTTATAGCTTCCGGACTGGGTCTTTAACAGAGAGCAAATGTTTGACCATCAGTTTGTGATGAATATTTCATAGCAATAGATGAAGGGTACACCACAGCCAAGAATAATTGGGTTAACATCTAAAAGTTTTACTTGGGTTGTCTTTGTTTGACATAAAATTTTGCTAGGTGATGTTGCCAGCACCTACCAGAAAGAGCAACAAGAGAATACATCTGCAAGGGTTAAACAGCTTTTAATGGGACTGTATAGGCTTGAAGACTAATGGTGCCTATGCCTAGACATACTTCCTTTAATCAATAAGTTAGCATGACTACAGCTACTAACACTGGCCTTTAAGTGTCCCTTCTTCCCTATGGACCTTAGATTGTTACTTTAATGCTTAATTGGCAAAAGGCTGACAAAATCTTCAAATCTAATGTGTTTCACGACACATGGTGGTTAAAAGCTCAATAGGATACAAAAAAGAGTCTATTGCTGTACACTGCTCAGACTTGCTGTTATCAGCTGAACATTTTTGCCAGTCTAATTTCGACATGTTTAAAATTCTTTCCTTTTTCCTTTTTTTCTTTACTTTACTAGATTTCCTTTTTGACCTCTTTCTCAAATAAGTTAAACTTCACAGTTCAGAAAAAAATCTGAACTCTGTAAGAACCATTAAGGTTTCACAAGGCCAACTCTAACTGCATCTTTATCTCTTAAAGATATTCAACCTGAGGGTAAGATGATATCTGATATTTTGTATGAAAATTCAGATTTCAAAAAAATTTTTTTTGTCAATCTCTTGAAATGTCTGGAGTGTATACGAAATATTAAATAATAAATATTCAGAAAACTGCTTACGCTAAAAAAATGAAGAGGCAGGGATTGTGCTGTCACAAACATTTTTCTGTAAAATAAGGTTTAGAAGTCTCTTCTCCATCAGCTTTTATTTACTTAAACATCCCTCCTTATTTTCTATAGACAGTCTTTGCAGTTACTTGTTCTTGCACAATTTGCGCAATCTGTCGTTATCTGTAAGCTCAGCTTCTCCACCCTGTTGAAAACAGACAACAGCATTTATTTTTCACTTCCCAATTAGAGAATATATTATATCATATCAATAACAGGACAAGCAGTTTCCAAGGAGATGTAGAGGATTGCTCCATACAAATGTATGTCAGCCAATCATTGACAAAAAAATTGAGCTCAACGCTCCAAATAATTTCCAATTTAAGATGTTCAGTTTTACCTGTGTAATTAGCCTTCAAGACCACAATTTTCCAAAAGATGTTTAGATATTTGGACTGTCTATATGAGGTTGAATTGACCTACTAATGGATAGTTTAGAGATGATGTTTGATTTTTTTTATTAATTACAAATAGAAAAACTAAATTAAACATTTTGCCATCAAGGAAAATCATGTCATGTCACTGTGAGGTTGTATTAAAAAATAAAACCACCTCTTTCTATCTCCATAAATAGACAAATGGTATTTAGATTTTAAAAAAACAGGCTTGAGGACATCTCAACATCTATCCAGGAGTCTTAGTCCAGCTCTAAGGTCCCAGCAATCTGTAGTTGGACTGTGGTGTTTTCAAGCAGCATAGGGGTCCATCTTTCTTGGCACATTCCAAACTTTTACATTTCAAAGACCCACCTATTGTTCTCCTGGGTTGTTGAAGTGTTTGTTGTGTAAAGGCTAGGCCATTGCTTTAGGCTACAGTATATAAATTACAATGAGTATACTTATGTAATTTTTTTGTAATAAGTTCCAGGACCAAATTGTAGATGATTGGAAGCTGAAACCACAGGCATCCGATTTTGACATGATACTGCATGGGTTACAACAATATTTAGTGTTTAGTCACTGAGCACTGCTGCTGGGCTATGTAAAGAAAGACCCACTTATTTTTTTTTATAGGGGAGTGGAGGCCTAGTGGTTAGAGCCTTGCGCCTCGGTAACACACTCCCCCAGACTGCCATTGTTGGTCCCTGAGCAAGACCCTTAACCCTTAGCCCATTGCTCCCCAAGGGGAAGGGTTAAATGCAGAGGGTGAATTTCCTTGCTTTGTACTTGTGACAGTGTAACGACAATAAAGTTGAATTATTTTATTTTCTTCTTATCCTTAACATCTCCCATATCTTAATTTTAATATTTAATTAAAACACCTCCACAAAAAAATCCAGCACAGATGAATCATAGCCATGTTAATGCCCGTGTAAATGATCTTCTGTACGGGTTGGAGGTTTAAATTAGAGAGAACCTGACATTTTTAACATCTATGCATAAATCTTGTCTGCACATTGAAGAGGATGGGAGTTTCAACCACAAGGTTAACCAGAAACCTGCACACAAGGATCAATGTCTTCACTGTCTTAAGAAATTGAGAGGGAGGAGCAAATTGCAACCAATGGAGAGAAATAGAAAGAAAACAAGTTGTTAGGAAATCACTTCAAGCATGTCATAACCAAAGCTGGGGCTTTGTTAAGTCAGCCAACAAATCAGGCATAAAAAAACTGCAGATCTTAAACAAAGAGGAGAAGATACAAGGACATAAAAACACTCACATTCCAGGAGTTTCTGAAAAAACTAAGGAGGAATTTTCCATGATACAACCTGTTGGGGAATTTCAAAGCTAACACCTGAGACAAAGAGTGGTTCACCCAAAGGCCAAAAACCCAGACAAAAGCTGAACGGCATTGTACATGATGCTCAGTGCATCTGCATGGATTCAATGCAATAGCGAATGGAAGACAGAAGCTTGAGGTGTATTTCAGCAGAACACTTTACATCTAAAAACAAAGGATGCAGTTTTGATGACAATAACATTCAGGTTTCATAAACAGAAAACAGATGGTTTGAAAAAGGGCTAAGGGAAGCCTTCTTTTGTCAAAATAGAGAAACCAGCATTGAACTGAGTCTTAGGGCTACAGTTTCAGCATTGAAACTCAATTCAGAGATATTACAAAATAGGTTTATATGGATTCAGGTGACCAAGTAGACAACCCACACCAAACAAAAACTTGGGCAACTAAAGGGAGGGATGGGTCTCCATGTGCTTAAAAACTCAGGTTGCCTTGGTTTAAGTCTGTTGTAGCTGCTATGTCTGAATAATATTGCAAGTCTGAGTCAGCTAGCACCATTTGTACACTGAGATTGGCTTTTCTGACCTCCCATAAGTAAGTTCTATTGTTGATACCACTACAGCAAAGTTTCTCTTATTGCAATTTTAGTACTTTTACATTTGACTACTTATTAGACTATTCAATTAAATCAAAACATTTAATAAAGATATTCTACAAAATGCAATAGCTTACAATATTTATCGTATTTCATGTGTTTACACTGCAATGCTGACATTTATTGGTGATATACTGGTAATAAACACTGCCTCAACAATGACAGTTGCAATAAATACGATTATGATAATTACATAGCATCTAGTAGAACCTTGTAGTAACGTATAAATATTATTTAAAAATTAATAAAAAAATAGCCTGATAGACTGTTTAATATATGACCCATGAATTACTTTGAAAATAAGGTCTGCCTATTATAGTCCCTTTATTTGATCCTGCACTGTCTGTAATGCTGCAGTCAGATACTCACTATTGTTGTAATAACACATCACTGCATTCTGCATTAGTTGCTTCATAGGTTCACAGTTTTAACAGATGGCTCAGAGGAGTTTATGCTGTCTTTTTTATTAAAGTGGAAGGGTTCCAAACAGATTTTGGGCTGGAAACACACAGATATGACAACCCTGGCAGTGAATGGACTTTCTAGCTAGCGATTCTTCTAAGTTGTGGAAGATTTATTTGAAAGTCGTGTTATTCGTTTTCTACTTTTTAGTGTTAATTAAAAAATATGTTTTGAAGCTGTTTATATGCATGAAATACACCGTAGTCCAATTTTTTTGTCATTGTTATGTTTGTAACAGTGGCTGTTGTGGCTATATATGAGCACATGAAGAATACCAGCAGAAAACTGGAATGCCAACACTTCAGACAATCCCAGCTTACCAGCTCAGAGTTATGAGCTACACAGTGAAAAAAACCTGATAGACTGAAAAAGAAAAAGAGAGAAAACACGTTGTAATGTCTGAATCTTGTGATTCATGTTTTAATTGTGCTTTATCAGTCTCATAAAATGCATATAGTTATTTTTTGACAGGGTTCTTTTGTAACATTCTTAAAGGAGGATGTGATGAATGAATTATGTTTAGGTCCACTAGTTGGCGAACTCAGCTTTTATGTGAAAACATAAAAGAGGTCTGTTTGGCACACCTTTGTGAAACCTGGGTGAAGAGACCTATGAAAAAGAGTCTGGAATGAAAGTGTGTGAGCAATACAAGATGCCTGGTCATTTTCAAAAACGAATATAACACAGAGAGCACACAGGTAATTTTGCCCACTGCTAATTTATGTAAAATATGTTATCTGAGGAAGCATCTCACCGTCTTCTTCAGGGAGTTTTTCTCTGCATCCAGGGAGCGGACTCTGTTTCTCAAGGCTCTGATCTCAAGGTCCAAACGGTCATTAAGCTCTTTGGCCTTCCTCAGCTCGACCATTTCTAGACCAAAAACAAGAAAAGCTAAATCAAGAAAAGCTAAATAAAAGGTCATTCGAGAGAAGCTGCTGGTTCTGTTGCAACCCTGAGTGTTATTGTGTTTATTTTATTTTTTTATTACTGTGTTCTTTGTGAGTTTTGGCTTTTTCTTTTTTATGTGTTCGATAATAAGTTCCTCATTCTTGAGCTGCTCCATTATCTCTTTCCTTATTCCCTGTGTAAATCATTGTGGTAAAACTTAATACTCTCCTGTCTACAAAGAGGCCGAAGCAATCACAGGCTCATAATGCAACAGTACTTTTTCTGTAACCATTACAGTCAACACTGCAACCATAGTGGTGTGATGTTTTATTGATGCACTTAATTATGACTCAGTAAGCTGCTTATAAAACTAATATTTTAATTGCTGGCTTTCTGTTTTAAATGCCTTTTTTTTTCAGTCACATCCATGGTTATCTGATTGGTTCTCAACTGTTTTCTCATACTTTTGGGCTCCTAAAAAGTGCAATATAAGTTACTCATCTGTCCAACAAAGCAGAAAGTTGTCGCAAATATTCTCAAATATACTGAATTAAAATGCATGGATGAAAAAGCTTTTAAGTTCTAGATACTTTAGGGATTTAAGTATTTTGAACAATACATAGTCCATGTAAGAGGTTAAGTTAACGGTTTATATTTTATTTATTATTTTGGTGGCACAGGTGTTCAGATCTTCCCACAGCTGGGTGTTGGGTTTATTCAATGATGATTATAATATTAATGTGTGCTTATGAAACATTTGTGCAAGGGGATGCTCCACTCCTGTCTCATGATCCAGTCAGGAGACCATCCTGCCTTGTCATTCTGATGGAGCATTCTGTCTTCATGAACTGATCAATTGTTCTGTTAGAACAATACTCTGTTTGTAACCATGTGTCATGTTCTGTTAATAAACGCTCTGCAGAGGAGGTCCAGTGGGAGACAGTGTGTTTGAGTCTGGGGTTCAACTGTCTCTCCTTCCTGCAGGAATAGTATCAATAAGTCTGTATTTCAGTTCTTCTTAAGAAAAAAACTATTCACGAACACAACATTTTTGGTGCCGAAACCCGGGAGTCAAGATCCAATTGTCCAGGACCGTGTGGGACTCTGTCGACAGCCGTCCTCCCTTCGCCGGACGGGGCCAGTTTGGTCCAACCCTGCCCTGGGCATCTTGGTGACGGCTCCAGAGGAACTGATTCTACACGACAAAGGTAGGCCTGAAGCTTTTGATCAAAAGTTGGTCTAGGACCATTTAAGTTACAGCTGTAATCGCAAGAATATTTGACGAGATCAAGTCTTGTTGACGGATATGGCATCTGGGTATTGTATGCGTTAGAGTGTGAGACTCTGTGTTGTTCTCGAGTTAGTAAGGTTTGCAGCTGCCGCAGCAGGGGTATTTGACAGATACGACATCTGGGTATCCGGTGCGTGCGAGGGCCTGGAGTTGGAGACTCCAAAGTGTACACGATAGGTGTTTTTTGTCTATGTTGGTTAAAATAAAAAATATATAAAAGGCCTTAGAATAGGTGTGACTGTGTGAGAGTGTGTCAGGAAACAATCAAACCTTTCAGGTTCTGTTGAAGGTAGAAGCAGAAATTACCACAACAGAGTGTTTGGGTGCTGTCCTGCACTAAAAGCTAAATATCATCAGCAAACATATGACTTTGGACACTGCAGGAGTCCAAAGTCAGCACAGCCGTCAACCAAAAAGTTTTAAGAACACTTTATCCTTCCTTGTGTTGACAAGCTTTATGGAGGATTGGATCTCATTTGCCAGGTTGTTTTAGAGGCAGCCTTTAGTTCATTAGCATGATTTATGGAGCCAAACACATATCTTCTATTCTTTATGGGACAACTATCTTTATTGTCACTGTAAATGTACATTACAAAGAAACTAAACCTCTGGTTTAACTCTCTCAGGGGGAAAGACAGACCAATCTGGAGCCAAGGGTCTTGCTCACGAAACCAGAGTGGCAGGCTGTTGGGTTTAAACTGGGTACTTTCAGTCTTCTTAGATTGCTAGTGCTTCCATTGTCCTGTACTTACAGATCATTGTATCTCAGCATTGCAGCCAGACTCACTGGCTCCATACCATTTTGAATTGATGCACAAATATATGTGAACCCAACTAGTGAGGGAACATGAGGTGCAGCCTATGGACACTTCCCTCTTCCTACAAGCTGGAATTTATGTGTGAATATGTTTTTGTGTGTGTGTGTGTGTATGTGTGTGTGTGTGTGTGTGTGTGTGTGTGTGTGTGTGTGTGTGTGTGTGTGTGTGTGTGTGTGTGTGTGTGTGTGTGTGTGTGTAAAAAAGTAATATATATATTTTTCAAACTTTTGGATTGAATCACAAAAGCATGTTGAACCTTATATAAGTGAACTCTGTTATCAATATTTAGAATTGCGCATCTAGTTGGACTGGACTAGAAACACTGAGGCAGTCTACAAAAAAGGCCAAAGCCGACTATTCTTCCTGAGGAGGCTGAAGTCCTTTAACATCTGTGGGGCGATGCTGAGGATGTTTTATGAGTCAGTTGTTGCTAGCACGCTTTTCTTTGCTGTCACATGCTGGGGCAGTGGGTTGAGGGTCGCTGACAAAAACAGACTGAACAAACTGATCAGGAGGGCCAGTGATGTTGTGGGGGAGCAACTGGACACTCTGACGTGCGTGGCAGAGAGGAGGATGCTATCCAGGTTTCAGTCCATCTTAGACAATGACTCACATCCTCTCCATGACACAGTGTTCCAGCAGACGAGCTTCTTCAGCAAAAGACTCCTCTTACCCAGATGCACCACAGAGCGCCACAGGAAATCATTTCTGCCTGTGGTCATCAATCTCTATAACGCCTCCCTCAAGTGATTCTGACACCCCCCCTCTGTAATTGACATTTATGCACTATTTTTGCACGTCGCGTATCACTTTACTTGGATTTAGTTTTACATATGCATATATATATATATATATATATATATATATATATATATATATATATATATATATATATATATATACAGAAAACTGTATATAAAACTGTAACTGGAGTGTATAACAAAAGTAATTTCCCTCTGGGATTATTAAAGTGTTTCTGATTCTGATAATTCAGGTAACTAATTCAAAAACAACTGGAAAGACGATCTCACCATGTTGCTTAAGTTTTTCTACTTCCTGCCTGAGCTGCTCCACCTGTTCTGTCGCTGCCTGCAGCTCGGGCTCTGAAACACAAACAGCAGAAATAGACTTTAACAAAGCTCCTCTTTAAACAGTGAGCGACAAAGTCTACTGCTTTTATCAAAGCTTTGATACTAGTTTGCTGTTTTCCCTCTTGTGTCAGACTCCTTTTCCCTAGCTCCCTTCTTGCTTCTGTTCATACCTGCTCCCAATCTGCTAATTAGCCTGGTCTTTTTTTTCTCTCTCCTATATAATCTCCTTCTGTTCCGTCACTCTTTGCTGGTTTGTCGTAATTTCTTTGCCCCCTTGTAGTGAGTATTCTTGGTTTTGAGCATTTTTTTTTTTTGTGTGGATTTATAGTGTTGGATTTTTGCTTCTGTTAAACTTTTCCCATTAAAACATTCAAGTAACCACCTCAAGTTTTTGTCCGCATTTGGGTCCATGTGGCCCTTTGTGGAAAAAGCAATTACCTTCTTATGAAATCATTTATTAACTGAAGAAACATATTTCTGGGAAGAGCAATGCCACTAGCCACCCACATAGATGTGTACTGACAGTGCTGCATCAATAGTGTCCTCTGGAGATGTGGCAATAAGAATAATTGTCTTGATGCCAAAAAGAGGCCAACTGATTTTGCTTTCACAAGCGGAGCAGTATGGCTTTTGCCATAGTGTTCCGCTTGATTACAGATTATATGGACACTACGATGGGAAAGTAAAACAGGAAAGGAAAACCAGGAAAAAGAAAAGATGAATGAAAGAGGAGATAAAAGAGAGACAATGATAAAACGTTGGCCCAAAAGTGGCCAACCCAGGAAGTCCACCCCCCAACCAAGGAAAGAGGGGAGACGGCCCCCGAGGAAGTCCCCCAGCTGCCCCCCATGCCGGAGCCGCCAGGGGTTGCGGGGACGAGCCCACAAGCTCTGCCGGCAGCCAGCCACCCCTAAGTGTAAACGGCCATGGGCCCCGGGGACCCAGGCCCCGCAAAGCAGCCGCCAGGAATAATCCAACACCAGCCCGGGCATCCGTCCCCAAACACCGAGCACCACCAATGCCCCAGCGGACCAAAGCACCAACCAGCGGAGAGGGGCAGGACAGGGGGGAATGGGCTCCACACTTAGCGGAGACTTGAGATTTTCTTGGTAGAGGGAGCAGTTCAGACCCAAGTAAAAATAAATAAATAAATAAGAAGAAAAAAATAAAAACACAGTTTCAATCACGCCTTCCCACCCTAGTAACCCCACAACATACAGACTCTTCAAAAAAAAAAAAAAAAGACAACGTACGCACATTAACACTTAACACTCACATCCAATAATCCTAGGACCGAGGACCTGGCAGCGCCGGAAGGTAGCTGGTTTCAGCACACCCCCCCAATCAACCACCCAGAACCCTCAATGTCTAAGTGCCAGAGGGGCACATCTACCAGTCTGTAAAGGGTAATAAAGCCACTTGTAATGAATTGACATACAAGTGTGATAAGCTCCACGAACAGAGTGCAAGCAATAAACCTTCCCAGAAGTCGGGAACCTACCAAAAATACTGTGAACAGCGCATTAACAACATATAGAATGTAAAAAGAAATGCACAGAACCTTTTTTCGCTTTCAGTAAATAAACGTATGGTTTAAAAAAAAGTTCTGTCATTGTTGTTTTGCAGTAATAACAAAACAAACAAGTAATCAGTAAGTAGCAATCACTAACTGATATGTTTTACCATATGTTTTCTGGGTACAGTGAGCAGACTCCAGCTCATCTTTCAAACGCCGAATCTCAGTGTGGGCCATCGCCAGCCTACGTGAACCCTCTTCCACATCCAGCTCCAGTCGGGAACACTTCTTCTCCAAATGTCTTGGCTGACCAATTAAACACGTCTCCCCATCCTGGAAGGAGAATTACTTAGAAAATGGAAATATCTAAACCAATTAAAATAGAACAGAGAAAAGACTGTGAGCAACATTCAATACAAACGTGCTGGGACAGAAAGGGCACCTTGAGAAGTGACCATGATGCATCAGTGGTGTTGGAGCATAGAAATTCTTCTATCATGCAAAGATTCCTATCAGGTGCTGGAAACCAAAGTTAATATCACTAGAACAATAAAAAGAGCAGTGAGTTTATAGTTGGAAATTTAGGAAATATCATGCAGAAAAAACAACCACAATATCAGTTCTAACTGTTAAGCTCTATCATAGATTTAAATATGCTGCTGTTAACTATTGGAAGTGCTGTTCAAAAGTATTCATCCCAATACAGATTTCATTTAGTTTTGCTCATTTGTCACACTTGCATGTCTCTGATCTCTGATGTTGAAATCACAGATATTTTGAGTAAAGAAAGTTTTTTCTTTGCTTGAAAAGTAATTCCCTCTATTGACAAATTATAAACAGTTTTCCGCTGATTTTTTTTTTGTTCAGTTACCCCAGCCACACCGAGAACTATGAAATAATGAAAAAAAATAATCAGATATGAAATTATCTGGCATTTATAAGTCTGGCAAAGGCTACAAAACCTGCTGCAGGGCTTTGGCCTGTCATTTAAAGGGGAAAAATATATGAGACACGGGGAAACGGGGAGACACTTGGAATCATTCCAAGTGGGTCAACAACGCATTAACTTGTTCACAACTGAATGTTAAGCCCTGTAGATCTGCTGTCTCTATTATTATGATTGATTGTCAAACAAAACAGATTAGACACACTGGCATTTATAGGAAAGATCATAGTGGTAATAGTGTTCACAGTTCTATTCTTCACCAAAATAAAAAATAAAAACATCCCACAGCAACTATGCTTCTGAAAAAATAACCTGACAAGCTAAAAACAAATGTATCACTTGTTGGTTTGAGCTAATTGTCAGCTGTTTTTCTATGGGTAGCACAGCTCATTTTAAGGTTAGGTAAGTTTAACAATTTGTTTTAAATCTAGAAAATCCTTGATTCTGATAGCCTCTTTCTAATTACAATAACAATTATAATTTTAAAACAGCCTTTTACACTCTGAGCTTTATGTTATGGAAATTTTCTGAAAGTTGTACAGACAAAAAATTGTTTTGTATACAAGCTGTCAGAATCGGAAAAGTTGTGTAAGTCATTTTGTGTTTCCTTAAGTTATCTTTAAGTGATCCTTTTAACTTCATAATTAAATGAGACAGAAAAGGAAAACAGATAAAATCTGTAAGGGGACAAATATGTTTTCTTTGTCTTTAAAGCATATATACATACAGGTACAAAGGAGTGCTTGGCCTCTGAAGGCTTATAGAGTCCAAATATTTTCTTCCATGAGCTTTGCAAATGTCGTGGCGGCCTCTTGTGGCTAGACTGAAAAATTACAATTATTAGGGTTTATCGATACAAAAAATTACGTGAAATATAACAAAAATAGCAATTATGAGAAGAGATTAACATGAAAATCAATCAGTCAATCAAATAATTTATAAACACAGTTGAATCAAATAAACAGATTACTAAACAATTTTATGCAAATTATTTTAAATTAGAACTAAGGAAACACTATGACAGTGAGATACATTGTTATCAAAAAAAACAATGCAGATATTTAACATTTTTCCTTTACTCAAAAAACAACAAAAATAAAGCTTCCAGAAATTAACAGGCTTGAAAGTTGATCTACAAGAGCAAGCCATAGGAATCAATGGAAGCCCTACCATTAGTGTTAGCTTTAATACAAAATATTAACAAAATAACTTTGCCAACTAACAAGATGAATAGTCTGAAGAGATTAGACAATGACTTATTAATGTTTAACACTTTTTAAAACCAATGGGAGCGATTTAAATCAGCTCCATAATGCACCTGTTACTGATGTAGAGACATCCTATTGGTGCAAAAATTAACCTTAATCTGATTGATCAGAAAGCAGAACCATGCTATAATCAGTTCATTTTATAACATAATCATTTCTGCAATAACATAATCTATTTGTATTTCTGCAATAAACTAATATAAATGTCGTTGACAGCTTGTCTGTTTTCATCTGGGCACAGAAATAATAGTTTTGTTCCTGTTTTTTTACTGACTGGGCATTTGCTGGTGTTTACTGGTTCTGGAAGAGTCTTCCGTTGATTCCCTGTGTCTCCATCACAAGTTAGTTCACAAGGGTCCTGATTCATCTCAAGCAGAGAAGCCCTTTCAACCAGGAGATACGCCACCTGCTCACTGGGGCTGCTGGGAATCAGTTCAGTGAGACCATGCTGGTACAACATTTTGGCAACCTCATTTGTCTGGGCATCTGGAACAAATGAGTAAAAGAGGCCAATCTGAATGTGCTTCATAGAAATGACCAGTATGAGGTTGAGAGTATGCTGATGAACTGGGCTCATATTCACATAGAACCCTGAGACTAAAAGAAACTCTTAGTAAAGCAATTTTAGAAAATATCTTTCCAAAATGTTATATTTCTTCTTAGAATTTTAGTTTAGTAAAAGAAAAAGCTATTCATAGAGCAGTCTAGGCCTGAAGAGGGCTCTGAAAGTCTAGAAATAGTGACCCTAACAGATGAAAGGTGCACCTCCCACAATGTAGTTTTAGTGAGAATAAATGATAAGGAGAATCATTGAACAGTCATGAATAACAAATGGAAAATGCACAACATAGTACAATACTATAGTACAGGAGAATTTCAATAGTACTTATAGTCTGTAAAAAATATCTTAATAATAGACAATAAAAAAAAAGTTGTAGAGGACTGTGTACATAAACACTCTAGTCAACAAAAAGCACACTACTATATACTCTATATGCATAGAGGAGAGATGTATGAGAGGTAAGAAGGTATTTTGGATTGTGCATGATTATCTCCACTGCAAAAATGGTCAGCTTGATGTTTACTTAAATAATTACATCTTCTGTGGCTTTAGATCACTGCATGTAGCACTTCTCACTTTCAAGGCTGATGCATAAAAGCAAACAAAAAGATTTACAAATGGGCTCTCTGCATTACCTTTAAACATCCCTTTAAACACTCTTATATTTTCCTCCCAGTACTGTGTGTACAGAGACCAAGACATTGCTCCTCTGTCCAGGCCATTTCTCCTCGTTGTTTTGCCAAATCAAGCCACTTAATACAAGCTAGCAATCCCAGCAATATAACCCAATGAAATATAGAAAACTCTTCCTCACCCCTGCTTTTTCTCATAGTAGCTTTGCCTCGTCTCTTCCTGTTTGACTGTGACACCACCCTGGAGAGATATATCAGCTGTGCTGCTGCCATCAACACCTTTGTTAAAAGATGTTTGAGAGCTGCCTGTTTTTCAGTGTAGTCCTGTTTCCCTGACTGTGACTGGCTGAATGTGCTCTCTTCATCTTCTGACATGGGAGCTGGCCCGGAGCTCCCATGACGGGGCCGTCTTTTACAGTTGCCTTTTGTATCTTTGCTTCTGGCTCCTTGAACCCCAGTCGGTCTCGGCAGACTGCCACTCAAACTGAGCCTGGTTCTGCTGGAGGTTTATTCCCGTTAAAAGGGAGCTTTTCCTCTCCCCTGTCGCTACAAGCATGCTTAGTGTGAGGGATTGCCTTTGAGTCAACAAGTTGATGAAATTAACTGGTTTTCCTTAGACAGAAACTTTAAATCACTTTGACTGTATGATCTGGTGAACAACAAAGTCACTGGAGATGACATGTGTTGTGAATTGGCGGTATATAAATAAACTGAATTGAACAAATTTTAACTTATGTGCCGGATTCTCTCTGGGGCCTATTTTAACAGTCAGCAGGTATGTATTATAAGTGGCTTGATTTGTATATATGAAGTGTATAGGGCATGAGGGCAGGTGTTTGTGAGGTTTCACTTTTAAAAAGAAGTTTAGTCCCGCTGAGTGCTAACCCAGCCCATTGATCAGGAGGTTTTCACTCAGAAGAACCACTTCTTCTATTTTGTGTTTTATTTTACAACTTTTACTTGCCCCATCATTTGGTGTCTCTTTGATTCCGCCACCGTGATTGACTTTTCATTAAGACTTTCTTTTCCTCTTAGCATTTCTCTAAAATCAGTTTTTGTTCCTCACAGGAGAAATACGGCGCTCTCCCTTTTGCACTCATGACTGTGATTGGTCTGCTACCTTTAACACCCCCTTTTATACGTGCGCCATCTTACATTCATTAGCTTTCTGAGAAAACTCTGGGAATCTTTGTGAATACTGGCCTTGATGTTACATTAAGTCAGTCACTGATTATAGCAACAAAACAATAACAGAACAATAAAAGATTATGCTGGTAATAAAAAAGTAAGTAGAAGAGGAAACAGAGAGTAAATAAGTCCCATACATAAATATTCTCTCAGTATCTAGATCATATGATAGACAATAACATAAGGTAATGTAATCATAAATAAGAACTGAAGATCTAATATAAATCATATTCAAGTATCTTTCATTACTCCAGCGTTTACTCACTGTAAAAGGTTTCGTACCTTGCAATGATAAAAGGTGCAGCAGCTGCTTTCTGAGTTGTTCGTTCTCATCTTGTATCTCTTGAGCCAAAATATCTTTTTGCTCTGTGTAGATTTTGATCTGCTCCAAAGACTTCCGTACCTTACATCCAGAGAGATTAAAAAAAAGCACAGAACAGGTACAGATCTCATTGTGCTCATGACTGCAGGACATGAGAGTGCTGATAAACTGAGCAGCAATAACCTACCCCTGCCATCTCTGCAAAATGTTGCAAGCGGTTGGTTTCTAGATCCTTTGTCACACTGTCCAGACAGCTTCTTGTGAAAAGAAAGGTATGCCACAAAAAACTCAGCTGATCTTCTTTGGAGGACTCAAGTGCAAGACCTTCCTCAGCCAACCAATTCATGATCTACTCCAACTCCTGAAAAAAGGATGGATGGATGGATGGATGGATGGATGGATGGATGGATGGATGGATGGATGGATGGATGGATGGATGGATGGATGGATGGATGGATGGATGGATGGATGGATGGATGGATGGATGGATGGATTGGTGTAAGAATAAATGGGGATTCTAACAATATTAGTATTAAGTACAATATGATTAGACTACACCCTAAAAACACCCATAAATTGGTTTAATTTTAACCAATCTGGTTGATAGCTTTGTGTCCAAACCAAACATTTGTTTAGAACAACCAATCTACTTTGGTAATGTTTTTTAACCAATCTCTATTGGTAAAAGGGCAAACCAATGCAAATTGGTCACTTTAAACAAAAATATTGATCAGTCAGTGTAACAACATTGAAAGCTGGTACTGGGTCTTGAACCTCCAACCCTGCATTGCAGAGATTAAATGCTGCATCTTTCCCCACTATCACCACTAATACATGAAATTTCGAACACATTTGTGCATTTTTTTTCCTTGTGCGGGACTCAAAGATTAGTTTCCTGCCTTTGCAGGGGCTAACTCCTCCATCTGACGCCACTGTCGCCACTAACACATAATGGAATTTAATACTACTTAATGTTAAGACCATGATTGATGCCAAGATTTGCATGCTCTGCATGTTCACATCATTGAAATTGTCCATAACTATTCCACACTTCATTTGACTACAGCCAAACAGTCAGGGTAGAAAACCATTGGTTACCATTTTTATGGTTTTATTGGTTAACCAAATAAACAGTTTGAGCCTAAACGAATGGCTAAGTCAGTTTTTGACCAATATATTGGTTAATCTAATCAAAATTGGTTTACCCATAGGCGTAACTTCCTTAAGGACTGGTGTGGACATGTCCCCACCAATCTTGACCGGTAGGGGGACAGTCCCCACCAATATTTTGTACACGTATTTTGCTTTCGGTGCTGTGTATATCTGATTAAAACCCCATTTATGCCGCTCCTCAGAAAGAAAATAAAAAAAGTTCTCCCCGCTGCTCACCGTCCACAAACCCCGACAAAAAACTCAGAAAAAAGAATCTGTTGCCTCTCGCTTTCTCCCCATCACCCCCCTCCGCCCTCTCCCCATAACACCTGTCGCTTCCCTCCAAAAATGCTAACCCATTCAGGGACGGAAGTGGACTCAGACTTGCAGGTGAGAGGGACTTGTGGAAATATTAAGACCTAATTTTAGTCAGGAGAGACTTAAAGTAGTAAAAGAATAGAGAATAGTGTAAAAATAAGTTAATACCGTATTTAAAATATAACTGAACCGTTGGAAAAAAAACTCAAACCACTTTTTTCCGGCCCTGTTATGTCAGCTACACTAGAGTCCTGCAACGGGTCGGGTACCCGCGAAAAATACATAAAAAAAAATATGAAAACGGGTCGGGCGTATATTTTTTTAGTGCGGGCGGGTAGGTGGTGATTTTTTTTATGCGTGTGTGTTGTTATGGACATCAGAAATGTTATATTAATCAGGCACTGGGTGCAGCGCAGCGTACAATAGCCTATGATGGGTTAACGAGTCGGGTTGCGGGTTAAATATCAACGGGTCGGGTCGGGTTCGGATTTGAATTGAAGATATCCGCGGGTGACGGGTCGGGTTCGGGCGGGTGCGGGTTGGTAAAACTCGACCCATGCAGGTCTCTAAGCTACACTACATTCAGTATCGTTGCCATAGAAACAGACAACAGCGCCAATATATCAGAATTATACTAAAACACACGCAAATAATTTCCCACATAAAAAACAGGACTTTCAGTCCATTACAGTTTTCCGTTTTTAGAGGGTTGTTTATTTTGCGTTTATTAAGTGATGGCTGTGGTATATTAGCTTTCACTGCTATAAGCTTTCGCAGCAGTGATTGATTAATTTAAACACCTGCTCTACTGATGGTCTATCGGAGTTGGTGTTTAGGTTGAACATAAAGAACATCTTTTATTTGAAGCTTCTTGTAGCTACTGTTTTATACGGAAGAGGATTAGGGCCACTGGAAAAAAATTAAAAGTAAACTGATTTTTAAATTTTATTTCAGTTTAACATGGGGAAAAAAGTCAGAATTCTGAGATTAAAGTCAGAATTCTGAGAAACCATCCCTTCTCTTTCTTGTTTTCCATCTCTCTCCTCCCCCCACCACTCCCACACTCCTCCAAATCCACTCTCCCAGTCCTACCAGAGCCCCGTCTTCACTTTCAGCCAATCAGACGTCACCTGCGCCACTGCTTCCCCCCTCACAAAGGAGTCCAAACAGGGAAACACCACCACTCTAATCACAGAATTCTGACTTTTTTCTCAGAATTCTGACTTTAATCTCAGAATTCTGACTTTTTTCTCAGAATTCTGACTTTTTTTCTCAGAATTCTGACTTTAATCTCAGAATTCTGACTGAATTTTGACAATAAAAAAAAGTCAGAATTCTGAGAAAAAAAGTCAGAATTCTGAGATTAAAGTCAGAATTCTGAGAAAAAAGTCTGAATTCTGAGATTAAAGTCAGAATTCTGAGAAAAAAGTCAGAATTCTGACTTTAATCTCAGAATTCTGAGAAAAAAGTCAGAATTCTGAGAATAAAGTCAGAATTCTGAGATTTAAGTCAGAATTCTGAGAAAAAAGTTACACCCTTGGGTTTACCCAACTAGACTGGTCGTTTTTCCAGTCCATTATTAGTGTAATTAACATCCTCCAACGATGAAAAAAGTATTTCAAAACTACCCCTTTGGTGGTGAAGCAAAATAACTAAAAACTGCATATTTATAGTTTTTAATGTTTTCAATACAAGCTAAAACATGCATGTTGTTTAAAATTTGAAAACTAGATGTTTACTTAGTTGTTGGTAAATGTAATGCTTTGATTTTTGTACAGTTTTTATTTCTATTTGATGAACCAATGAAGACCGTTTCCACCGTCAGCTACACCATTATAAAGGAGTAGCTGTTTGATTTAGCAGAGGCTGTTACAAATATATTGAAAGTTCAGCTGATTTCTCTGTGGCAGGCCCTTTTAACATTAAAATCAGCTTTACCACACTTACATTCTAGAAATCTTGAAATGTTTTTTTGACAAGTCATTGTGCTCAATTAAGAAACCTGTATTTATATTTAAATTAGGCAAAATATTAATTTCACTGGCATTTCATTGCTCATTTGAACTGAATGCAAAGTATCTGAATAATAACTCTAATTAAATTCTGAATAGTCTAAAAAATATACATAGTTTCATTTCTGTGAAAGAAAAACCACAAACCAGCAAGTTCCAGTGGTTGTTTATCAGTACATGATGGAGCTACATTAAAAATATCTCCAGCAGCCATGTCAAACCTCAACTTTCCACACGTTAATGATTTCTTTATCAATATCAATGTATTTCATGGGGCCCAACATTCCTGGCGGGGCCCCTGCTTACAATAAGGTGAACCACTGCTCTCTATGGAGGGCCAATCCGACCATAATTAAAAATAAATACAGAAATAAATAAATGCTCGCAAAATAAATAAGCTTACAATTAATTGTCCCCCAAAAATACATTAAAACAAATAAATGTAGGTAGAAAGTAAAAAAAATGCAAAAGAAGAATAAACCAGATAAAAATATTATAACATGCACAAAAATAAATACTTAAATAAATAAGTAATAAATAAATAAAGTTGAAGAATATAATGGCCAATAAAGAAATAAGGCAATTATTCTAAAGGCAATTATTATAAAGGCAAATAAACAAAGAAGCGAATTAAAAGATATATATATATATATATATATATATATATATATATATATATATATATATATATATATATATATATATATATATATATATATATATATATATATATATATATAATAGGGTGGAATAGTTCACAAAATCCACGGTTCGGTTCGGTTCACGGTTTCGTTGTCACGGTTTTCAGTTCTGTTGGTATATGTTTATTGTTACACAGAAAAATAAAAAAAAATAATAAAAATTATAAAAATTTATGAATTTTTTTTTTTTAATGAAATTAATGAAAGAATCCAAAAAAAATTAATGAATTGCAATTATTTTTAAAGGGATAGTTTGGGATTTTTGACATGAATCTGTATGGCATCCTCATCACCAGTGTCATGCAATCGCACTGACTTACCCCTGGCAGCATCCTGTGAGCAGAGTTCTCGTCCAGCTTTGGTCAAGCCGAAAGTAGTCCGGCAGGTTTGCTAGACCCAGCGAAATAAAACGTTTCTCTTCCCAAAACATTATGTGTTCAAAAGAGGGATATTTTTGCATCCCAAAAACATTGTAGTGGAAAAAGTCACACGTCGTTATCACTTGGTCCTATTTTCTCTCTGTTCGTATCAGTGCGCGCCGTCATTCTGACAGCGAGCTCAACTTTGAGGAGGGCAGGGAAGTTGTTTGTGAGGCAGACAGCAGCTGCTGCAACTCCGACATCCTCATCAATGGAAAGGTTCTGTATCTCGGGCATTACTAAATCCCACTCGTGGCAACAGTAGCATCCACCTCTGTCTGCATTAATTCGCACTTGAAACAAGTGCACCATGATTTGTCGGCCACCCTGGATATCGCAGCTCCAGCTGAGGCTCCTGCGGCTCCGGCTTCAGCTTCCATCACTTCTCTGTCCACCCTCTCTCTTTCTGCCCGATCTAACTCCATATGTCGAAGTTCATCGTCAGTGTACTCGGGTTCATAAAGATATCCCTTTGGCTCTAAGTGGAAGTCGATGTTTTCCTCGTCGCTCTCGTAGTCAGACATCTTCCCCAGTAGTAAACAATCGCGAATCAAACAGGTAGGCCCTTAACCTGACAACAGCCAGATGCATGCCTCGCTCCGCCCAGCTAGGAGCTAGGCGGAGCGAGACATGCATCTGGCTGTTGTCAGGTTAGTAGGCCCTAGCTGTCAGGTCATGGTGTCGCGCGCACTGATACGAACAGAGAGAAAATAGGACCAAGTGATAACGACGTGTGACTTTTTCCACTACAATGTTTTT